ATAATTGAGATGATTAAATCATATGGGAAAATTATTCAAATTAAAATAAGAAGAAAAAAAACAAAAATTCAAAATATTCTCAATCATAGCATTGATTTCTACTTGAATAATCGATTGCATCCGTAGAATAACAATTCTCTACGGGTAGTCTATTCCTTTGTTGAAATTGTAATCATCATGTCTAAGTCATCAAATCAAAAGATTGAATTTATACTATTAAAAAGCAGAATTGAATAATCAATAAGAAACAAGATAATTAATTGATTTAACAATATGATTACCATCGTCAATGTTTTTGGCCTTTTTTCTCCCCTTATTGCTTTCTTCTTTATCTATACAATGTCATAATTTTAAGCGTGTTAGGATAATACAAAGCCTGTAGATAGTCGATCCCATTTTCGTCTTGCTCTATTTTCTTTCGATCTTATTGATTGAAAAATAAGAAATTATTATTGTCATCAGGAAAATGTTAATGCAAAAATACATCGCCTAGACAGAAATAGTCCATCAATCAATCAAAAAATAGCAGGAGAGAGAGAGGTAGAAAAAAATAGAGAGAGAGAAAAGAAAAAGGAAAGGAATTCCATTCTCAATGCGTCATCGCCCTATTGGAATCATAATATCCACGATTAACCATTTTCCTACCTTCATTTATCTTAAGCCACTACAGACGCTGAGAATTAACGCTGATCCATCCAGCATGATCAAGGTATTTATTTAACCTTCGCTTGTTGTTATGTTATCCCCAATACAAAGATTAGATATTGATGTTGAAAAGAGAAGAAAAAATAAAACTTCCATCCCTGCCCATCGATCGTTACCTAAACCGCTAGAATTCTACATCCTGTAATCCATTTCTTTCATGTTAGAAATAAATCCAACGTGCTGTAGGTTAAAAATCTAGCCATCATCCTTCTGCTTTTCTGCATTTCTTAATCGATGCTATCGATCGAGTTTTGATTGTTATCATAGAGAGCAAAAATAGATTGATAGAATAATTGTATCTTAGTTTTCAGAGTGAATAGCACGTTGAATTGGATAAAGGCGTTACTGATTGATTACTTTAACAAACAGCTATAAACAAGATGGAGTAAAGTACAACTTAAAATAAAGAATAGAAAAGAAAGAGAAGAAAAAGCTTTATTTGAATTCATATTCTATTTCGGGTATCGACGTCAAGGTTATATAGTCTTTCTAGCTATTTATAATATGGATAGAATGAAAAAGATATTATGACATCATACAGAACAGTAGGATAACTTTTTTTAAAGCTAGGCAGGCTAGTTGCTTCCAATGTGACCATATTGAGATTTTTGAATAAAAATGTTATTAGACCTTGCTACCTTTGCAATTGATCGACGTCAATATCGATCGCCTCAACTTTGTAGTTGAAATGGTCTATTAAATGGTTTGGTGTTTGCATCGATTCTATGGATGAAATTTAACATCAGCATGTTATTGACCACGGTTTCCAAGTTTCTTCAAGAGCAAGGGTAAAATTTTAATTGAGGCGAAAGAATTTTATATCCGTTGGAAATTAATCATAATCTTAAATTGAACTTATTTAAGAAAGGGTGTAACGAGTCTTGCTATCACTATTAGTTGAATTGGTTGTTATTTTTCCACTGATGACCATGTCGGCTTACGCGTACAAATAAATTTTTAGTTGCTATTGATTAATTTTGGCCTTCCAATAAAATAGACAAGACGATTCTTGTATCGATATCCATTAATGTAGGTATAAGATAAGTTGTAATATCGAGTTGCTGTTGGTTAGTTTTGGCCTTACGATAGAGTAGACAAGGCGATTCTTGTAACCATTGAATAAGGTATAGCATAAATTGTAATATCCATTTACTATTGATTAGTTTATGCCTTCTGATAGAGTAGACAAGACGATTCTTCTATCCATAACCATTGACATAGGCACAGGATAAATTATAATATCGAGCTGTTGTTGATTAGTTTTTGCGTGCTAATAGAGTAGACAAGATTGATGTAGGTAGAGGATAATTTATTATTTTCAGTTGCTATTGATTGGTTTTGGCTTTCAAATTGAGTAGAAAGGACAGTCGATTTTTGTGTCATTTACATTTACATTGATGTAAGTACAGGATTAATTGTACTATCTAGCTGCCTTTGACTAGTCTTGGCCTTTAAATAGAGTAGATAGGATTACCGATTCTTGTATCGTTTTACTTTGATATTAGTGCGAAAAAATTGTTCTATCTATTAGTTTTGGACTTCGAATAGAGTAGAAAGGATAGTTGATTCTTGTATCATTTTACTTCAATATAGGTCTGGATAAGTTATTATTATTTTGAGATGATTTGATAGTGCTTCGTTTCGGCCTTTTAAGGTGAACTTAATGGAGTAAAAGATTCTTATGCCGCTTTATTTTGATCCACATGTAGAATAGATTATGATTTCCAGTTGATGGTAATATATTAATTAGACAAGATCGTAATACGTGAATAGGAATGATAGCCAATTCTCTTGTCACTTTGACTTCAATAGACTCGTATTAACTCGATTTTGCCTATATGCAGATTTAGGATTAATTGTTGTTTCTACTCGATTGCAATGAGTCTTCACCTTCAAATTAAACTTGCTTGAGTAGAAAGGATAATTTTCTTCCTATTTTTACTTTAATTGGCTATTTGCTGGGTATAGTCTAAATTAGACTATCAAATCATTTCGAGTGGATCGTGATTAGTCTTGGCCTTAAATTGGAATTACTTAATTATAAGAGGGAGCAATAATCGATTCTGTAGTCATTTTACTTAAATTGGAATTACCAGAGCAGAAATAAGTTTTGATTTTCTTGTCAATGTTACCCTGATGGTAGAGTAGAAATGAATTGGATATAGTCTAAATGGAGGTCTGAAATAAATTATAATTTCATGTTGATTACAGAATTACTGTAGTTTCGCCATTTTTACCTTGATGGCCGAATAGAAATTAAATTGAACATGGTCTAAATGGAAGCGTAAAATTGAATAGAAGGAGTTTTGGTCTTGAATTGTAATTACCTGAATGGAAACAAAATTGAATTTCTAATCATTTCTAATTAGACGTGTAAATTAGTTCTCAATTACTTGGGCATGATCCAAATCTAGAATTTACGGTAGAAAAATTCAAATCTGTCTATATATGCATTAAATTTAATTTAATATTGAAATATAGTCTAGGATAGAGTAAATGTCTACTATACGGTACTGAAATTAAATTATTTCTTACCTTGCAGCATGGTTAACTTTCGTTTTTATATTCAACCAGGAAGTACAACTAAAAAGGCAAAATATCCTCATCCTCCTTCGATAGGTAACGAGCAATCATGCCTACAGCTACTACGACAAGCCATGATTGACCGCTATTCTAATCTATTTGCTCTTGTGTTTTACTAACGTGGCCAATTTTATAATATGCCTTTAGGCAATCTACGGACTAATCATGAGTTGCAAATTTGTGTGGTAAACGTTGACGATTTTCCTTTACTGCCTTTAGTAAGTGAAATATCTATTTCAAGTTTTTTTTTGTTACCTTTTTGATCGATACTCGTACACTAGAATCAAGGCGAAAGTTTATCCCCTTTCTTCCCTGATTCATTCGATCACTTCTTAATTATTTTACACTGTTTTACTTATCGGAACGATCGATAAATTAAATTTCTACTCGTTCTGTTCTCTTTCAATTTCCAAGTGACCAGGAACAGTACTAGAGTACTTCCAAAGGGCCTATCGGAAGTAACCCCTTTAATATATTTTTTATACTTAAATCAATATTTTTGTTGACATTATATACTACCAGTTGGGTTGTAATTCTTATTTTGAAATTGAATCCTACACGTTTTTTTATTTGAACCTTGAAACTGCATAGAATCGGTACTAGAGTACTTTAAAGGGCCTATCGAAAGTATCCCTTTTAATCGATTTTCCAGACGTGAGTGCGTATTTCTTTTTGACATTTGTTCTGATTTAGTTATAATTCCTATTTTTTGATGGCAATGACAAGGTTGTAAAATTGGGACATTACGGCAAGATTTTTCTTTTACAAAATGAAAATTTCCGATATTATAATTGCACCCTCGAAGCATGTGTTACCAAGAGTTTAAAGTACAGTCTTCATTTGCATTCGCTAATTTTCCCTGTACAACTTTGATGAATAGCTTCGTTTTTTTGGCCTGTTGCAATTGCTATGGTATCTGTTGGAGAAAATAGTGATTGCAATATTGCGTTCGAATTACTGAGTGGTAAAATTAGTCAGAATGAGGAGTAAAATGAATGAAGAATTTGGAGAGTTCACTACCATACTAGAAGAAGAAATTTAAGATGATTATCATCGCTCGCCATGGCTACCCTCAATAAACAGATTAAAAGCCATAACGATATCATTTTCCTCCTCTTACTCCAACCGTGATGAATAGAAATGCGTAAATCGCCCTTGATTGACAAGGATATTCCTCTTGTTCTAACATCAATTAATAATTAAATAGAAAAGTATTCTTTTGAGAAAATTTCCATTTCCTTAATCGTCTATTGTTGCTTGTCATTCTTTTGCTCGTTATTGATGAAAATTTGAGATTGAAAAGTAAGCTGGATAATTGCCTAGTACTCAAGTGGGCAATTACAAGTCCACTAATTCTAGCCCATCCCCGTTATGTCAATAGAAGCAAGAATTACAGCTTGATTCATTTTAGGCCGATTGGCTTGTTCAACTAGAACTGGATAGTATTCATCGCGTAGAAGATCATACTCTGATTGAATCCTATTCCATCATGTGTTCAATTCAAAATCAATTTCTGCCCCGATATATTCTATAATATATTGATTCATTCACTTTGATGTTAGTCAATATTATGAATACCTGAAGATGGCCATATTGCGGTTGAATGCTAGCACATTAACTCGTCCATTGAATACTGACATTTTCATTCCTTTTTATAGGACATATATCTCTACTGTTGAGAGTATTTTCCTCAACAAATAATTCTTGACATTATGGGCTTCGATCCTGATCTCTTTCTTGATCGCATTTATCCTTATATGATCTGTAAATTATGTACATTAGTCGCTGATGAACCGATGGTAACCAGTTGTAAGCATGTTTTTTGCATGCAATGTATCCAATCTTGGCTAGCACGAGAAGATAGCACCAAAGCCTACAAGTTAACGAGCGATGGACCGATTAAGCAATGTCCGGCGGCCCATTGCAGCCGATGGCTTTCTGCACAAGCCTTAAAGAAAGCAATTAACCTACGTGCCGTACTCAATAAATTACAATTATCATGCCCTTATAAGAGTTTAGGCTGCCGTCGGACATTACAGGTTGAAAATGTCCGATCTCATTTACATTCTTGCAATTATCGCTATAACTTCTATCAGAAAAAGAAGAAAGACTCGGTTAAAATTCATAGAATCCATGCAGATGACGATGAAGAAAGAGCGATAAATCATCGTCATTATCAACAAGAGGAAAATCCTCATTCTTTTAAGCGGTATACCGCTCAACGATCACGCAGTTATGGCGATAAATCACGCCACGACGTGCAATATCTTCGCCCGTTAAATGGCCAACAAATCGATGCTATCCATTATCCAGTCCAAGATAGCGGCCATGCATATTTTACCAGTCTAGTCGATTTTAATAAACAACATCAAATTGACTTTAAACTTTTACGTCAAAAAGTAGCCGAGCAACAGATTACAATTTGGTCGCAAGAAAATCAAATTGCAACTTTAAATGATACCATGAAATTATTAAAACAAGGATTAGTCTATCGACCTTCGATACCTGTCAACAATGATCATGAAAAAGCAGGATTAAAGCCAAGTTATTCTCCAACGGTAAGTTCAACTTGCTCTGGAATAGTTTGATGTCTGTTTGCTTTTTCCTATCGTAAATATTTCCAAAGAGGAGTAAGATTGAAATGATCCTCTTCCAATCGGAATATAGACGTAATCCAATTTCTCAATCAAAGTATTTAGTGGAGTTCATTTCATCATGATCGAATGGGTCATAGAAAGAGAATAAGATACATCATTATAGCAGTCGACTTATAGTTATCTGGAGTTGGATTATAGAATACCTACTGAAACCTATTATTCAAAATCATCCGTCTACAGTACATATTTTGTTAGCCCAAGTAGTACTTTAATGATCACAATTTATAGCATATTCAGACAAGTTATGTTATACTTTTTTCTATTTAATTATTTAGTACAGTCTACCATTTGAAATCATCTTTAATTCCATGTCTTATTGCAGTTATGAAATACTTGAATGGTCCTATTAGAGCTGCAGATAATATTGCGATACCTTAACCATCTAAGCTCACTGTAGACCTAGACATGTTAACTCTAATCATGCAGTACCTGATTGAATGGAGGGCTTCATTGATTCTTAAATCGTCCATCTCGATCATTCTTGTTCAGTTCTCTCATGATAAAATCCAAGAGGTATTTTAGTGATTATCGATTATCGCTAATTTATTAAAGTACAGCACTATTGAATTAATTTCATGATAGAACTTATAGTCTAAATATTCCGGTACTTTACTTATGCAATCAATATTGACCGCTAAAGCCAGATATTTTTATATCATATTAGGAAGTTTCTGAAGTTGTTATAAGTCTTCTTCTTGTGAAAGAGAACAACTCTTTTGGTTTTAGTGTAAAAGGATTCGATGCGGTAAGTCAATTTTTTTGACAATATCGAAGAACAAATAGTGGCTACACTTTGAGGATTTCTACTGAAATTTCCATTTTGTAATTTACCGTTATATTTGCTAATTAACCTCGGTATAGATTTGAAATTACATCAGTTCATTTGAGGACTTTATTGACATACATGGATTGATATAATTTTAAGATACTGTTAATAAATAAATGTATTTCCGTTTTACCTCGGAATAACAATAAAAATGTTAAAGTTCTATGTCATTCAAGCTCTCTATGCAGTATAATTCTTCGTACTCTGTAATCATCCTCGCTTGTTTAATTTGTTCCTTTCTAGCATCAACCAACTGGTGTTTATGTATCCAAAATCGCCGACGGCACTTTAGCTGCTAGCCGATTAGCAATTTATGATAGAATTTTGCAGGTAATAATTATTTAGATAAAATTTTTTGCTAATAGCTCATAATTGATTCTAAAATTAATCAGTAACGACACAATCGACTCGCTAGTATGGATCAATTTTAAGGCATGATCACTTCCATTTTATGCCAGGAGACCTGTTCGAAATTAACTTAGATTTGATTATTTTCTATCGATCATCAAAGATTAAAATTGATTCCTATTACTATTTTATGTATTAGGTCAATGGTAAAGATATAACCAATTTAACACAAGACCAAGCTGCAAGAAAAATTTCAAATGCTGTTGAACCCATTAATCTACTCATTGCTCGAAAAATCGCACGCCATCCAAATGAAAGAAGCAGCAGTCGGAGGAAAAAACGATGTCATAAGCCTTTACTAGCTAAAAATGATCATCGCATTCAGAATAAATGTATTACACAATCTAGCCAAACGGATAATCTAATCGATTCTAGGCGATATAGAAATCCTGAAATGCAAGATACTGATGATAGATCTCCTCCCTATCCAATAACTGACCATGATCGAGCTAAAGTAGCCGATATGAAATCGTTATCGTCATCGTCATCATCATTAAACCAAAATGGTCGTTATAGTCTGGATGATAATCGTTTTTATGATAATATTGTCTCAGCAGGTTCAGAAGCACAAAATGATAGCTTTAATGATAAACTAAGAAAATTAAATCTATCCTTGAATAGTAAGAAATTACACAATCCTTCCTTCAAAGGCAACCAATCTTTACCTAGAAATAAGAAGAAATCAAAAGATCCACTGGGTATCAAATCGATACGAAATGATGGCAAAAATTTGTTACAAAATCAAGATTGTTCATCAAAGATGACAAAAAGTCATTCCCTGGAATTATTATCATTACGCAATTACCATTTGAGTAACTCAAGCCATAAAGCAAGTAAAGTATCCCAACAAATGAAACGATTTTCTGGCTCAGTTTTATGCCAGACAAATATTCACACTTCTTCATGCTCGGTGCCAGCACAAATTGCGTTCAATTCTGAAACAGATTCACATCTTGTATCGCAAGATGATGACGAATCAGGGCTAAAGTATCATAATAATAGTGATGTAGTATTACTACCATCGATCAAGAAACATATGGAAGACGGGCCAACATTAGAATGGGAAAGTGAAATTGATTTCAACGAGAATCTAGTCACGAATGACAATTTTAGCTACCAATATGAGGAAAGATTGACGAATTCTAATGATGTCGATGATGAAAGCGATATTCCAAATGATGACAAAAGCAATTCCATCTACTCTAATTTGAAATCACCTAGCTCAAGAGAATATGACGATCATAAAATAAATACAGAGAAGATTGATGCTAATACAAGCAATAAAACCACGAGTGATAGTGACTTAGCTGATTATTATACAGAGTTCAAAGATAATCGTCATCAATTTATGCATAGTTACAGTGAAATGAATATTAGCCAATTGCCTGAACATTCAACGATAGAAAGTAAACTATCAGCCATTAGCTTAAATGGTAGTATGAAAGGTGTTAAAGTTAATCATATTCGATTTGATGAAGATAACGATAATGTTAAACTATACAAAACGTGGAGTACTTCAAGAGGAAAGATTGGAAAACATTATTACCAAGATCCCGTTTTTGTGGTTAATGATTGGCAGGAATATCACAATCACGTTGCCAAGTATTTCGATCAGTATCATCAATCCAATTATGATAACCTACAATGTGATAAAGCAAGCATCAAGACAGCATAATTTTATTTCGTTAAATAATTATACAAGCGATTCGATTTAAGAATTAACGGTATCGCGAGCAATTTGTAAAACTAATGATCAACCAATCAATCAATCGTCCAATCAAGTTGGACAAATTGAATATCCATGAGATGCCGGTATATTAGATGCTATAATTTATGTGATAGTGATATAGGCTCATGGATGTTTACGATAATCGTAAGAAATATCCAAAACAGAGTAGAATTATATTATAAAGTAATGAATCATTCCAATTTGCATAAATTATAATCATGGTTGGCATGCGTGAAATCCAAAATATCAACAAGTAGCTGATGGTATTCCTGTTTTCAAAACAGCTATACATTCTAATCTATGAGAGAAAACTATCAAATTCATCATTGGACAAATATTATACAAATATAATTTCAGAACTCCTATGAGACAGATTTATGATCTATATACACCGATTCTAATTCTGTTTTAAATTACAAAAAAGCCTAAAAATTGCTACAATAACTTCAAATTGATGAACTACTGGATAAGTATCATCTCTCTATTGGTCATTTTCATTAAGGACACTAAGGCAAAAATAAAAACAAGATAGCACCTCTAATCAAGCTGTTAAGTGGTTTGAAAATGGCTAGAATAGGATCAAATTTATCTTTACAATTTTGAATGAGTGCAATATATAATATCCTTGGTTATCATAGGACATAAGTAGGCAGAATTTATGAGCAAATCATTGCCTCTAATTAAACTACTACATAGCCTGAAAATTACTAGAATAGAATTAGATCAGTTTTTTCAAGTTTCGATGAGTACAATAAAGAATATTCGTAATTGTTTGTAGGAGATATCTAGTGCAGGATTACAAACAAAATAGCACGCATCAAATTCTGTTTTAAACTAAAATTCATTATTTAAGCTACTAAAATATAATCAACTCCGCCATTTCAACTATTAATTATTTCACAAGTCTATGCTTGCATCCATGGTTATCATATGAAATATCGATTGTGGAGTTTTGAACAAATAAGCCAGCCTCTAATTCTGTCATAATCGAATCACTTCGCGTATTACATTAATTGATGATTGTTATGAGTGGTGTGTAAAGTAAGATTAGAAATCAGAATACTTACGCATTGCTACTGCTATATTGTCCTAAACAATTATTCGAGAAAATGATTCCAGCATAACCAGACTAAAGCACTTCAGTTTATATGTTATCTTACTAATGCTGTTTTCTTAACTAGCACCTGTCTTGATAATGATTGGAGAGTTTAACTTACTATCTACATCATTGTACTTTATGCACTATTAAATCATGTAATAAAATGGATAGTGTGGATAAGAGATTTTAAATACTATATGACTTAAACAAACTCTTGAACGTAATTCACTATTTTAATTAAGATCAAATTTTTATCAAGTTTGCAATTGCAAAGTACTTTTCCAGCATAAAATGTTATTAACGATAAAAGACACGTTAAAAGCAACCATAACGCATAGCAATATCTGCGGTTGCCCTTGTTGCCATTTCATTATCTATATTTTTTAAATGCTTTTACAAGTATATTTATATTTGCGATGCTTGAATTGCGCTTTCTTGCTGCATAGCATATTACATAGTTATGCTGTCTATGAACAAAATCACGTTAAATTTATAGTGTAAATGAATTATTTTGCGTTAATATTTAATTTAGCTGTGATTGCGATATTTTCTGTCTTTTCTTCATCTTCACTGTAGGGTGTCAGTGAGTTATAGCAGTGTTTCATCATACACATTTATTACATCTCAGATATTTGACTGCAATCTTCACGTAAATACTAAACACACTATAAATCACTATTTTATTGAATAGATTGTACAGAGCACGGTTACGGTATATTATGGCATATTTATACTTCAGGTCTTTTTGATTTGGAAATATTGTTGTCATGACCAATGGATATTATTAATTATTCAATGGGCTAGTTATTATTGCTTATTATTTCGAATTAATTTTTAGAGAAAATTGGGTCAATTATGATACATAATTGTTATTATTGATAAAAGCTGGCTTACACAGTGAATACTTGCATATAAAAATGATATAAAACGCTGAATAAAAATGATATAAAACGCATGAATAAAAACATACTTACATCCAATCTCATGGAATCTAATCAATTCATTTGACTTTGGCTATAGAGTTATTGTAATGCTTTACATAAGTAATTAGAGGGGGAAAAGGTCAAAACTAGCAAACGAAAGCAGATAATGCTGTCTCATGGAGCAATCTCAAATTTATTGATAGCTACTTCAATTATCGACGTAGCTCACCTGTGGGGGAGAAAAGCAATACATGTTGTTATAAAATTTCAAGCTTGCCTTCATATAATAATTGGATAGAATCCTTAATATAGTTGTTTGTATAAATGTGATTGTACAAATAGATTGGCAACAAGACTTAATTTTTATAACAGTTTATCTTGTAAAATTTTAAAAGTTGAAGCTAAAGTTCCATCATTGCCACTTGCGAAAATTGCGAGAAAGAGAGAAATTTTATAACAATCTACAGTATTTATTTTATATATCAATAGCAATTTTATTGACAATCATTCTTGTCTGCCCCAGAAGCGAAATAAGACACAAGTCAATTAATGCCTACAAATAATTATGTTAAATATAATACAAAAGTGAACCAGGCTAAGTTGGCTTATGACATTACGTAGCAGAATACCTTATCTTAATCATCTTACACTCCAGATTGGAGTAATATATTAAAAGCATTATTTCGCTAAACGATGTCATCTAAAGTTTGGTACCATCTTGCTTGTCTAATTCACTTATTGATTTAACAATACTTTAGTTGACGAGCAATAATTAACAGCAAAATTGAAACGTAGGATACATTTTTTTACACTTTAAATTTAACTTCGCCATAAAGCGATCTTTTTAAAATACCTTTTTGATGAGAGTGATAGTTATTATACAAATTTTAACACAGAATAATTTTCTGTTGGCGTATGTCGCTTGTACATCTACGTTAGTAAGTAATACAAGCACGAATGATTTATCTGAAAAGTGAAATATCCTATGATACTCATTATAGTACATTTCCAAGATACTAACGGACATTCCGTTATTGTAAATTTATAATAAAACAAACCGATGCTTTGAGAATCAAGTAAAGTATCAACATTACCTACAAGCTTTGTTGTAAGCCACTAATTCAATAACGCGTACATTATTACTGTACTAGCGTTAATTACATAGTGTGATGTAAATTTCACGGCCGATATTGATTATGTGGGTAACATAAAGCTAAAGAGCAAATAAGCTACTTTTAAATACCTATGAAAATCTCCGATATCCAGATATTCATAGCAGCTTACTATCGAGTTACAGATTAATTTTCATGTCGTTTTATCTATAGCTATATGCCTGTCTAATTACATTTCGTTAAATTTATTCAACGACACAACGGATGGTAAAGGAGGCGCTATACTGTATCTTATATCAAGTTATAAAAGATAAGAATATTTAAAAACATACCGGCCATCTTATAGTGCTAGCTTTAGCAGTAGCCTACTTGGATTAAACTATTTACAATGAACTGAGTCTTCGTTAGCAAGAAATAATCTACCATCGTCAATGGTATGATTAGAATTGACTACTTCTCTCTCGGAGGTAGTCATGAGAGTTTGCAATGCATTCTGCGCTACTTTAGGGATTACAACCTGCCCAAAGTTAAGTTCTTCTTCTGCATCAACGGAAGGCGAGATCGGAGGAGTCGCATCGTCATCTGGCTCAGAATTATGGTCACTTTTATCTTTCACCTCGTCTTCGGTACATTTTTCACTTACATTGACGTCATCTCCATTTTTATGTATTGGCGGACTTGTATAATCGCTATCACCAGGGTTTAATGGTTTCAAATCGTCCATTGATTCTAAAGTAAATAAATTTTCGTTATACATGATATAGAGAAAAAAGTGAACTATGTGATACGTTACAGAAATTTAAATAAAATATAATATACCATTCTTTATATCACTTTCTGAATGCTGAGCAGAGTCGTTCACTATGATGTTACCATTATCTACTAAATAAATAATTAACAGTAATTAAAACATCGTAATGATTCTAGAAGGTACTAGTCAAGGAAAAATGTTAGTCTTTGTTCAAGTAAACATACCTGATTGATCATTTATTTCGATATCATATTCAGTCGTCTTGTCGTTTTGTTTTATACCATTTGCTAGTGATTCCCTTTCTATTTTATGATTTATTCTGTTTTAAAAATGCAAAATCAGATAAAAATGACATCAAAACAGGGCTATCACGTAACTAAGCATGAAGATTAATTAATTATATAGCAATAACGCCATTTTATAGTGGTAACAACAGGAGCGTGCGAAGTACTCTATGTATTGTAATACTGGAAGATAACTAATGCAGACTATTTACATCTTTTTAATGGTAGTGCATTACTACAACATATAGGAAACGATGTAATGTTGGTGCATAGGCATGTTAAGGCAATAATGTTGTGAAAACTTTCTTCTCGGATGCGGCACAGATATCCATTTACGCATATATTATTTAATTCATACTAATACTTACAGTAACTTGTTGTTGTAATTCGGTTCAACGGTACTTATTACCAATATATTCTGTTGTAACGGAAAGAGAAATAATAAATTTAATAATTCAGTTTTCATTGACAAGGGCGAAATAAACATTTTAAAAGTATGGCATATATTCGATATTCAACTTTACATTAGAATTTATTATTATGTGACATAAAATTAATGACCAGATCGATTACAGAATCGTTCTTTCAGTAAAATTTTTAATACACAATAGTTATTCAGTGATGTTGTTGCATACAATTATTGACTACAAGCAACGTACCTTTTCGATGCCTCTTAGAAACTTCTCACTATTACTGTAGTACCTGTACGGTTCAATAAGTAATTCTGCGATTCGTTGCATTGTAAAGGGAGCTCTGTAATTAAGAATTGTCGTCATATGTCACATATCAATGATTTGAATCGTCAAATTAGTATCATCATTGCTATACAAATACAATATCATAAATGATACCGGCACACATTGGGTTATACTATACGTAAGGTGAAACAATTGAAATGTACACGTATTTTTTTCATCGTCCTTAGAGTACTACTTGGTAGTACAACTTTAAGTGTATAGCCGAACAGAAGAGTTATCTAGTCTAGTAATCCTTAATTTGCAAGAAACAAACGGAAATATAAAACATTGGCAAGTAAACTCACTCTATGAATGAATCCAGATAGTCAAGCAATCGAGCTCGAATTTCATTGAAAGCTTCTAACGACATGCTGTTAGATGATTTGCATTGTTGGTACAGGTCACACATAACATTATCAAGCTTTTTAACGATTAGTGGTTTGATAATTGACCAAGGGAAGCTACAAGTTGAAAGAAAGAACGACAAGGAAAGGCAATTAGTAAAGGATCTGTGAAATGATTGTCATTATGAAGTTACAATAATGAACGATAAGTTCTTGAAATTTATAGGACGGTGTAACTACAGTCCCAAGCGAAGCCATATATATAAAATATGCCATCAAAATTTATTAGAGGATATTTCAATCGCAATAGAGCTAGAGCTGACTGTCGATTATAACTTTGGCCTAGACATACCGATATACAAGTGATTCAGCAAGAGTGTGTCTATAACGATATACTGCCTACTCGTTATCTACGATCATGTTATGCTTTGGAAATGACTATTATGCTAATGTTTAAGTCAAAAGATTGGAATTAATTAAGCAACATTGGTACAACTGAGCAGTCAACGAAGCAGAAGTATATAAACTAAACACAAAGTTCCTCTTAGAGCAGATGAACAAGCTACTGTAGAGTACTTGAGCAAGTTACAGAACAATAGGGGCTACGTATACGCATAATTCTTCCTATTGAAGAAAAGTAATCACATCAATTACCTACTTAATTTAAAGATAAAAGTACGTGTACCATTCTGGTTGTGTAAGACGTATATCACTACTATAACAGCGCGTTAATATATGACCTATTCAAGTCAATATTTGTAAATTGGTTTGATTGTAGGTAAATAAATAGAGTTGAACAAACGTTAACTGGTACGGACACTACATAAATAAGAGGTGGTTCATCATATTCTAAGTTTTGATTGTGTATCAACTGCTATACAATTGTGTAGTGTTTTATATGGTAGTTGTAGTTTTACAAGTTATTCAAATTCAGTTACAGTCGTGAAAGAGTCGTCAAAAAATATGTTCATCAAGTAACCTAGCATATCGTGCAAAATTAAAGTTAATAATTAATGTCGTTTTACATAATATAAGCTACAGGTAGACATCCAGAGCAGAAGCGAAAGTGAAGTTAGGGTCAATAATAAGTTATCATATCAATCGCAAAGGGGACGGAAGTGGCGTAAAATAACTCAGCCTATTGCAAGTTAAAGAAAATATTCGATATCATCATGTTCTACTTACCAAGTATCTCCAGTCTTTGCGATCGCTTGAAGAAACTTTTCGAGAGGCTCTGTGATTGGGGTATTTTTACTGAAAGCTAAAATGAGAAAGGATTTCAATTTAAGATTAAAATACCGCCATGATATACTGTACAATTACTCACTGTGATATGAAATGGTATACATTGAATATATAGTTTAATACAGTATATCTATTTATAAAATAGTTAGTACCAGTATAATTTATTAGCTTTGAGTAGGTAAAAGTTTTTTAGTTCATGTCTACTATGCCACAAATAAGTACGTAACAGGACGGCATCTATCTGTTTGTTATAGTGTAGATTGATACTGCGCAACTATTGTAATTTAATGATTATTCAAGAGAATATTATACACCAATATATTACAATATATAATATAAGTACTGTACTAGTGTACTGTACTACTGTACTGGTCGAATGTTCCAATGCGAAATAGGGAGAAATACCGCAATACTGTACAGTATATCAAACATTACGCTTAAGTCTTAAAACACGGTTTTATCAAAACTTGCATTCACTACCGTATTTCAAAATGTACTATCTATACCTAACTGATGAATAATAATCATTTTATCCACTTAGCTACTTGATTACAAAAATATGATATTCATAAAAATGGAAATTAATCTTTATTGAATAATTTGCCTTTACTTATTTTTTCCTCCTGGAGCAATTCTAATACTAGCTACAAAGTAGACTGTAATTTCAATTTTCTGTGTATCACATGATGATATTGGTGCTTAACTGCCTATAGTGCAGTATCGTGACTGTATCACATACGGATATATCGTAGCATTTTCTGGTATGATATCAGTCAAAAATACTACCATCTCGGTACGGAACCAATTCCGTCCTAGGTCTACAATATTTATTGCTGTTTGTACGTTTACAAATGATTTATCCTTAAAATAATCCAGTAATTTAAAGATTGATTATGTTGGTGATGGTACGGAACTAATTCCATCCTAGTTCTACAATATTCATTGCAATTTGTATGTTTACAAATGATTTATCTTTTAAGATAATCCAGTAACTTGGAAGATTGATTATGCTGGTGATAGTAATTGAATTTGTATGATCCTTAGTTAGTAGTTAACTGATTACAGTATACTGTAGATTATAATGATTATAAAGCACAGTCATGAACATTATTCAAGGCGATTGGATAGTTTCTAGCGCTAGTGGTAGCGGTGTTTACGAACTACTACTTGGGTCCATTATCTTGTAGCTTATGGTTGTCTTCTTGACTACAAGAGTAAAGCCTGACCACTTGACCAGTAGGGCTGTGGTTCTGCTTGTATATAGTATATAAAAAGGGTAGTGGCGTATCTGCGCATACTGTGCATGCGTTAGGGTGTCTTGACTGTGGACGTTACTGTGTGATTACGTCTGAACGCTGTGAGCTTTCTATAGTCGATGGTTTGCTTCCCACAAACACATACTGTACAGTGTACAGTGTACAGTACAATACAGTACAGTCTCTCGGCCCAGCGTGGGGTTTTACTGTACCGGATTCGGTTCGTATGCGGTTCGGACCGAACCTCTTTCAGGGTACACTCAGTGTACCCTGAAATCAATCATACTGTACTGTACGTACGGACAGCAGTACCGTATGAAGTATTGGATATTCTTCAAGCGGATATTCTTCAAGCTCTGACCATTTTTTCGATCTTGCTAGTACAGTATGTGAATTCATGCTTTCAATACATTCACTAACCAAATTTACTAATGAATTATTCCAGTCGTAGTAAGTGCAATGAATCTACAGTAGATGCATGGTGTGCAGTATTTTCTATTTACAGTAAGAATGGTAGTCCAAAAAGTTGTCTACTTGGTGTATGTCGTGTACCGTAGTAGGAAGAATATGAAACAACAGGACGTGTACCAACATCATTTAATTAACAGTTGTTTGATTGATTGATTGATTTTTATTACGGAGGATCATTGACAATTTTTTACGCGGTCATACGTATAATAGTGTATCAAGCACAATTCATTTTAACAGGTGAAATTTCGTCAAAGCATACAGTAGCTTGATATACTGTACCATACTAAATAGAATCACCATACTACTTGATTACATGTAAAGAGGGGGGAGAAATAATGATGGCTGCATTCTACTGTACAGCAAAAAGATCCTCAATATTGCAGAGTATTTGGTCAACCAATCAATCCAATGCTCGTATGTCGTACAGTCAACAGCGAATTGCTAAAGTAGGAAAAGCACAGCATAGGAACTGAGTTATTACACTATGGTAATGCTGTATAACATTATCATGTATTAACCTATTATTGTTCAACGTTTAGATGAGTGATGGAATGATGATGTGCATCATGGTAGAATTAATGGCGTGTATGCGTATACAGTCCATGTTGACACATTTTACGTACTTGACTGGATGGATAATATTAAAAACGCTTCAAGTATAGAGTTACTGTCCAATGATATCTCTAGTTCGCTCTTACAAGCAACTATCTGCTGTCTATCAAGTTAAGTTGGCTCTGTTCTTGAATATACAGGGTCAGGCACTTGTTAGAAGCCTCTGACAGTGTGTTTATCAGGTAAGTTATTTTTATAATTTAGTAGAATCACTTCAATACCGTAGTATCGTGATAGAAATGATGTAGTGAAGTAGAAAGTTGTCAATAGCGCGTCATAGTTGCTGCTACTTCGTTTCAACATGATCAAGCTGACTGTCTACAAACGCAGTAGGCTATACTCGTACTTACAATGTAAGGCTTCAAGGACCTCTTCTAGATTGTCCATAATGAAACTATTCTGTTTCAGTTTTTACTATAGATAGGTAGTTAGTAGTCTCTCCGTTAATTTCAGCGAAATGATTGCCAATAATGATAGTAAGATGTCTTTTTATTTCCTTTGTAGGACAAGAGTGTTTTCAGTGAACGCCGGATCGCTATTTGTACACTGACAACCGAGACGGGGAGACTTCTGATTAATCAAAGAAAGTTGGCTATGCAAAAGTCAGTACAGATTGTACAGTACAGTACTGTACACTGTAGGTATAGTACTGTACTGTACTGTATCTAAAGATTTGAAGCTGATGTTGCGAATTTTATGCTGAATTGTTTGTACTGTATTATACTGTAGGGGTTGTTTGAGAGTCCCGTCCTCGTTCTTTTTCTTTGGGCACAGTGAAAATCGTAGAGTACTGTACAGTACACTACTGTACAGTATATTGTACAAGTGTACAGTACAGTACACTGTACAGACATGATGTCAAATCTGAAATCTTACAGTACTGTACAGTACTAAGAAGTTCTCCACGCGTACTGTACTGTACTGTACGCCTCGCTTACCATACTGTACTGTACAGTACAGTACTGATACAGGAATCATTACAGTATACAGTACTGTAACAGTGAGTACTGTACACTGTGCCTGTTGGAGGACAATCATCGATAGTAGACAGTATCGTTGCAAACATAGGATACTGTACAATTGACATGAGCAGTAAATATTAGTCGGCCTTCGCATTTTAACTACATGAACGACCATTTCTCATCCCTCGCCATTTTTAGTCTACCCGCCTCGATCAGGCTGTTGTCATGGATGAATGAATGAAGTATTGCATGCATTTGCTACTGTAATGAATGAAAGTACCAAATTGAGTAGGATGTCTACTGTAGTGAATTCTTACCAGCACTTGGAAGAGAAAATCTTAAAAGTTCCTGCTCCCATCCTGGTGCTCAATTACAGTCATTGGAAGTTAGTTACATTGCTGATGGCTTGAAATTACTGCATTGGAAGTCAGAACTCATCGTAGCAGAAATTGGGGGGGGGGGGGTCCGAAATTTCGTGCCTCAATAGTTCACAAAAATAATTTGGTACACTAGTTGATACTGCCTAAATATTGCATACGATATGCATGCTGTGATGACTAATGCATTTCTATTAGCGTTGCGGTTAAAAAATAAATGAAAAGGGAAATATAATGAATGAATGAATTCGGTTTTAAAGCTCTTCTTTCGTACATTAGTAAGACTGCAAAACGAGACTGGTTCAGTCAGTGAACAGTTCGATACTTACCTACTTAGTGATGAATTTAGTATGGTTCGATGCAGATCGGACTTCATGTTTTTAATACACCGATTCTATAAATGGAGTGAGCGTGTTTGCTGTTAGTTTGTTTATGATAAATTATTCTATAATAGTATCATACTTATTGTTTTAATAAGCTTCTCAAATGACGTTAATGTTCCAAGATTATTTTAGAACGAGGGCCACGTATTACGATCATGCCTGTAACTGTTGATATAACACGAAGATGCGATGGATCATGTCTGATAGAGTAGAATATTGTAACATATATACTTTGAGGTCATGGACTACTGATTATACTTGGTGGAAGCGTAGAAATATTAAACGCAATCTCTTTACCACACACTACGGCTCGGTAGAAATGGACTTGCTGTTAATTTGTCGCTCCTTTGGGCGATGGCATAAACGATTGATAAATACTGTATACCGCATAGTACAATATCAAAACAAGAGTCCCATTCTTTGCGGAAATTAAAAATCATAAATCAATAAAAGAAGATGAAAAAAAAGTCTTCGTGCACTTGGACAGGTAACTACAGGCCTGGCTGCCGTACAACAAGATTCACAACTCAGAAGGCTGATTCAGACAGTATCGTTATTCGGTAGATGACATTAGCTATGGGATACTGTCATCAATTTATGCAATATCTTACGCTGCAGACAGCATACAGCCCTATATGCTAGCATATAATTATCTGTTCTAGGATTGTTTTAGTTTGTGCAATTTCCTCCTGATGAGTAATGATGGTGCACTATATTTTCGTTAGCTTTTATTTTGTTTTAAAGTATCCAATCTAATAATTGAGATGACATCTGCGATGATGCAAATATTATTATTTGTGGTTATTTATTCTTAATACAGTACAGTTACTGTAGATCAATCCACGGCCATCGGTTCAAGCATGAAGTTCAATATCACGGCCATTGGCTATCCATAGTGTACTACATCACAGAGTGAAAGCGCCAGGCCTTCCACTGTAGTACAGTATTACCACTACAGCTATAAAAAGTAGCGAAAATGGATGGAATAATATAAAAAAAATTATATTATAAATAAATAAATGAATAGATAAACACGTACAGTATAGTAAATGAACAATGAATAAATTGATAATTGCAATTAGAATTAATTAATTAAACTTGGTGAGTCAACAAGTGATGGACGGTCACTTGTACAATATTGTGCTGATTTCACGGGAAAAATAATATAGTACAGTACTGTAAGTACGTCTTGCAGTGTCGTTACTAACTCACAAGTAGAGTATAAAAAGGCCAGCAAGAGCCGAGTAAAATCATTCTGCCGGCATCATTTATCAGTTTTTGCTGAAAGATCGACTACGATACAAGCTTCTAGTCAACATTTCCCCCTTCCCCCACCCTACTTGTGAGCTTACCAATGTCCAAGGTAAAATTAGCTGAATCGTTGATTACTCGATCAGCCAGTAGTCTCCTACGAAATAAAAGCTACATCGGAGGACAATGGGTTGCATCAGCTAATAAACAAGTTTATACCGTCTACAATCCAGCAAATGGCGAAGCTGTTGCTGAAGTAGCTGATATGGCTGAAGAAGATGTTGCTCAAGTGGTGGATTCAGCACATCAATCTTTTCATCAATGGCGTAAATTGTCTTATAAGGTACTACAGTAGAACAGTGATTAGTCAGCAACTTGCTTTTAACTAGTAATATTCTATTTCAAAACTGCAAAATGGGTAGTGTCCTACTTTTCAACATGTAAATTCGACAGTGGCTACCTTTTCTGGTTGATGCGAATGCTAGAATCGGATTGGATTGATAGACAATGTTGCTTTACTGAACAGCAGTTTGTCCTCTGCCTGTGATAAAATAATATAAAATTTACAGTTAAACGTCTAATTCAACTATAAAATTTCATGTCTCAAGTGCTTTACTGTGGTTATTGTTTCTTCAAAGCACTTTAGCTTCTCCAAAGTAGACATTTTTTTCCATTTTTTGGGTATGCAACTATGAATTATACAAACGATAAGTTGCATACTGTACCGAATAAAGTTGTACTCGCCTATTCCACGTACATTCCGATCGCTATCTATTCATTCATTTTACAGATCATGTTATCACTAGTTTGTAGGATGGAATTGCTTGAGATACCATAGTAATTATCAAAATTTATACGATAACTTTATTATTATCTCTAACATTCACGTGCACAGATGTAAATTTTTAAGAACAATATTCTTGAATGCTTTCATGGCGTACTCATTTTATCTAACCTGCAATTATTCAAGGATTTCTAAGAGAACTTTTTCTCTCGTAAAAGTCCCTGAATCATTTCATTTAATTTCAAAAAGCAGAACAGCGGCGTACAGCACTGCCTATTCATTGGAAATTAGATTAATTATTTTACATGCTGGCATACTAAATAGTAAATACTGTAACTTGATTATTTCACTTTTAGAACCGATCGGGAATTGTCAGTCGATGGGGAGAGCTATTGTTGAAAAATCGAGATGATTTGGCTGCTATCGTAACCACAGAACAGGTTTGTATGCAAATATTTGCCATGAAAAGCAGTGAATAGCAAATAGGATCCGAAATTCGGGCTAGTCCATTAGAAAGCATTAACTTTTGCAGTAAAATCTTTACGAATGAATATATACAGTTACAGTATACAGTACCCCATTTTCAAGTTGTAGATGCCTTGATCTCTTGAGCCTGCAAGTAGTATCTGCAGCACTTGCAATGCCCAATGCTCAGCAGATGCACAAAATGAATCAATCACTCGAAATCATTTACTCTAGATTACTTTACAACTTGACAACATTCACATTACTATTGACGACAGTTGATACTTGGTAGCTTGATTGATTGGCAAATGATCCAACCTTATCACCTGCTTACAGTACTTAATCCTTGGAGGTGTCTTAGTGCCATCTTGTAGTCGTAACGTATGAGTTCATTTAGCCGAGAAGATTGATAACAATTATGCAAATTTTATTTAGGGAAAGCCATTGATGGACGCTAAAGGGGAAGTGACGTTGGCAGCTACCTATATTCAGTGGTTTGCTGAGGAAGCGAAAAGAATTCATGGTGATGTTTTGCCTAACCATGCTGACGATCATCGTTTACTTGTTTTAAAACAGCCTGTCGGTGTTGCTGCACTGATCACACCGGTAAGAATGCATAGCTGCTTGCACCGTGATGATATTAATCACCGCATAATTTTACTTCTACATCGCATTGTATCAAATCTAACATCTTAGCAGCGTTATCCTTAGATACTCGTATTCTTATATCGAGTACGTAGCATCGTCCTTGCTAACAGCATTGATGCAATATATGAATCCAATTTATCACATTTTTTGATATCTTATGATAATAGATTAGAAGTAAATTTTCCGTTGAGTATCAACTTAGTTTTCCATATCTTTTTTGATAAATATATTAGTGGAACTTTCCTGTCAACATGATCGCCCGGAAAGCCGGTGCGGCCCTGGCTGCTGGCTGTACAGCTATTATCAAACCTTCAGAATATACACCACTATCTGCCTTAGCGTTAGCTGATGTAGGTGATAATCAAAAGTATAATAATGGGAAATAGTAGTTTAAATTTTGTATTATAGTTACGTTTGTCGTTTAATATTATTATTTTTTGTATTCATTCAGCTTGCTGAAGAAGCTGGCTTTCCTCCAGGGGTATTTAATGTGATAACTTTTGGTGAAAGATCGACTCCACATAATGTCAAACTTCTTTTAGACAACCCGTTAGTTAGAAAATTATCATTTACTGGATCAACTGCAATCGGCAAGGTCAGGCTCATTATTATATTCGTATATGTAAAATCATCGTTTAAAAATTCTTTTATCAGTTTGTAATTTATTGATAGTAACTAAACTGTACGATTGCAGTGCAACATTGTCGAAACGTCAATTCACCTTTTTATATCGTTATCGATATTAAGACTGTAAAATCAAAGGGTATTCGCTTTTTATATTTTGAAATAGCTGTTAATGGAACAATGTGCTCGCACTTGTAAACGTGTATCGATGGAATTAGGCGGAAATGCTTCATTTATAGTATTTGAGTCTGCCGATATAGATGCAGCTGTGAAAGGATGCATTGACTCTAAATTTCGAAATACTGGCCAGGTTAGCTAGATATAACAGATCGTTACAACAATTTCTTACTTTAGTACTTTCGTCAGGGAACCATTTTTTATATTTAATCATACTATATTGTGATGGAAAATTGGTTACTATTATGTCTATTTCCAGACTTGCGTCTGTGCCAACAGAATTTTCGTTCATGATTCCGTTCATGATGAGTTTTGCGCAAAACTTGCCGCTGCCATGAGAACTACCCTTAAGGTGGGTCCTGGCTTTGAAGAAGGTGTTACACAAGGTCCATTGATAACAGAGAAAGCTATTGCTAAGGTACGATTAACGTTATAAAGATGATGAAATTATTACGTAATAAAAACCAGGGTAACCGTAAAGTGTTGGTTTTCCAACTGTTAGGTTGAAAGGCATGTTGCAGATGCTGTATCTCGTGGCGCTACGGTTGTAACAGGAGGAACGAAGCACCCTTTAGGTGGCCAATTTTTCGAACCGACTTTACTAACCGGTGCTACAGTCGATATGGCGTTCGCTTCTGAAGAGACATTTGGTCCTGTAGCACCAGTATTTAGGTAATCTGCCGGAGAAACCCGTTTACATTATTATTTTTATGCTATCCTGACTACTTAACTCAAACAATAGCCGCTAATACTGGAAAACATTCTCTATTGTTATTCGTTAAGTTCTACAATTTATTTGTACAATAAAATATGTAAAAGCGATTCAATTATTAAAATCATAATTATCAAGTACTGATTTTTCGTTGATTATTCGCAATAGATTTAAAAATGAAGACGAAGTAGTCGATATTGCAAATAATACAAAAGTTGGCTTAGCAGGTCTTGTTATAAATAAATTTGTAATTTAATTAGGAGGTTTCATACCACTTCGAACCAATATTTATGTATTAGCAATGAGTACAATGTAGCTTTTTATTTGGTTAGGCTATTTTTACTCCCGTGATATATGTCAGATATGGCGTGTAGCTGAAGCTCTGGAGGTTGGCATGGTTGGGGTAAATTCAGGCCTACTTACTACAGAATTTGCTCCATTTGGAGGAGTAAAGGAATCTGGCCTTGGTCGTGAAGGTTCACGATACGCTTTGGAAGAGTTTTTAAATAAAAAGTATGTCTGCATGGGTGGAATTAATTAATTCATTCATTAGCTAATGTTGAATATGTCCTTTCCAATATTTGGCATTTACTTTGAAGAACTGACAAAATTTTGTTGCTTAACACAACGATGCGACGCTCTTACACGATGTTTGCAAAAATTATGTGCAGTAGATCTTCAAGAGCAAATGCGTACTCGTTATATATTTGGTTTAATAAATTAGCATTATTAATAATTGGCATATGTGTAACGATTAATATCGATAACGATTCGAAATGAAATAATATTTACCGAAAGAAATAGTTAACTTAAGGGTGGTTCGGCGTTAAGTGATTAAAGTATTCTTAAGTTGTATGCTCTAATTAGGTACGCTACTATCGATATTGTGATAATTATAATTACTAGTGTAAGCCGATTTATTAAACTAAATATATATAGACCTACATGTCATATGTTTCTGTATTCTATGTAATCACTGCAGTTCAATGGTTCTATTAAAAGATGATTATATAGCAATGATTGATTGAGTTTTACGTCGGAGACGATTAATTTTCCCTCAAATTTTTGTTCACCTAGTGCTCGTGATGAATACTGTATCGCAGACTATTAAAATACTAAAATTTTTAGTAAGGTGGTCAATGACTGTATGCGTATTTTACAATAGAGATGATGAAGGTCAATTTTATAGCTTGCACAGTACATGCTCGTAGAGCCTTTAAAATCCTCTTCGCCCTAGTTTATCTATCTGTTAACCACAGCAAAGAGTGCAGTAAATAATTGTACGGAGTAGATCGCTAGCGTATCGCATCATATCCAGTATTAAACAATGATTAATGATAGAGATGATTATAAAGCATGGCTAGAGTCTGCGATGCTATTGGAATCAAAAGTAGCTTAAACATGAAAATGACATCATGCAAATGCAAGCGAGGAGTGTGCTGTACTTTCTCAACCTGTTATTACTGCAGCAAGAGTAAGTTATTATCACACATGGACATTACAAGTTTACAACTATCTGCCCAAATCGGTCCTATCGCTCTTAATTAACTTAAGAGTAGCCAGAAATAACAGCGAATGTCTCATTGACGATTGATGGAAGAGTATATTTTGATTGATTAATTAATGACAAGACTTGATATTGTGGCCGTGCAATAAGCCGTCTATATACGAATCATATACGTCTGATATCAAATTGGTTATTAGTCGAGTATTACTTATTACTGCACTTTACTATTAGTAATCCATGATCGAAGCAAGGACTACTCTCAATAGTCCCTGATCGAAGCGTGTGTACTGTATATTGGCTTGGCTATTATCACAATAAATTGAATTTAGGAAAGGTACACGCTTCTCATTCACATATACTTAAGTAGAAGCAGCAATAACTGATAAACAATGAGTATGGAATAGCTTTCAAACGGTAGCCTCACAAGTACAGTACATTAAGCCCTGCCAAAAATATAAAAATTATCAATTCATTACTAATGAATTGATGCTGTAATTTAAGAACACCTTACGTGTACTGTAGCCCACTCATTCCCCTAAATGTTCAAAATGTTCAGTGCTCACATACTAGTTGTTATACATGCACTTACTGTATGTTCTAGCACAGTACTTGGTGCTCGATATCAAAATCAGACATTAAATGATATCGTTATCATTTACTCAGGCTGCTAATAAAAGTAAGAAGTCCAGTAATTAATTAATTATTCAATGATATTAAAATATGTATGTATTCAGGATCTTCGCATGCTCTCTATAACGGCACTAGTATTGCAGTTTACAGTATAATGAGGATACTGCATAGTGCTGGACTGCTGTGATCCAGTACTGCAGTATCCCTCGTCATCCTATCCTCAGGGATTGCTATTGCTGCACACAGTATGACGGTAGATTTCATTTGTACAGTAATTACAATATTGTATTCTACTGAACTTTGCTAAGTTTGTGTGGGTTTGTTATGTTAGATTGTCAGCTGTTCTCTCTTGGAACCTTCAATTTAGAGGTAACTAAAATCAGACAATTTATACCGTAGATAGTCATGATTACTGTAATTCGTTAAGAAGAAGATAGAAAGCAAGCAGTTAATACTACGGTGATAGTTTAACTATCGCCTTGAAAGTGCTGCAAATGTGTGCTAATTTAAGGCAAATATCGTGCAAGCGATCTTAATTTAGCTACCTTACATTTCCATTTTACTGATTGACTGCCATGCCTTAAACTATATCTGCTCCTCCCATGTAGACTGTATAGTATGGAGAAAGTAAGTCCATCATCAGTTATCAAATCTGTGAGCCAGTTTTTACGAAGTGAATGCTACATCGGAGGACGATGGATTACTTCTAACCTCAAACAAACCTTTAAAGTATACAACCCTGCAAACGATGAGCTAATAGGTGAAGTACCTGATTTGGCAGAAGAAGATTTAAAGAATGCCGTCAATGTTGCAAATAATGCATTCCTTACATGGCGGAAAGTGTCTTACAGAGTAAGTCTTAATACATGGTAAGAGTGGCATACATGTATCCAATGATTTAAGCCCCAGAGAAACAATTTTCTCAAACGTTTACTGACGAATTGATGATGTCAATTTTGATTTGCACTATTCAGTCGGTTATCGTTAGCGGACTTGGCTATAGAAAGCAATGTCCTGATAGATTACTGATTTAATTGTCGATCGATGCATTATTTGAGTTGTTGTTCTTGATGGGTAGATTGAGCCATTCCATTGATTTATTTAGGAACGATCGCGTATCATCAGACGTTGGAGCGAGTTATTATCCGAATATCGTGACGATCTAGCGGCCATTATCACTCTAGAAGAGGTTGGTAATAATTTAAATTAAATGATTTCGAGTTTGTGCAGCGTCAAGCAGGATAGTAGACGAGTTCAATAATACCATAGGTTGATCAATTGGGTTGTGAGTTGATATTCACATTACAGTAGTTCGAAATTTTAGCTAGCTGGGTTGCTTTTTGAAATCTTTGCAATAAGAGTAAAACAGTACTGTTAGCATATAAATTAATATTTATTCATAAGTTTAAGGATAGCGGGAAAAATTTAATAATATACCAGATTACGGTTAAATATGATATGAGTAGTTCTTCAAGATATCGGTCGAAGTGATGGCTACAAGTCTAGCTAAGAATTGATCTAATAGGTATAGTTTTCAAATTTACAATCAATGCACTAATCTCTAGGGCAAGCCGTTAGCCGAAGCTAAAGGTGAAGTAGCCTTAGCCATTAATTACGTTCAATGGAGCGCTGAAGAGGCCAATAGAATCCATGGCGATGTGTTACCTAGTCATGCACAAGATCACCGTTTACTGGTTATAAAGCAACCAGTTGGTGTATCAGCACTCATAACACCAGTAAGTTATTATCTGGAAACTATTTTGTAATGGCTTAGGGCTAAAATCTATAATTGTGCTTTAGCAAGTAAAAAGCCTATTAAGAAATATTTCCTCTATTCTTGGATAGCGTTAGCTTATTCAATAACAATTTTAATGTTAAGCATCATACGCGTAGTTAAAGAATTGAGTTAACTTCTAGTAGCTGTGCAAATTTAGTTAATAATGTACCGTATTACTTCTGCATGTTACATGACAATATTACAATTTTCTTCTATTCGCACTACAGACTTAATTAACGCACGGTATTATTTCTTCATGCTAAATGATAATTTTTATAATTTTTTTATAGTGGAATTTCCCTATTAATATGATTACCCGAAAAGCTAGTGCAGCCCTGGCTGCAGGTTGTACAACGTTGGTCAAGCCTTCGGAGTATACACCATTTTGTGCGTTGGCATTAGCCGCGGTTTGTATGATATAATGTATATACGTAAATTTCTATTATAAGTTAAAAAGCTGATAACATATCGAACCGATTTCAATTTTCTGTTGTTTGATTGTTTACTAGCTAGCTGAAAAGGCAGAATTCCCACCTGGTGTATTCAATGTCATAACAAGCAGTGCAAAATCCACTCCACGTAATGTTAAAGCTTTAATAGACAATCCTTTGATCAGAAAGCTATCATTTACTGGATCTACTGCAATTGGCAAGGTCGGGATTAGTAAAATCTATCACTATCCATAAGTATATTTTATCATAAATTTTGCGTGAGATTAAATTTTAGTCGTCAGTACTTGCAATAGACAAAGTCCATTAGGGCACTTATGGAATCATGTTCTATTGCTATTAAGAGCCCTTATACTATCATCATCCTGATAGATTTGTATAGGTCGTTTGGTAATGCTCTACAATACTAGTTAACATGAAGCTGGGATCAAAAATTTCCCTATGCCATTGTAAATATCTTTCGCAAATACTAATGTTACTTGTATCTAATTGTTCAAACAGTTATTGATGGAACAGTGTGCCCAAACTTGTAAACACGTATCGATGGAATTAGGTGGAAATGCTCCGTTTATAGTTTTTGAATCGGCTGATATAGATAATGCGGTAAAAGGCTGCATTGCTTCTAAATTTAGGAATACTGGTCAGGTTCGTTAATTAATCAATTATGATAGGTTTATCTAAATCCTTCAATGTTTTCTGTCGTTTACTTTGCTTAACGCCTTATATGATGTACAATAGTTTACTTATCTGTGAAAGTTAAGTATGGTTATCGCAATGGCACTACAGTATACGCGTAACATGATTCTACTTGTCTAAAAGTGATTGATTCCTTCTGATATACCATAGACATGCATTTGCGCCAATAGAATTTTTGTTCATGCTTCGGTTCACGATAAATTTTGTGAGAAACTTGTTGCCGCTATGAAGAGAGATCTTAAAGTTGGTTCAGGATTTGAGGAAGGTATCACTCAAGGCCCTCTCATTACAGAAAAAGCTTTTGCTAAGGTAATACCACGAGAGATAATTCTTGTAAAGTTTATCTCTCAACTTTTAAAACTTGCTACTGTAACAGGTTGAAAGGCATATCAGTGATGCAGTATCGCGTGGAGCAACAATTGTTACTGGTGGTAAGAAGCACTCCTTAGGCGGTCGATTCTTTGAGCCGACGTTAATTACTGGTGTTACAAGCGATATGGCAGTAGCTCAGGAGGAAACTTTTGGCCCTCTGGCTCCATTGTTTAAGTACTTACGGAAATATTTGGAGCTATTATAACGTTAAGACTCCTCTTTGGCTTTAACTGCAATCTGCATAATCTCGTAATTCATTTACTACTTGCATACAGGTTTACTAGTGAGGAAGATGTGATCACTTTAGCAAATGCTACGAATGTTGGCTTAGCAGGTATTCTAAGTATACTCATATATAACCTTTGATGATAATCACTAATACAACACGGCGGCAATAGCTTATAACATAACTTTATTCCTTCCAGGCTATTTTTACTCTAACGATTTGAATCAGATCTGGAGAGTGGCTGAGGCATTAGAAGTTGGTATGGTGGGAGTGAATACAGGTCTGCTTACTACGGAATACGCTCCTTTTGGAGGAGTTAAGGAGTCTGGTCTTGGCCGTGAAGGGTCGAAGTATGCACTGGACGAATTTTTAGATAAAAAATATATTTGTATGGGTGGTATCAATTAGAATACAGATTTCGTATAGCTCAATGGCGATTTATAGTTTAAGGTGAAAAAAATACAGTGGTTATTGCTAGTGATGAGTTTGAAGATGTATTAGCTGATTATAAAATGAATTACATTTTGTCTTCACACTTTTGTAAGTTTCAATCTGGCTAGCTAACCAAACATTGATAGCGTAAAGGGGAAAAACACTACAGAACCTATGCTAGTGATGAATTTAATAAATGTATCAGTTATCTCAATAAAACTAATGACGTTAGTCTAGATTTTAGCTTGTCTACACGATGAAGCATTTTCGTTTACATTATTGTATACATTTAATGGGTATACTTGATATGATAAACCTGAACTAATCATTTCACAGAAAGCTTTTCCGAAATAAAATAATTTTATTACATTGATAAACTTACATTCGAAAGTGCTACAATTTAAACAACATTAGTAGATGGCTCTGCTAGTTATATTAGGTAATATACAATAGTAATATTATGATTAGATTAGTAAATATTTGGTAGATAGGAGATAGGTGCCCGTTCTGTTGGTTTCTAGTCAAAATTTTAGACGTACAGGCGGTAAGCTAAAGTTGTCAAATTTAAACAGTGTTTAGATAATGTATAACCGATTGCTAACCTGTAGTGTGTCCTGACGAAGTATAACCATTTGTTAGTTTGATGCCTCAGTCTAGAAGTAGAATTGCATGAGATATTTTACGTGAGCAAGTCTTTACATTGACTACTTTTTCTTACTATTGCGCGCATATACATTTTAGCAGATTTTATATACAAGTACAGACTAACGATGGTGTAACGCTAGCATTCACATAAGGAGTAGGATTAGATTAAGATTGCAAAAAGGAATTATGACGAAAAAGTAATAGTAAGGTATATTTCATGCGGTAACGAACGTATCGATATAGTTGAAACAGTTGATCGTAAAAAAGATTTCCGTAAAGTTAATATAGGTAAGATGTGAATAACGCAAATACTTTGAGTAGCCAGGATATTTAATAGCTGATATCGCAATGCTATCTTCCCTCTAACGCAAGCCTGCTGTTGACAGATCTTATGCAGAGGGCTTTAAACAATGCATTTCATATACTTTTTCTTAGAATTGCTTTGATTAACAATTGACAAATTACCAAAGCCAGGATTAAGAAAAAGTGATCAACCGCTACTTCTGGTAATATTTAGTACATTAAAATTTCGATAGTAGTGAATTACAGGGCGTAGAAGGTTTATCAATTTATTCGTGTAATCATGTTGCAACATTTTATACCTTTGCGTCGGCAGTTAAATGTGTTAAAACCCGCTTCATAGCATATGCATCTTCTCCATCAGCATAATATTTCGGTTCAATTTCGGAAATACTATTTTACGATAGCATACGTAAATACAAGTTTAGAATCTTTTCATACATAAAAGTAAGAGATGTTCAATCTTAGCTGGTTATTGTATTAAAGATACAGAAGCATTTGATTGACTGATTTACCGTATATATATATGTATATATACATTTAATAAGATATTGGAATTGAATTTGCTCCAGTACTCAATGTACAGTAGAGAACTACGTAGGTGTTGCAAGTTTTTAAATCAGATGTTAGAATTGAATTTGCTCGAGTACTGTATGTCAATAACTACATAGGCATTACAAGTTTTTAAATCTTACGCAAAGCTTAAAGCGTTCTTGTAGAGATGTAGAGCCGCTCGATTGCTATAATTGATTTACAACAAGTAATAGAATATTAATTTGATTGTCCAAACGTAAAAATTGTACAACAGTAATGGTGTGCTAGTTTATAAAATCATGGCAAGTAGGAAATTTTCTATAGAATTACCTTTTGCGAACATGAAGTGATACATATTTAGCATTAAAACATTCTACCATTGCTTTGGATGACTATATAGGGAAGACACCGTTACTTGAAAGAGTACTAGTACGATAATCAATATGTTACAAAGTGAAGAATTCAAATAGTTACCAAGTCCATCAAGGTTCTAGCTAATCCTAATCGGCGATGTGATCTTCGAACCGCCTATACGTATAATATAACAAAAGTCTAGGGTAAATTACTCAATCTATGTATAACGCTAGAAACAGTTGTTGTGGCTCTATGATACTGTTATATGATGACCTTAAGCTTTGTAATAGGCATATAGCGAGCTATTTACTAATTCCAATGCAAAAGTACAATATGAATAGTACCGTCAAGGTAGTGCCTACTGTATGTTGTTCAATTAGAAATGGTGGTAAAGTATACTTTTTTGGGTACAATAATTGTATCACAGTAGCATACCAACGAAGTAATATGGCCATGAGGTGCTTCATCCGACTCTTCTTCCCTATCCAATGCATATAAAGTATATTGGTGTTTGTTGGACCCTCAATTCTATCTTTAAACGCATACAGTATGAATACTGCAGATAACTTGCAGTATTTTGACTTACATTTTAGCTAAGACGTAACCAACAACAGACCCTTTATCATCTTCAGCTAGAAATGACAACTAAATATAATAGTAAAAGATTAATAACCGTGTATTAATTAATTATTGAAGGCTACTGCGCCAATTTATTCATTAACCACATGGATATTGAAAAATTGATTAATGCGGCGAGCTGACGTATTAGAGGCTAGGCACAGCGCAAGTATTTCATACTTTACCTGGGGCCATGAAAGGCCATGATACAAGTAGTATTTCATTTGATAATTCTCCGGTAAGCATAGCAAATTACAATTTTGCATGTTCATCAAATCGGCTATCTGTTCATTATGGATATAGAAAAGATATGAGTGTAAGTTGATTCCGTTAAAGGAAGGTCGGAAACATTAGGACAGCTCGATCTTGTCTGGCCTCAGTTAAAAGAGTATTTCTTCCATTACCGTGTCCTCCTAGAATCTAGACTAATATCGATAATGTCCGGTTCTACAGTAGTAATATCTTTGCTATGTTGCATGTGTAATAAATCGACTATCTGTCGCTTATTTGAAAGATCTGAGTAGCACAAGATACTAGGAAAGCTAGATGCAAGCCCAGGTTGACTTTGTTTAGTCGTACAAATTGACCCTATTCAGTCATGTTATTAATGTATACTGTAGTGTTGTACATTCTCTTTGCGATTTTGAATGCTCATCGAACTAGTGTAGCTATCTGTCATTTGCTGAAAAAGGTTTTAGAGTGTAAATCGAAGGTATCAGTAGCGCAAGACATTTAAAAATAGATATCATCAATAGCAAAGAATCCGTGGCCGTGATAATGCAGGCTAAAATAGAATCATTTGAACTATTACTCTTCTACTAAGTTATTGATGATCAAAAGCATGGTCCAACATTGGCTGTCTACACCATACAACCTCATCATAGACTAACCGTTGCGTTTCGGATGTTCATTTTGATCGAAGGATATTAATTTTTTCTTAGTACCTACTGTACAGTCTAGTGTTGAAAACAAGCAAAGATAAAATATTGATTTAGCATCTATATCCACTCGATGAAGAAGGAACCAAATCAATTCTCAATTCTATTTCTTACACAAGAAGGAATTGGAGAAGGACACGAGTTGGATTGTCGCAGTCCTACAGGCTACAGTACTGTACTAGCTTCAGTACTAAGTACAGTAGCATTCGACCGAGGACTTGGGGAAAGAAAGAGAGAGGGACGGACAGGCAAAGGTGAGTTGAGTAAAAAGTGGCTACGATACGCTGCTGAAGAAAGCGTGTCCCAATGGCAGCTTCAAATCAACTTAGTAGGCTAATCGCAGCTAATTTGGATATCGATCGCGGACAGTATAGTGCACCATTACAGACATGCGATACAGTTGAAATGAGCTTTAAAATAATCAGCTTTCACATTATTACAGTGGTATGGTCAACAAGCGTTTCGCTTACCATCTCTTTCTTTTTGGTACTGTACAGTACAGTACTGTACTGTCCAGTGTCCAGATATACTGTACAGTACAGTACAGTACACTGTATTTCTAGTGGTCCTTGTCCATGACAATACTGTACACTGTACAGTATATGGTACTACCAGGGGCTTGGAAGACTATGATTAGTCTTGGAAGTCCCGGTACTACAATCTTGAGTTTTAACAGCGCAGGAGTGTAATGTACTCTAGCGATACTACCTTTCAAAATGCTTCTACTGTACAGTGTACAGTAGGCCATGAGGGTTTGTGAGTACGAGTTAAAGAAACGTAAGAAACAGCTCAGTACCATCTTGATCGTGTCCAGATTTCAGGTACTCGTACAGTACATTGCATTCGCATACGGTAGTACTGTACTGTAGAGTTCAGAAAAAACCATACTGTACAGTACAGTTACGGACAGTACAGTGTACAGTACATACTTACACTATCTCGCACTGTAACCAGTACAATGTACAGTACAGTACAGTACTGTACATACAGTACTTATACTGTACACAGTACTGTACAGTACTGTACTATCTTGTACTGTTACCTGTACAGTAGGCCCAGCCATAATAACCCCGATTACTCAGATACTCAGCGTAAATAGCTTAAACGATGATACTGTACAGTACTGTATCTCAATTTCTACTATACTGTACACTGTACACTAGTGTACAGTACAGTACAGCACTGTAGATTATTTGTACTGTACAGTACAGTACTCTAACTGCAAGAATTCCTCCTTACAGTACAATACACTACTGTACTGTACTGTAGCGTGTTGACAGCAGACACGTAACCACGTACTGCATGCAAACCAACCAGTGGACAGGTCGACGACGAAAAAAGAATCAGCTCCTCTTTTGCATTCTTGGGCGATATTTGGTTGTTTCCATCGGAAAAAAATTGCTCTCAATTTAGTCGACAATCATGAATGAAGAGTACGACGTGATTGTACTTGGTACCGGTTTAAAGGTCAGTGATTTTCATGCCTAGAAATAATGTTGAATAGAGACGACAACAAGAAATGGTTGAGAGATGAGGACAGTCATGCATCAAGTGTATCACCAACGCCGTCATTCCCTTGCATAGTGTTGACTGTAGTGTGTTGAGAACATCACTTATTGCTCATACTACATCAAATCAAGACTGGATAGTCAATCGTTCCAACTTTTTTCCCAACCAACTCCACCGACTACATCAAACGCCGATAGCGTTCTTGCCTACCATCACTTTCCACTCGTATTTTACCATCATAATGTTAAAGAATCGCTATTGAATCATGGAAATATTTGCAATTTTAACTTCAGTAGTAGTAGTAGTCGTAGTAGAAAGTCCATCAGTTGATCTTTTCGCTACAGTGTACCATGGCCATTGGATAGAGACGAATTCGATAGGGGGAGCATGATTCCCGTCGTTTTGTTGCCGGTTTAGTCAAATAAGCCAGTGGAGCAATAGTTGTGATCATCACACTATAAAGTGAAAATAAGAAAAGTGGAAGCAAAATAACCATTGAAAGACTGTTGAACCCGGCTTGCTGTAGTCCAATCGTTTTGATTGATATTTCAATTTATCTCGTCCTAATTGAATAAAAACGTAAATGAGCCAATTCTACAGTACAGTACTCGAGTCAGATGTAGTCTTACTTAGCCTTCAAACGACGATGACTAATCTCTCCAAGCAACGGTCATCAACTTGTTGCAAGGTGGCAAGAATCAGTTCAAAGCTACTTTAATCAATTTAAAATGAATTGGAGATAACCTCTTCTACTGGATAAAATAACCTTCATGTACAGTTAGGTCTTCCAAGGTGAATCCTGTGCATTTCTTTGTCATCTTGGTACGGCCTATTGTGTTTTATCCATTTGTCGTAAGCACAGCTTTCAATATTAGCAATATTCACGCACGAAATAGTATTTTTTTGGGGGGGGGGGAAAGATAATTCGTAGTAGATTGATGCTGCTGACTTGATTACATTAGCCTCTTTCTTACACGATTCAGTGAATGTTTTATTTTTTCTCCACCAATGAATTGATAACGAATCGATGAAAGAATAATGATTATAAGATGATGCTATACAGCATAATGTTGTCAGTAGTAGTAAATTGCTTTGTAAGACATCCAGTAGGTAAACATGTTCATTTTTGAAGCGTATGGTTTTTCAATTTTCTTCCCTAGACGTTAATTTATGGACTGAAAAGGTTTTAAAGAATAATGAATAAAACAAAATACATTGTACTTTTTCTAGAGAGAGTACTACCTTAGATGCCTTACTGCTGTACCTTAGTAACCTACTTTCCACCTTCATAGTCTCATCCCATTCATGATTGTCTCTGTCAACGCGCACAGACATCATAGAATTATTGTCCACTCTCTACAATATCTCCCTGTCTAATCGATACATAGTGCAGTATAAAAACCAATTGAAATACTTACAATTGGTAATTCCATTCCTGTAGATAAAACTACTATAGTGTTGAAAGTTGTGATTGAAGGAAATTAGTTTGTTCTACTTGAATTGGAATTAGATATACTCTTGGGTAATGGCTTGCAAATTGATTTTAGGAATGCATCCTTAGCGGCATGTTGTCAGTCAGTGGTCGCAAGGTACTCCATATGGACCGTAACAAATACTATGGTGGAGAAAGTGCATCCTTGACCCCATTGGAATCGGTAATGCAGCACAATTTGAAATGAATCATTTTTTTTCTTCTACCCATCCATTTATCTTTTATTGAACTACAGTATTTTGAATTGATAAACATCATCTTGATTGATATTCTTAGCTATTTAGCAAATTTGAACAATCGGATACCAATGAGAAATTTGGTCGTGGACGCGATTGGAACGTTGATTTAATACCCAAGTTTATAATGGCAAACGGTAAATATCCATCTACAGATTGATCTTACTGCTTTGATGTTTAAATATGCTTGTCCTCAAACGATAGATATTGCTAATACAGATCAAAATGGGCTGATCATACGCCATATCATTGAACAATAAAAGTGCATGCAATACTAAATTTTGTCTCGGCCTTGTAGTTCATGCAGCATTACGTTTTTCGCCATTTCTTGACGTTTACATTGATTAATAGTAATTAATAGAGTTATCAAGGACAATAGCTGTTACTAATTCCAATTGATTAAATGTTGAGAAAGTATCAGTACCAGTAGATAATAGTGGTACGAGTTACGATCTTTTTTTACCACGCTTTATACGAATATGTGTAATATGAAATTAAGATGAATGATTGGCCATTTGATTTGACAATATTGAAAGCTTACAAGAGTACCATACTATTACTCTATTCTTCAATGCCATATCATCACTTCTTGTTATTCATTCAAATTTCGAATTCCAAGACCTATTACTGTATCATTCTTATTCCAAGATGTTTTCTAAACTAGAAATTATAATTTAAAATTAGGCTGAATGACTATTTGCTAAAGCCGTCTTGATAGTGATGTTTTTAGTTAGATAAATGATTGGATCGTGCTATTGTATATATGTTATATACGTATACTTAAATATAGGCGCTAAATCGTAGATAAAGTAGATTTAGATTTTAATCTTTTAAGAATATATAGCGATGACTGCTTGGAAATTAGATTAGCATAGTATAGCCCTATTGCTGTGGTTTATTACAGTATATCAACTCTACATTATATTATACTTGTATTGTGTATTAAAAGGAGTAAAACAGTATCGGTAGTTCGTTAAGATAATAGTAGCTATTAGCTATTATGAAGACTGTTTCATGAATATTTTTACGCTCATTAGTATGGTGTGAAATGATTTTCCTGATTGAGATCTCCTAATTGTATAGCATTACGGACTTGTACAGTACAGTTGCACTGGCAAAGTACGGCACTTTCATAGATGTAATATCGATAGGTAGTACTATATAAAATGGGTTCAAGCAGGATAGTATTTACCTGGTATTTGGTTAATTGAATTTTGGTACTATATCATAAGCTTATTGAATCAGAAACTGATCCATTTTGAATATACTGTACTGTAATATCCAGCTGGTCATATCGGTACCTTATTATCCTGTTATCGGTGATTCGGTGTTAGACTGTTATTACGTTGCTGTATCTCTTCGGTTGCTATTCTCGTTACTATCTATAATCGTTTATAGTGTTGGATTAAATTTCAGTCACGTAGGATAGCGGTATTATGATATCCTCGTACCTTATAATTAATCCTTATTCCATGAAATGTCATGATTACTTAAGTTTATCATTCTTTGATGCATATCCGTTGTGATGATCATATTTCGGTTGTATGTCATCATGCTGTGATATTTTAAGTTGTATAAATAATTTCCTTTTATTATTTATTTAGGCCAACTTGTGAAGTTGCTCATTCATAGCGGTGTGACTCGCTATTTAGAATTCAAAGTAGTTGAAGGAAGTTTCGTATACAAGGGTGGTAGCGTTTACAAGGTACCGGCTGATGAAAAAGAAGCTCTAGCCACAAGTATGTAAAATTTTGATGAATATGCTTGAACAAGTTATTGCAATTCTAGTACTCGAGTACATAAAATTGGTTCTTGATATCATTTGGCAGGCCTGATGGGATTATTTGAGAAGAGAAGGTTCAGAAAATTTTTATTATTCGTTATGGATTTTAAGCAGGATGATCCTTCCACTTGGCAAGGTTTGCTTATCTGTAATTATATTTTAAAATTATTTCAATACATTTATAATTTTGCCATATTAAAATAGCAATTATTGTATTGATTTGATTTGGTAGGTACGAACCCTAAATCAACGACCATGAATGAGGTATATAAGAAATTCGGTTTAAGCTCCGGTACCGCCGATTTTACGGGACATGCGTTAGGATTGCATCTTGACGATGAGTACGTTATTTTTACTATCGTTTTTTGCTTTATTAAAAAGATAAACGGTCTATATATACTGTGAATATCTTTACAAGTAGTTATGAAGGTCACATAGTCCCGGTACACTGCGCTTTAGGTTTATGAAATGGTATTCTTTTCCATATGTCAAATAGTACGACAACGTCTACACGTACTTTAAAATCTGCTGATTTTAATTGTGCGTATATGTATGGTTACTACCATGTTAAAATTGTATTCCTACGTAAAGTAAAATGTAAATACAATAACACGTTGCAATGTATCATAGAATGCCAGTAGAGGTATAGCTAATTGACAATCTACTGTATAGGATGTATAATATTAACAGTTGTTATGTGTTACATTTATAATTATCTTATTTAATAGTATGTTGCTTAACTCAAATTGATTGATTTAGGTGAATTGCATTAGTTTCGTGCCATTTCATTTAACATGTTAATCTAGTCAAGTTATTCTGTTGCAATGATTCACAATTGATGATTATAATCAACGATTGTTTGATTAATTATTCGATATTTGTAATATTTTAATTTTTTTGAAATATCCCGCAGATATTTGAATGCAGCTTGTGGTGATACTATTCAAAGAATCAAACTTTATTAGTAAGACTTTATTTGTCAGTTTGATACATAATAGATTGATCGATCACAATGTATTAATCTATTTAGAGAATATTATCATCAACCTGTTGTTGAAACTTTATTAAGAAATGGTTATTTTTAATATCTTCAAAAGTGAGTCCTTGTCTCATTATGGTAAATCGCCTTATCTTTATCCTCTTTATGGTCTTGGAGAACTTCCTCAAGGATTTGCTAGGTCAGTTATCATTAGTGTTGTAGCAACGCATGCTGCAAGAATTTACTAAAGTGCTTGCTTATATCTTTATTGTACGTATTACAATAACACTATTATCAATCGATATTAGATTGAGCGCCATCTATGGTGGTACTTATATGCTGGATAAACCGATAGAAGAATTAGTTATGGAGAATGGTGTTGTTGTGGGTGTTAAGTCTGAGGGAGAGGTTGCTAGAGCGAAATGTGTTATTTGTGACCCTTCGTATTGCTCGAATAGAGCTAAGAAAGTTGGTCAGGTAAACTTTCATTTTAGTTACGCATTTATCGTTTGCAGTTTAAGCCGAAATCATTTCTGCTGCATAATGTTATCTACTATAATTGTAGGCTGTTCGAGCTATCTGTTTACTTAATCATCCTATCCCGAAAACTAACAACGCATCTTCGTGCCAAATTATCATTCCTCAAAACCAAGTTGGTCGCAAATCTGGTATGTTGTGATTTATATTTGCCTTCAACTATAGGATTAGTTGTAATCATTCTTCCTTGACTGTTTATTTAAATATTCTATTTTATAGACATGTATATTTGCAGTGTGTCTTTTACACACAACGTTTGCTCCAAGGGGTGGTATTTAGCTATTGTGAGTACGACCGTTGAGACGGATAACGCAGAAGCGGAGCTGAAACCTGCTTTGGATCTTTTAGGGTCAATCGAGAAAAAGTAATTTAACAGCCTTTCTATCACATGATATCATAATAAAATTTCTAGTAAATGTTAAGTGACTTACTTCATCTTCTTTGTAGGTTTATAGCTGTTAGTGACATATATGAGCCAAGTGATGATGGACAAGAGAGCAAGGTATGGATTGCGTGTTACATAAGTATAAGCTCGATTTAGTTTCGTGACTTTAATAAGTTCAATCGTTACGGTACATATTTTGTTATGGAATCCGTTTCGCCAATTATCTGATGAATTTTATATTTAATTTGTTGTTGATAATATAGGTTTTCATAAGTAAATCTTACGACGCCACAACGCACTTTGAAACAACATGCAATGACATCGTGGATATGTATCGTAGAGTAACTGGTTCAGAATTTGATTTTGCTAAAGTTCAGAAAGATCTTGAGACTGTAGAGCAGTAGGTGGTAACACTTTCTCTAAATGTTTTAAGTAAATCTAAAAACGTCTTTGGCTTTGGCAATGTAGTAATGATGAATTTGTAATTGCTTCGTGTGTTACACCGTTTACAGTGTTCAGTTATCGGAATACTACATTAGTGTTCTTATTAGCAAAGACGTACTTAGTAGCCGGCATATTATACTATTTGTGCAGATCTTAATCTTGCCTCTGCACACTGTGGTCTTTTTTCCCCTCTTTGTTCTTCACATTGGCGCTAGAAAATTGAAGTATTAAAATTCAAAATAAGTGCCTGAGATAAAATTCTAGAATAATGCTTATATAGTTGCATGTAGTTATATAGATTTAACCTTTTAAGCAATGAGGTGATTTGTTATATAATTATTTGTAAAGCTGTATGTTGACCAATAAATTCAATTTTTAGTATGGTATACCTTTTTAACCGGGGTATTCGGATATTACGACGCTTTTATCACTATTACGCTGTCAATCGTAACGTTGCATAGAGAAGTAATAATATCTATTGAGGCGTAGCTCAGTACACTGTAAGGGGTTGATTAATTTACGTTTTGATAATTTCTAGTTTTACGTTAGTCGTCTACATACTATTGAATAGCTTTGATTTGTGTACGACTGGAATGGCACGTTTATTATAGTAATTATTATTCTGGGTTTTGCCAGTTGTACACGCATACCAGCACACGTTAGTACAGGATATTGTATCGGTATCAAATCTTGAATATCATTCTAGATTATTATGCGGTAGTTTGTATATTATCTTCAAGCGTAGTATTTTAGAAGCTAATAATTAATCAATTGGATATGTATAGAAATAGGACAGTCGAAAGTAAACTCCGATCCAAATAATTAGAACTTTAGAGTCACTCCTGCTTGACAGTTTCTAGTATTAATTTTAGTATTGTACAACGATCTATTTGTATTTTTAATTGTGTAATGTACAACGACTTGAATCTACGGTCATCTTATTTCGGCATAATTACCCACTACTAAGGCACAAACGAAGTACAGACGTATACAGTACTTACTCTTAAATAGTCCATTAGAACAAAGCGGTGATATTCCACTCTTAGGGCCCGCAACAAGCACCTGGAGACGAACTACCATTCTACACTCTGTTGTACGTTTAATCATACTTGTGTTATACGTACTAAATATGAAATTGATAAATCACTAAACATAGACGATTTCCAATTATAGTCTTCGATCGTATTGGCACTTGGTGATTAACTGAAATTCGATTAGTGTAGGCACAGCCGAAGATTAATCCTCGATAAGAATGAGGCTAATTTATTTCTGGATTAATAATATTGTACACTCAAATATACAGTTAACCGTTGTATATAATTGTGGAAGCACATGAATTGGTAAGATAATCCCCAGGGGATTATGAAAGAGTCCCTCACAATTTTAGGAATGTACAGTAAATAGCCGGCTATTATACATCTTAGCCGAGATCGGGTTTTAGCCATGTCATATATAAGATTAGCGCCTAGCGTTTTGCAAAATACTTTCATTGGGAGTTTTTCGTAGACGATAAAAGAACTGACACCTTTTGACACCGAATTTCGCAGTTTTGAATCGTAGAAACTTGCTTTTTATTTTATCGATAATCATGAATTCGGAATATGATGTGATTGTGCTTGGTACCGGTCTAAAGGTTAGCGATAGTGATGACTAGAAATGATTTACTGTATAATATAATATCTATGAATATACTGTATGCCGAAATCGATGAGTAGAAATGAAGGGAAGATGCACTTAGTGAACGGCGACACAATGGTTTCTAAATATATAGTAGCATGTTTACAACGTAACCGAGTGGATAACTCAAGTCTATTAAATAACTTGTCACTCTAGATTGAGTGTTGAAATATTTCCCTGTGGGCTTAAACATCGAAAATCATCAAAGCAAAATGCCACCTTTGCCATGACTGGTATATTTCACCACGCTGATACTGAATAATCACTAGCGTACAGTACTTTATTATTTACATCTACACGCACTACGGTCACTGTATTTAATAGATAATTCATAAATTAACCCTATTTTGACGATTAGTAAAGCTAATTGCCTAGAAATCGTACGAATTTATTAGTGTGTGGAAGCCGTTAATCTTTACATCAATCTCTTAAGCTTTGATAAAGGTTAGAGGGTCAACCGGATATCTATCGATCTATCTATCTATAATTAATTTACTGTAATTGAGAATACATTTTTTAATTTCTCTCTAATATGTAATGCTATCTATATATATATCTATCCATGGATTGATCTGTATTATTATAAGGTATTTGTAGAACCTGCGTTCGTTATACTTTGCTTATAGTATACAGCTGTGTGTACTTGTACTTTTTACTTTTACTTTGTATTATAAATATTCGTTTTTGCTTCGGCCTGTGATCAACCAGGGAGTGATGATTGTAGAGCAAAACTACTGTTTACATTTAGCGTTCCGGTACCAGTAACCTCAAACTTTATTCATAAGCAAACATTAACTATCCGGGTACCATGTGAAGCGGAATAAGAGTAGAAGGAGTTTCTATCCTCTAGAGCGTCCCCATTTTATCTGTTTATATTGCAATAATTATATAAATTCTTACTATTTTATTCGTACTTCCTTTTGTTATAAAAACACAAATCAGACAATCAATCATCTAATGGTAAACTTGTCTTTCATTCAGGCAATAACATTATTACTGTATATAAGACTATTGTTTGAAGTTACGAAGAGAAAAAAGAAGATCAAAGTAGTATCCAGTGCTTACAGCAGCCCAACCTTCATTAATACTTCATTTTATCTCTTCCTGATTTAATAAAGTAATATCTCAATTAGAAAACTATACAAGTAGTATTGTTTCCTATCCGAATAGCAGTATTGCTACATATCGAATATTATTTAAAATAAGACTTGAAATTAGAGAAGAAAAGAGATAAAAGAGCATCTAGCACGATGCTCTAAAGTTACCCAATCTAATAAGCATAGGTACTTTTGGTCATTATGTAAATCTCCTGATATCGTAATGAAACTGTAATTTATCTCGTATCAACTTATTAGAGTAAATAAGACATGAAATAGTTTTGATTTTCCATTCAAGCGTTAACACTACCGCAGCATATACGATTGCTATTGTGTTGGAAATAAGTAGGCTTTATCAGCTCAAATTACTTTAATCAAAATCATACTACGAGTTTAGAGAAATATAAGCGATAAAATGCCCAACACGTAGAAATGACTAATCGAGTTTAATGACGTTTATTTCCCGATTATCTTGACACGGATTATAGTACTTTATCGCCCATCTAAAGTATCTATTTACTAGTAGCATCGCATGAGTAGTAAAATTTACTTACTTTATGTTAAGTATGTCGCTAGGTTGCTATGTATCGTATAATCTGTCGTTAACCTAAGATGACACTGCAGAATACTCGTCTGCACATGATCTATGTTTAATAATCTACTTTGTAGTATTTTACTATATTTAAAACATTTATAATTCGATTGAACTGGGGAGATATCGGGTACTTTAATTAGTATACGCGTGAAACTGCGATCGCTCGTTCTTATGTACAAGAGTAATAGTTCTCCAATTTTGTATTTCCATACATAAAGTGTAAAAACGATATCTTAATCGTTTATCGAGTTAGTTCTAACAAAAAATAAGTTTACACGCTTAACTTATAGCGTGAAATTGATATAATCAGGTAGCTACAGTTGGGCATGCTACGTACGATTTTTCTCGACACTGACTGGGATAAAAGCTATAATTTCCTCGATTTTATCCAGCGTAATTCTCTGCTGATACAATACATCCAGAAATCTTTACAAACATCATGGTTTATCATTTTTTATATTTGCAATAGATTTGACACTGATATGAAATTATAGGCTACATTAGTATCCTCTTTCTTACCTTTGCTATTAAGTATCAACATTTCATATATTCTCACGAAATGAGTAATAATAAATCGGTGAAAATCGGATATTAATAAATCATAATGTGCAGTAGATACCAGTCTTCTACGTTTGAGGAAAGCCATACCATATTCGTAGTTATGCAGGTTTAACCATTAAAATGATGTTGCTATCTAGGAAGCGTGTATATTAAGATAACCTCGCCGTGAATTTTCTTTTAATATATTGCTTTGTGCAGATTATGTTCCCGCTCATTTGAACGAATAATTTGCTAGTTACTTGTAGGGCAATTTGTTGATCAGTATATTCAATTTTTAGTACAGTAAACCTTTTAACCGAGCTGTTCGGATACTACAACACTTTGATCACTATTACGCTGTCAATCTTAGTGTTACATAGAGAAGTAACAATATCTACTGAGGCGTAGCTCAGTATACTGTAAAAAGTTGCTTAATTTACGTTTTAATAAGTTCCAGTTTTACGTTAGTTGTCTACATACTATTGACTAGCTTTGGTTTGTGTAGCAGTGTAGTGACACTTTATTATTCTAGATTTTACCAGTAGTGCACGCATACTGTTCAGAAAGTTCCCCCAAAATTTAAAAGAGTTTTATTCATTACAAATTTGGGTTCTTTTAGTAAAAGTTTATTGCGGTTTATGACGGACTACCACCATGTTTTACTCACAAATCCCTTTTCTAAATTAGATTTTATAGCACATAACCTGTTAAAATTAGGGATTATTACGGTACGAGCACACGTTAGCACAAGATATCGTGCTGTTATCATATCTTGAATATCAGTTTAGATAATTGTACGGCAGTTTGCATATCATCTTCAGGCGCAGTATTTTAAAAGTCAATAAATAGTTAATTAGATATGTATAAGGTAGAACAGTTGAAAATAAACCCCGATCCATATCATTACCAAATAATTGCTTTAGAGTTATTCCTGATTGAGAGTTTCTAGTATTAACTTTAGTATTATATAATTGTACTTTCAATTGTGTAATGTACAATGACTTTAATCTACGGCCATCTTGTTTAGATGTTATTACCCACTACTGAGGCACAATGGAAGAACAGACGTATACAATTCTTACTTTCAAATAGTCTATTAGAATAAAGCAACGCTATTCCACTCCTAAGCACCTGGAGATGAACCACTGTTCTATACATTGGTGTACGTTTAATCATGCTTGTATTATACATATTCTACATGAAGCGCAACGTTAATAAATTACTAGTTATAGACAACTTTTAATCATAATTTTCGATCGTACTAGCACTTTATGATTAACTGAAGTTCAATTAGTGTCGGCACAGTCGAAGATAAACGCTCGATAAGAATGAGGCCGTTTTAGGAGTTCAGGATTAATAATATTGTATAGTTCATCGTTTTATACAATTGTGGAAACACATGAATTGATGAGATAATCCCCTGGGACCCCTTAGTGTGTGTTAATCCCCTGGGACTCTTAATTCTCAGGGGATTATAAAAGAGCCCCACGGAGTTTTAGGAATGTATAGGTAATACATTTAATAGTATTAAGTATACAGAGTCGATGGTAGATTCACATTAATCACCTACTGTATATAAGACTAGCGCCTAGCGTTTTGCAAAGTACTTTCGCTGTCGGTTTTTCGCAGACGATTAAGTAACCGGCTCCTTGACACCGTATTTCGTAGTTTTAGATCTTAGGAATTTACTTTTTATTTTGTCGATAATTATGAATTCAGAATATGATGTGATTGTGCTTGGTACCGGTCTAAAGGTTAGCGATAATGATGGCTAGAAATGATATATAATATAATATCTACGATAATATGCCGAAATCGATGAGCAATGAATACAATTATGGGATGATGTTCTAAGTGAACGGCGACACAAAGGTTTCTAAATCTGTATTAGTATGTTTACAACATAACCGAGCGGATAAGCTAAGCCTATTAAACAACTTATCACTCTAGATTGAGTGTTGAAATATTTTCCTATAGGCTTAAACATGAAAAATCATCAAAGCGAAATGCCAACTTTGCCAGGGCTAGTATATTTATCACACTGATACTGAATAATCACTAACACACTTTATTATTTAAATACATCTGCACGCACTTCGGCAATTATTTCATAGATAATCCATAAATTAACCCTATTTTGACGATTAGTAAAGCTAATTGCCTAGAAACCGTACGAATTTATTAATGCGTGAAGGCTGTTAATCTTTATATAAATCCCTTAGGTTTTGATAACGGTAGAGGATCTACCGAATATCTGTCTACCTATCTATCTATCTATCTATCTATCTATCTATCTATCTATCTATCTACTCGTATCTATCTATCTACTCGTATCTATCTATCTATCTACTCGTATCTATCTATCTATCTATCTATCTATCTATCTATCTATCTATAGTTTACTGCAATTGATCAAATGCTTTTCATTTCTCTCGAATACATAACATTATCTATCTTTCTACACGGGCATATCTATCTATCTATCGATCTATCGGTCGATCTGTATTAGTGTAAGATATTATTCACTTACTGTTCGGCCTGTATTCAAACATGGAGTGATGATTATGGAATAAAACTACAGTTTACCTTTAGCAATCTGGTAATCTCCAACTTTATTTATGGCCACACATAGTTATAGAATGCTGTGTAAAGCGGATTAAAAGTAAGAAAAATAAGGGTAGTTGGGGCTCTTAGCGCCTAGAGTGGCGTCATTTTATCTATTTATGTTGTAATAATTGTATAAAGTTTCACTATTTTATTTGTACTTCCTTTTATTACACCATAACCTAATAAAAACACAAATCAGGCAATTATACAATGGTAGACTGGTTTATCTTTCAGATAATAACATTATTACTGTATATACGACTACTGTTTGAAGATATGAGGAGAAAGAAAGGATCAAAGTAGCATCCGGTGTTTACGGTAGCACAATCTTCATTGATACTTCATTTCATCTCTTCATGATTTAGTAAAGTAATATCTCAATTAGAAAACTATACTAGTTGTCTTATTTCTCATTAAAACAATAATATTGCTACTAATCGACCATTATTAAAATTGAAACTTACTATTAGAAAGGAAAAGAGATTAAAGAGCATCTAGCATGATGCTTTAGAGTTACCTGATCTAATGGAACTTTTGGTCATTATGTAAATCTCATGATCTTGTTATGAAACTATAATTTATCTCGTATCAGCTTATCACAGTGAATAAGATATGAATTTGTCCTGATTTTCATTCAAGTAATAACACTTCTACAGCATAGACGACTGTTGTTATGTTGGAATCAAATAGGCAAACGTCAGTGGAAATTACTTTAATCGAATACACACTACGAGTTTAGAGAAACATAAGCGATAAAATGTTCCACGCGTACAAATGACTAATCGAGTTTTAATGATGTTTATTTCCCTATCATCTTGACACGGCTTACAGTGCTTTATCCAAGTTTCAAATGCTAGCAAGACTAGCTTTATTACTTATCTAAAGTGTCTATTCACCAGCAGCATCTCACTGAGTAGTAAAATTTACTTACTTTATACTAAGTATGTTGTATGTTCCTCCGTATAGTATAATCTCCTGTTAATTTAAGATGACACTGTAGAATACTCATTTGTAGGTGATCTATATTTAAGAATCTACTCTGTAATGTTTTACTGTATTTAAAATCCTTATAATTCGATTATAGTGAGGGGAGATATTGGGTATCTTAATTGATATAAATGTAAAATTAATATCGCTCGTTCTTATTTACGAGAATAATAATTCTCCAATGTTGTGTTTCTGTAAATGATGTATAAAAACGATATCTTAATCGTTATCGAATTAGTTCTATTAACGAAACGATAAATTTGCACACTTAACTGATGCCCCATAAATCTTCACAAATACCACGGTTTATCATTATTTTAAATTTGCAGTAGATTAGCGCTGACATGAAATTACGGGTTACATTAGTATCTTCTTCCTCACCTTTGCTATTAAGTATTAAGTATTTTATATCTTCTTACGAAAAGAGCAATAAAAAATTGGTGAAAATATGTTGATAAAAACGTAAGATACAGTAGATATCGTATTGCTGTAATTTAGTAATATACGTACATTTCGTCTTTATGTTCTGATTGCAATCATCATTGTAGTAGTATAACTACCATGTCATATAGTTTATGCCGCCACCAATCACATTAAAAATGTAACCGAAATACTTCAGATGTCAATACTACTTGAGTTAATAAAGAGCTTCAATTTGAATAATCAATATTTATGATTAAAGAACTTGTTTTTAATTTACTTAAATTGGAATTTGATATACTGTACTATTGGCTTAAAAAATTGGTTTAGGAATGCATCCTTAGCGGTATCTTATCAGTTGAAGGTCGCAAAGTACTCCATCTAGACCGCAACAATTATTATGGTGCAGAAAGTGCATCGATGAGCCCATTGGAATCGGTAATGCAATATACTTGAATTGATCATGCTTGTTTTGTACATCCGCTTCTCAAGAATTGTAGAATATCCATAGTGCTAAAATAATCTGCTTGCATATTGCCAGTAGCCATGAATAAATACTTTATTACCCAGCTATTGTAATTAATGAAATCATTTTTATTCATATTAGCTATATACCTTATTTGGTGAAACACTCGAAGGTGAAAAATATGGTCGTGGACGCGATTGGAATGTTGATTTAATTACCAAATTTTTAATGGCACACGGTAAATACCCATCTGCAATTCGAATTGCTGAATTAATGTTGAAATTTTCTGATCTTTAACTGTTGGATATTGCTTACCCTTGGTTATATGTTATGTACAGTAATGTAATAGTGAAATGTTTGTATAATCTTTTTGGACCCAAGTATTGTATTACGTGCAACATTAGGTTTTACATCATTTATTATCGTGTATACTCGTGTAAAATAACTATAATTTATAGTTATGAAGGACAATATTTATTACTCATTTCTATCATCTTAATATCGAAAAAGTATCGAGAGATAATAGTAGTACGAGATACGATCTTTATTGCGATCTGTAATGTTAAAATGGATGACTGTCTATGTTACTAGCAAATTAAAAAAGTATCATTTATTAATCTATTTTAAGACATCATCATCATTTCTTTATTGCTCATCAAAAGCTATAGCCTTAACGCCTATTTCTGTACATTGCGACTATCATCCCAATGCATTTTCTAAATTCTAAATTCTAAATGATAATTTTATGAAGAAGATTTAATTGAAGCGACGATCTTAGTGGAGATGTTATAACCCTGTTCAACGTATATATCGTATGCTGTTCAGTAAATTACAGATAAAATAGACTTTAATCATTTAATCTGTAACTGTTTTTCGGAAAAATTGGATTAGTATCTTACAGCTAAATCGTTGTGGTATAACCAATTATTTTAATTATAAATTATATTTACCGAAAGGTGTAAAGCAATAATTTGATATCATCAAGACAAATTGCGGCTATTATAAATACAATATTATTGATATTTATTTGAATATCTCTTAATAATATAGTAAAACATTACTGATTTGTATTAAAAGAGAAATTTCGTAGACTTAATGTCGATATACATGAGATTAGTTAAAGCAAAATAGCACTTTATCGGTTTATAATAATATACAATGCTTAGTACTATATCAGTATATTGAATCGGAAACTTATCTATTTTGAATATATTATCCTGTTATCGGTGATATAGTGTTATTATCTCTTGTTTTTCTCATTATTACAACTATGTCATGTTAGGTTCATTTTCAGTTACTGCAGGACGAAGCTATTTTATGATATATGGAACAATTCTTATTCCATTAGCTAACTACTACTAATATTTATCATGTTTTGCAATGTTATTTTCTGACATTGATGTTATTTAATGCATATATATATCACAGTGATCATATTTTGATGGTATTACTATCATTATGTCTAGATATTTCGAGTTGTAAAATACTTTGTACACGATTCGTATATTACGTCTGATCCATTTTCTTGTACATTTAGGCCGACTTACGAAATTACTCATTCATAGCGATGTAACTCGCTATTTAGAATTTAAACAAATAGAAGGCAGTTACGTATACAAAAAAGGTGGTAACGTTTATAAGGTGCCGGCTAGTGACAAAGAAGCTCTAGCGTCGAGTATGTAATGTTTTAATGAAGAAGCTTGAACCGAGAATATTTTGATTTTAAATATCTAGTAAAAAAATATATTATTAATATCATTTGGCAGGCTTGATGGGAATATTTGAGAAGAGGAGATTCCGCAATTTTTTAATATGGGCCCAGAGTTTAAATTTCCAAGATCCAAAAACTTTTCAAGGTTTTTGATTATATCGTTATCCGTATTGTAGCCATATTTAATTTCAATTTCAATTTAATTTTCCAATGGATTTATAAAGTACCGATATTAAAAAGCAATGATTAGAGTAATGTTAATTTGTTTGGTAGGTGTCGACCCTGAGAAAACGACAATGACTGAGGTGTACAAGAAATTTGGTTTAGATTCCAATACAGCTGCTTTTACAGGGCATGCGATAGCGTTATATCTTGATGACGGGTACGCTGCTATATTATATTTTTTCTATTTTATTAAAAGTAGAAACAGTATACTCGTATATGTAAATGATTTTACGAACAGTCTCAATAGGCAACACGGCAGTGCACTGCCAGTTAGCTTTATGAAATCGGATTGTTTTTTACGTACTGTATGTCAAATAATACAGAAGCTACACGCATGTTTAAATTCTTCAAATTTATTCTGCGTGTATAGTGGCTATCATATGTAAATTGAATCCTCCACTTGAGATACAAACATAATTCTACATTGTGCGGTGCATAATAATACATAATACGGTACAATATGAATAGAAGTAAAGTTAATTTTGAACTTATTTGATGTGTAATATAAACAGTAAGTTGTAAAATCTATTAAAACTGCTATTGTAAGTAACGACGTTGTGGCTCATACTCTCTCAGCAAAGCAACGGGTTGTAGAATTAGTACTTTTTGTTGAAATAATATTGTTACATATATAAACATGAGGTGAATTAAAATTAATTTCCCGCCCTGTCATTTAACGTGTTAACCTAGTCAAGTCGTTTCGCTGATATAATCACAATTGAGGACTGTAGTCAACGATCGTATGACTATTGACTGGATATTGTAATTTCATATTTACTGACTTTTGTATATTACAGATATTTGGAGAAACCTTGTGCTGATGCAATTAAAAGAATCAAGCTTTATTAGTAAGGTTTTAGGTTACAATTTCATACATAACAATCAATTGGATCTATATCCATATGGTTATATCTATATTGTCTTGATGTATTAATCTACATGTTTAAAGAATATTCTCGTAAGCTTGCTGTTTGAAATTTTGTTGATAATAAAATTTGCTATTTTTGATATTTTGAAAAGTGATTCCCTTTCTAGTTATGGCAAATCGCCTTATCTTTATCCTCTTTATGGCCTTGGAGAATTTCCTCAAGGATTTGCTAGGTCAGTTATCGCTAGTGTTAGAAACTGTTCTACTTACACAACTGCAAGATAGACTAAACTAAATTTATTTCTCATCTCTTTACAACGCATATTAAATGATTCTGCTGTCATTCTATAATAGATTGAGCGCCGTTTATGGTGGTACTTATATGCTGGATAAACCGGTGGAAGAATTAGTTATGGAGAATGGTGCTGTTGTAGGTGTTAAATCTGGGGGAGAGGTTGCCAAAGCAAAATGTGTTATTTGTGACCCTTCATACTGTTCAGATAAAGTTAAGAAAGTTGGTCAGGTAAATCTTTTGCTGCCGTGCAATTACAGTATTGTTTATAATTTGAGCCGCAATAATATCAGCTGCCTAAGGTTAGCTGTTGTGGTACCTTTAATCATAATGTAGGTTGTTCGAGCTATCTGCATACTTAAACATCCCGTTGCTAAAGCTGGTAATTCGTCTTCATTCCAAACTATTATTCCTGCAAATCAAACTGATCGTAAATCTGGTATGCTATGATTTATAATTTTACAGTTATTTTCGAATGTAAAATTAATTATAATTATCATTCTGAATTGTTCCATTATATTTTACAGACATATATGTTTGCTTGCTATCAAATTTAAATCAAGTAAGTGCCAAGGATTTCTATCTAGGTAGTGTGAGTACACTTGTTGAAACGAATAACCCAGAAGCGGAGTTGAAAATTGGTTTAGATCTTTTATCGCCAATCGAGCATAAGTAATTTATCAATCTTTCCACCATATGACATTATAGCAAATTTCTAGTCTTATCTGACGTAATTCGTATACTTTGTAGGTTTATATCTGTTAAAGACATATTTGAGCCAACAGATGATGGAAAAGCTAGCAAGGTATGTTTGATGGTATTGTGTATTACTCAAATTTCTACGTTCGATCGATTCAATTTTCATGAGTTGTACTAGCTACATCAATTCACCGTATTTTATTATGCAATCTACTTCAGTAAGAACTTGATTTCATATTAATTTTACCGCCAATGGTGTAGATTTTCATAAGTAAATCTTACGATGCCACATCACACTTTGAAACAACATGCGATGATATCGTGGATATGTATTTTCGGATTACGGGTTCGAAATTTGATTTTGAAAAGATAAAGCTAAATCTTGATGAGGCAAAGAAGCAGTGAAGCTTTTTCTAGCTTCAAGTATTTTGAGTCAATCCACGATGTTTCTGGCTTTGGAGATGTAGCCGTTGCTTCATGTATTACGATATTTAGTAATGGGAATACTACATTAGTGTTCTCAATAGCAAAGACGTACATAGTAGCCGATATATTATGCTATTTATGCAGACCTTCTTCATACCTATACACATTATTACGGCTTATTGTCCTTCTTTGTTCTTCTTATTGGCACTAAAATTGGAAACGATTCTAGAATAATGCTTGTGTAATAGTTTCTAAAATAGATTAAGTAAATTAAGAAGGTCTTTAGCAATCGAGTAGTGATAGATTGTTATGATTGGAGTACAGGAATACCGGCACTATACTATCACTCCTTTAGCAAAAATATGCTTATTAGTAGCCGGCATTTGTATTATAATATAATTATTTTGGTGCAGATGTTAATTTTGCTTCTGCATATTTGCTTTGTCTCTATCTTCCTTGTTTTTCGTATTCAATATCGCTAGAAGATGAAAATACTAATCATCCTATATGAATATCTGGTTAAGATGCTAGAATAAGGTTAAGTAGTCGGGTAATGGTAGTGATGATGACTACATAATAACTGTATCGATTGAACTAACTAAGCTGTGAGGTGATTTATTAAGCGTATCATTATTTGTAAGACCGTATGTTAATCAATAAAGTTTATGGCAACGTGTTACAACATCTTCCATCACTATTATTTTATTAAGCGTAATGTTATACCGTGTAATGAAGCAGCAATCTCTACTGTATTATCGATGACTATAAGATTGATTGATTTACTTTTGGACAAGTTTGAATTCCAACTACTATGACATATTTCAGCGAAGAGCTTTAGCTTGTGTAGCGCTATAGTCGTACTAACTTATATCGGGTTATGGCACTTTAGCAAGCCGGTGATTGCACTGAATTCCTGTATGTCGGTATTCTATACGTACTAAAAACTGAAATAAACTATTAATAAAATGAACTTAGTCCTAACCTTGCCCTACCTACTCCTAATTCGATTCCTAACCCTCATGGCAGTTCTAATCAGTAATAACTAGTCAGTTGTAGCATAGTATTAACCTGTAGTGATTTTAATATTCCTTTCAATAACATCATATTGTCTATGTATACTGTATTGACACCTGTTCTACGTAAGCATAGTTGATTTAAACTACTAGTTACTGTAAATTGATCCATAATTCTACCATCTTGTTCTTACTATGCATTGTAAGTGTGAACGGTGCAGGTATCTAAGCCGCCATTTTTTCCATCCGTAAACTCAATGCATTCGTAGTTGGTTTCCCGTCAACTTTGACTATGCTACTACTCGCTATGTTCAGATCAGTGATGTAATAAATTTAAATTTCTTTACAGCTATGAATTATATATTTAATAATTAATTATAGTCATGTGAATACACGCGCATATCTCCTTTCATGAATTGCTTTTAGTTAACACTATAGAGGTGCAATAAGTTCCTTTGCTCATAGATATTTAATACTTAACTAATTAGATATAATTATATGAAGATACTGGTATATCCCTTTTCGTGATAAGCACGTAGCCAATACTAGAGAGGTACTGTACGTTCCCGTACTCAATTTTATGTTGAATAATTAATTATAATCATATGAATATACGCGTCTATCCCCTTTCGTGAAATACATTTAGTCAATGCTATAGAGGTACAGTACTGTAAATTCCCTTACTCAATTCTATCTATTTAATAATTCATTAAATAATCATCATATATTAACACTATAGAAGTACAGTACTGTAAATCCCTTTACTCAATTCTATCTATTTAATAGTTCATTATAGTACTACATCATCATATATCAATACTATAGAGGTACTTCATGAATTCTATCTATTTAATTCATTATAATCATATTTTATACTATATAGATGAATATACGCGTGTATACAGTATATTTGGTTTGGTGAAATGTATTTAGTCAATACTATAGAGGTACAGTACTATAAATTCCCGTACTCAATCCTATTTATTTAATTCATTATAACCAAATTTTATGTAATATTATATAGATGAACATACGCGTATACAGTGTATATATACAGTATATCGGGTTTAGTGAAATGGATGTAGTCAACACTGTAGAGATACAGTATTGTAAATTCCCTTACTCAATTCTATCTATTTAGTTCATTATAATCCTATTTTATATAATATTAAATAGATGAACATACACGTGTATACAGTATATCGGGTTTGGTGAAATATATTTAGTCAATACTGTAGAGGTACAGTACTATAAATTCCCTTACTCAATTCTATCTATTTAATTCATTATAATTTTATTTTATGTAATATTATATAGATGAATATACGCGTATATATACAGTATATCGGGTTTGGTGAAATGTATTTAGTCAACACTGTAGAGATACAGTATTGTAAATTCCCTGACTCAATTCTATCTATTTAATTCATTATAGTCCTATTTTATATAATATTATATAGATAACATACACTTATATATACTGTATATGCACAGTATATCAGGTTTGGTGAAATATATTTAGTCAACACTGTCGCGATACAGTACTATAAATTCCTTTGCTCAATTCTGTCTATTTAATTCATTGTAATCCTATTTTATATATATATATTATATGTCATTTGATGAAGTGCACTTAGTCAACACTATACAGGTACAGTACTGCCAATTCCCTTACTCCATTCTCGTATTTATTATATAATATCCACGCGTACTGTCTATCCCTTTTGGTGAAATACACTTCGTCAACACACTGGAGATAGCGTAAATTCCCTTACTGATTTCTCTCTCATAAATTATAATTAATTCATGAAATTGATATGAACATACGCGTCTAGACAGTAGTATATCGCTTTAAGTGTAATGCACCCAGTCAACACCATCGAGGAACTGTAAGTTTCTCCCTAATTTCGATCTATTAAATAAATCATAACCAATGAATTAGAACAACATAGGCGGCAATCCCTTTTGGTGAAATGCACCCAGTCAATACCATCGAGGAACTGTAAGTTTCTCCCTAATTTCGATCTATTAAATAAATAATAACCAATGAATTAGAACAACATAGGCGGCAATCCCTTTTGGTGAAATACCTTTCATCAAGGCGATAGAGGTACTGGAAGTTCCCTTAACGTCTATAGTAAAGTGTGATACCGTTTGAAGAAACAGTACCGTACTATCCATTTCTCTACAATGCCGTCGTGGTCAAAGTGGATGATGATGACACGTCCACTCCAGGTACCGTACGTGCTGTCGTCAGTGGTAATGCACTCTTACCATAGTGCTAATGCTAGTGTGGTGCTGTAGTCCAACTCACGTTGTCGCTTTTGTATAGTAGAAAACTGGTGGGTGCAGTACCGTACCAGGTCAACGCATCGATACAGGATGCGGTCGTGGCGCAGTGTATTACGATCAGCCAGTGTGTTCGTGGTGTCGTTCAGTGTGATTGGCTGATGAGGGGACGTGGCATAGTGACACTCGAGCGCGTTGCAGTTGACGCCACTGTGTTCCAACAGGACGCCTAGCAATAGAAGACAGTATAGAGCTGCAGCACAAAGCACAACCCGCTATACTGTGTCAACAGATTGGCCCAATGCCCTGTAGCATAACTGCACGTGTGCTACCCAAGCTACAAAGCCAAGGCACAATTGCTTAGATGGCAATCTTAGAGTCTACTTTTACCCTGTGATTTGCCTTTTTCTTTGCCTCTTTTGCCAACTTTCTTTCCCCCCCTCTCTCTCTCTCTCTCTCTCTCTCTCTCTTGAATCCCTTAGTATGTAATAGAATTACGTGGATACATTATTTCCATCTATTTCTTCACAAGAAAGAATCGTCATTAGGAAAAGAGATGGACTTTCAAGCCATTGCTGCATTAAATCAAATGTCTGATCTCTCCATTCCTTCCAAGGTAACCATTTTTCGCTTCTTTGATTGCAATACCATGACTTGATCTACTGTGGTAGCTAAAATTGCTACCATATCTTTTTCAATGCCTACCCTACTCGTTGATATTGGATTCATACTGTACATCACTGACCATGAATTGATAGAAAGGGTCGAAAAAACGATATCATTAACATTGGAAGCATGACTCCATTGACAGAACTATTTCGTCATATTGATACAATACCCTGACCGATGAGCAACAGTAGGATACATCACTATGCAGGTGCATACCAAACATGTTGTTGAAGGCGATGCTGTTTTCCAGTTTCTTGATCGATCTAATCGTTTTCAAGGCATTTCTCATATCTTCCATCTTAGTTCTTATACGGTCACTTCCAACTGAATCTTGTTCTCAGTTCATGTTGCATACAGTACGATACAATGGAATCGAGTTGACATTGACCTTGCATCACCAGCATTGGTCTCCTCCACCTATTAATGTATATTAACTTAAAGAAAGCAATTTAGCTTATTAGCTTATTATAGCGCTAAATCGCTAGGTTAAACTCAGTAGCGATCATCAAAGTTCCATTAGAAAAGGTGCCCGATAATAAGGATGGAATAATCAATGTATTGACTTGAACCAACGTATCAAGACTCTAGCAGTCAACAGCCTTATTATCAATTGTCTTGCCTGCATCCTCATTCCAATGCATAGGATTAGTTGAAAATCCACACCATGGATCCGTTAGTTTTATCTAGATGCTATAGTAGCTTACAATCAAGGGTATACCAATCAAATGGAGAGCTTAGAGTAGATGTTAGCTAACATATCTCGCTAGATAGTCCTTTCAAGGTGCATGTCGCGCTATACCAATTTGCAGTAGGAATCATCGAACGATAGGGTACTTCTATGGATTGCTATCGACTTGATCCGATTGCTATTCCTAGTTCTAAGTAACTTCTTATTTGCTATTAAAATGCATATATACGCGTATTTTCCTCGGTCTGCTTGGGGTACTTGATTGATACATGCATGGCTAATGAATTACCACAGGATATGAAGTAATATAAATCTTACAACAGACCCTTACGATAACATACTACAGTACTAGACAAGGTTATTTAAAGTAATCTTAACATCCTATTTTTTATTCAGAAATTGTTTACACCACAGTGCGGCGTAGCAAACTGAGTTATGGCAAGTTGTAGCCCGGATGGCTTAAAGAGACTCTTTCCACTCAACTTGACTGCGAGATTGATGATATTCTACTACTTACTGTACAACTAATTTCTGGTTGGGTTGGAAGTACTTATTAAACATTTCCTCTGGTTGGTTTGTCTTAGCTCGTTATCCAAATCGTTCGAGTGTGTAGTCTTGTATAACACTGATCATTTTGATGCCCCCACATACAGCATCTATGTTATAATATACAGTAGTACGGATCCAATCGTGATACGTCTATTTTATACCATATTGTAGATAATTAATTAATTTGCACGATGTAAGCCATGATATACGCATAATGCAATACGAATCTGATTGTGATATGCCTAATTGATACAGGTATTGAAGATAATAAATAGGCACGATGCAAGTCATGATATGCGATATGAATCCAATCATGGAATGTATGATGGATATCAATGCTGGAGATAATTAATAGGCATAAAACAAACCATGACATAATTTACGTGACTTCGGATCTACTCATGATACGTACAGTACAGTATATCTAGTTTATACAATATTAGAGATAATTAATCCGCACGATGCAAGCCATGATGTTTTATCTCCAAAAAATGAATTCTTCTTATACGAGTAATTAATAGAATCGTGTAATTTTATTGCGCTTTTGTGATATAATTAAAATATGTATGTAGTAAATTCGAGTTGAAGTACGCGTACGCGTATACTTATACTTCCACAATACTAAAGACACCGGAGAGAATGTTATTTTTTCAAATTTTGTTTATATATCCTCGTTGCTTATTTTACGCGTATTATACTGTTTATGACCAACGATCTAAGATTCCTGTTAGTCTTCTTTTAATAGCCTGAGATAGTCAGATAGTAAAAATTGAACCTATTTATCCATCAGCTGTATTAATTAGAGTAGCCGAAAAGAATACCTTGATTTCATTATTATTATTTTTTATTATCTTACGTAAAGTAAATTCTTCATACTGCACAATGCATCCAAATGCATTACTTCATGTCGAGCACTCTTTCTTTATATGCCATTATTTCTGATTGGAATAACAATGACAAAGTGTCATCATTTTGATTATTCCTAGTGCAGTTGCTAATAAATAACCTGAGACAGAATTTGGTCGTTGTTTGGTAGTATTAATGACATGACATCCAATTTTTTGCAGGAGGTTATACAAGAGTTGGATCGATTAAAAAACTCACCCCAAGGATGGAAATTGTGTGGCGATAGTCTGGTCAAAAGACTTTACCGGTAAATTACTTCTAAACTGTGTCATCTTTCAGTACTTTGCTATAGGCCTTAATGTAAAATATCGATATTAGAATTTACTATACTGTGTAAGTAAGTGCAATAAGTATTGTTATGAAGAAAGAAACAAATGCACTTAGCTATGAACTAGACGCTAAACCATTTACTATTTTCTTCAACATGATGAAAAATTATTCTATAATCTTACTAGTTATGAATATCGATTACTAAAACGAAATACTTCAGCTACTGTACAATATAATTGTAATTTACTTTTATCTGGTATCAATATTTGCTACAAATACTATTAGCTAAATATTGGACGTAAATAAGAAAAATTGTTTAAATTAATCTATGCTAAATTTGCTATCAAAAATGTGGTTTAATTTCTGTTTGATATATTTTTACCAATTCTTCTGATTTTCTGCAAGTCAGTGAATTATGAATGTAGCAAATTGTTAATCCACTCTACACGATGTTATAGATTCACTAACGTACTAACGTTGTATTTACTTATACTTAAAATGATGTACTAGTGATGACTACATGAAATTTATGTGTATGCAAGTACTGGAGCATTACTTAAAAAACAAGTAAGTCTATTGTTGGCTTTATGGTAACTATCAATTGGAATAAAGTTATTCCTATCCTAACATAAAATATATACAGTTGCATTCCTATTGAATACCCGACAATTTAGCAAGCTTATAAAGAGTTTGGAAATGAATCAGATTTTATTGACAGCAGGATTGAGTGGAAATGCTAAAATAATTTGTATCACCATAACTAAATATGTCTACTGTGTTGAACATACTCACGTAGCTTAAAAAACAATATAAATGTTATTTTCCTTAAATACAGCATATCATGTTGATCAATCATCATTTCGTTACAATTTTAAATTTTATCCTTATTTTTTCAGTTATGATATCACGGCAACGTTTGTTAGGCTGATATTATTACTTGTTAACTTTATTTATAACATTGTCACTTGCAATTACCTATAGCTACTCTTCTGCATCTTACTCTGACCAACAAGTCTTAAAGGAATATTTAATTAGTTGGCTTAGACAGGTAAGTTCCTTCGAAAAATGCTATAACAAAAGCTCAAATATAAACCACTGACGTCGTATATTGTAGAGTATTCTGTAAGGTTATTGTTTTGAATTTGGCTAAGAATTATGAGCCTTGGTGACGATAGTATCTAATACCATAATTATCGCAAAAGACAAAAGTAACAATAGCAAAAACATATTCAAACGTGATGAATTCGTGATAGAAACATATTATTATCATGTCGTAAATGACAAAACAGTCCGGGATGGCTAAAGCCATTAGTAGTTAAATTTTTAGCACTAGATGGGATCTATTGGTAACCTTTAAAGATACGTATTACCTATTAGAATAGATCAACGTACTGTAATAGATATAGTCAGCATAAAAGTGTTGAAATCATTTCTGACGGTGTTAGGCCAGGATTAATTAATTACAGCTTAGTACAATACAGTCATTAAATATGTAATCATTTTTATTAAAAATATTTCGTTAACAGTACTGTTATGAGCCCATTGATGCCAATTATTTAAGAAATAAGATGGCGCAGATCTTCAGCTTGGCCTTCGTCGGCGACTATCCTGATCGGGTACAGTTTGTATACTTACTGTGTGATTTCATTTATTATAGCATTGTTATAACTATACGTTACATAGTTAATTACATTTTCCGATCTAAAGATATAACAGATAGTATTTGATGTAAATGGATAACTTATAAAAATAGATGAGAGACTAATCTAGTAACGGCTGAACGCTATTTTATTTAGTGGCCATCATTTTTTGACGATCTGCTGGGTTTTATGTCAACTGGAATAAATGCGGTGGACTTTTATTTGAGGACTTTATTAGCAATCGATAGCGAAGTTGTCGATCGTGACATCCCTCACACACCAGAGGTATGATAACGCTAGGGTGCTAGAATCAGCTATCCTATTTTATGTAGGGTTAATTTTTATGTCTAAATATATTTTGTAAAAATTGGTATAAAATTGTTACGTTATGAATCGTACAAAGTACTCAAGTTTTATTTTAATGGAATAGCATATAAACAAACTACCTGTTGTTATAGGAACTCGTACGGAACACTGCCATAAAAGATGCGATGCGTATTCGATGTATTTCAGACTTAGTAGAATCTTGGTATCAGATATTGGTAAGCATTGCTGTTGATCGTAACCTTTATTGATTGACTACCGTAATACGAGTAAACGAGTATATTGTTTCTTTATTTTCAGCAAACATACGATAGCTCTCAACATGAATTAACTTGTCTTTGTTTACAAGTAATCGGAGCTTATGTATCATGGATTGATATTAATGCTGTTGCTAACGACCGTTTCATAAGGCATGATATAACTTCTTGTTCTGTCAAATTTTACTTTTAATTTCAATTTTTGTTTCGTTACGACTGAAAAAAGCTAACTATGGTTTACCTAATTTTGCTATTTTAGCCGATTGCTATTGTATCTTAAGGTCGACACATTAAGAGAAAGTGCTTGTGATTGTATTTTCGAAATTATGAACAAAGGTCTCGTATTCATAAGTTGGCAATGATATTTTTAGAAAATGGAAATAACGCGGACTTTTGCACGTAATACTATAATTTTGCAGGTTACTTACGGTTTACTTTATTATAAGTAGGTATGGATGCTGGAGAGAAAATTAAATTAGTTGAATCGTTAGTAAATGTTTTGGACAGTTGTGGTATTTTTGCGTCATTGGGGGTAAGACAAATGATTACATTGTAGTACATTCGAAATGCTTCAATTGTTTAATTGGTTCTAACAAAATTTATGACCCATTTTAACGTATTGTTCTTAGGATATCGATGCTGACTATGCTGCTAAGTTAGGAAAGTTGGTCAATGGTATTGGGACGTCGCTCATTTCTAGCTGGACAAAGTAATGAGAATTTTAAATTTTAATTGTACTTTTTTAGTGATTTATGCCTGAAATAGAAATGCTTACGTATACGTTATATTTATTGTGGCGACAAAATGGATAGCGTTAATTTTATTTATACTGGGAACTTCGATTTCTTTATTCAGGTTGATGCGATCAGGAGACGTTGTAGCTGCTGATCAAACCCTCGAAATGATTGATGTCAAAATTACTTTATTACTTCGGTTAGTATTGGCATATAGGGAAAACTGTTGTCATTCAGTTAAATACAATGCATTGAAATAGGATTAATCAGACTGTTAATCCAATAAGACGTGCTAACTAATTACTCCACTGTTAATTTAATGCTCTGATTTTAATCAGGTTTATGACCAATGAAGACGACGACGTTTCACAGGCTGTTATTGGTTTCGCTCAAAGTTATGTCCTTCTTCTTAAACAATTATCTCCGAATGAATTGCAGCGACGAGAAGATCATTTAAAAGTAACAGAATGTCATTTTGTTGAATTTTGCTAGCTAATGTGATGTTTTTGTCCAGCGTTATTTTTTGTACAGTACATCAATCGTCTAAAGATTATAAACTGCTATAATGATGTAGGGTCTTCTTGAGGCTGTCATATCAAAGTATAAATATGATCAATCTTACGATTTTGAGTGCGAGGTATTGTAGTCATATAGGAATAATAAAATTTTTTATGCTATTTCTTAAATTTGAAGAATAATAAATGTATTTTGGGACAAAGATCATAAAATTATTATTTGATTGTTAGGGAGAGGATGAGATAATGTTTCTTGAATACAGAAAGCAATTGAAAAACTTATTTTATAATATTACTCAGCTAGTAAGTATTTATTTTAGTGAAATAGGTTACAGACTAGCAATTATAATTAATCTACTTCCTTTTCCTGTACGTGGTAACGTAGAACAGAGAACTTGTATTAATGGTGGTTTATCATTATTACGTAAACATCATGAGGTAAGAGTGGTGACTCTGTAGATTTTAACAACAATATTGATTGTCAAGTAATTAACCATTGCTAACGTTGTGTCTATTATAATAGTCAATGGAATTCTAAGGCGTTTATGGATATCGAAGTTTCGATCAAAATTTTATACATGCTCGGGGAGCTTATACCGGTATGCTAAACTAATTTACTGGTTAATTTTACATTATTTCTTACGTTGTCGTTTTGGATACAATCTAGGGCGTTCACTTTACCGATGATTTAAATAGTGCGTCACCGATACAACAAATGATGGTGATGGTGAGTTTGGTGATTTGGTGATTTTTCATATGTTAATTTTTTACTTATTACAATACGATCCCGTTCGCAGTTAATTACATCCGGTATTGATCGCCATGAACACGTAGCCGTACTTATGCAGGTATGTTTTTGTTGACATGTATGACAGTTATGAATAAATCACTGTGTAAAGTTGGACTTAAAAAAATTCTATGCTCATAATTTTTATTTCAGTACTTTGAAACCGTGGTTCGGTACGATAAATTCTTTGTTCTGCACAAGCAGTTTATCGGGCCCGTATTGGTAAGCTCACGCTAACATTTGTTGATATTCAAGGTAGATTATGTATTTACTATAGAAATTAATATTTTCAGAATGCTTTTCTCGGAACTAATGGTTTGCAAAGTACCAATTTAACTCTACGCAGTCGTTCATGCTATTTATTGTCACGATTTATCAAACAACTTAGGTCAGTCAGACATTTTGGTGATAGTAAAAATTCTCGCTGTAAACGTATTTAGTGAAGGATATTAGTTGCTGATATGTAATCAATGCTTACTATATTTAGAAATAGCTTGGATGATTATTCTGAGAATCTTTTGAAGCAAATTCGTCCTCATTTAAGTTTTGAATCGGTAATTTACATTAAAGCGTTTTAAATACGTTAGTTACAAATTATTTGTGATAGTAATACAATGAAGTTGATATGTATGCCACTTTTAATATCAATTGTATAGGTTAATGGCCAGCAAAAAGTTTTAATTGATAGCGATCAGGTAATTAAGAATGTCTTCCAATAATGTTTAAAAGCTCGCTATAATGTTGATATTGCTAATTTATCTCATTTTTAACGTATTATTTTTCATATTGTGCTTTATTTTCATTCATAGCTACACCTGTACGAAGCTGCTGGTATTATTGTAATATCAGGTGGCTTAAAAGTAGAGGTAAATATAGCAGAATTTTGTTATCGTCATTACTTTCTGGAATAGTTAGGAAACTTCCGACATTTATTCAATTTAAACTATATTTATAGGAACGGCAATTTTTGATGAATTGCATTCTCACGTCCTTATCCAATAGATTTAAAGATATTTTGTCAAAGGTATAGATCCTGCTAATTGAATATATTGTTAAGTGAAAGGGTTTTTCTACTAATTGATTACTGTAATAATGTACATTCAGATATATAATGAGTCTGACGCAAATCAACAATTTTCGTATGCTCAAGAGCTAAATCTGATTATGTCCTGTGCAAGGTTAGTATTATAGATATAATATGATAACGTAAAACTACCGACATTTGGAGTTTATAGTTTATGAATAACTTTTATCTATGTAGCCGTGTCAGCAAAGTATTCTCCAGTAGTCAAACTATGCAAGATTGCGGTTGTTCTCAATATTTTATTGAGGTAATCATAATATAATGTGAAATATTGTTGTTTCATCTTTACACTCATCATGATATAAAATTTTTGCTGTAGGTGTTATCCATCTTTTTGCAGTCTTTGAGTGTGCCATCATTTAAGGAGCAAATTCAAGCAGGAGTGCGCCAGTTTTTGCATCGGATGATAATTTGTTTAGGGGAGCAAGTATTGCCTTTCATTCCGACAGCTATGAATTATTTATTGAAAGATCCAAAGGTAAATTGTACTACCTTGACGATAATATTTTATGTAACTATTGTATCGAACTATTGTAATAAATTTTAAATAATTTCGATAGACCTAACCAAATACTTCTTTACACTTAGCCAACCGATGTTCAAGAATTTATGCCTTTAATTAATCAAGTAGTATCTAAATTTCAGGTACTGTATTTAGGGATAAAATCTATTGAAGACTTATTTTAAAATAGTGATTTTGTAATAAAATGCCTTCATCATGCATATAGCGCCAAGTTACTCCTTTCCTGAAAGAGTCTTTTATGCCGATTGTAAATACAATTTTTGCTGCTTTAAATTCTACCACAGATATTGCGGATACGCAGGTTTGTTATTCGATATTTTTATAACCAATTGAAATTGCTGAAACTAACGTAAAATTTTATGTGATACAGGCCACCAAAGATAAGCAACTTTTACATCGTAGCTACTTTACATTTTTATCTACGTTGGTCACTAACGATGTAGCATCGGCAATTCTTGATCAAGGTATTTAATGAGTAAAATTAATACGTGTTTAACTTAAATTGCTCAGTCGCTCGGTAATGTGTTATACTTTTTTATTATAATTGTTATTATAGAAGTGCATAATGCACAAGAAGTGTTGTTAAGTTTAATCCATGGCTGCGTTGATGCAGGAGATCTATCGGTTTGTCAGTACTGAATTTACTAATAATTTCTGTATAGTGCCTAAAATTTTGTTATCTTCGAATTCCAGTCACAGAAGATTTGCTTCTTTGTTCTGCACAAACTGATAAATGCTCATGGTAAATACGATTTTTTATTTAAGTTACTTTTTGTATGCTTTTGTATAAAGTTATAATCCAATAATTGATTTAGATGGAAATAAGAGCAACCTGTTTGGAGAATTTTTATATAAAAATATTATTCCGGCTTGTTTCATTGCTCCTCTTAAAGCCACTTTCGATTTTGATGACAGACAAAGTTTGCAGGTAATTGCCTGACTAATGTAGTTCCTTCTGGTCCGCATATTCGATTTGAATAGATGTACTATATACTTGACTCACGCTCATAAAATACTGTTCATCGATTTTATAATAAGTGGATGCTTTGCAATTAATATGTTCTGTAATGTTTTTCCAGCATAAAAATTCAGTTATTAACTATACGTCTCGTCTTAGTGCTATTCGTGATCTACGTTGGACAGTATTGTAGACAACCTATTTTATCCGCTTTAAATTATTATACAAGAAATTTTATTAAATCCTAATGAATGTGGTCATTATTTTTACTCAAATGTGTTAATATTTCCTGTGAAGGTACTGTCTGAAATAGTTACTTTACAAAAGAGCATTTTAAACTTGGAGGTAAGCAAATTTATAGAATAATTAATTAATAAAAATATTTTCAACTATGGCCACTTTGCTGTAATCGTTATATTTTATGTAGTATCTTTCAATTCTTATATTTATACGTATGTATTTCGCATAGGGACAGCAATTTAAAGAATATTTAAGAACGACGTACTTACCTCAACTTAATCTTTCTGCAGATTTAATTCAGGTAAAAGGATTTGATAGAATCCTAGAATTTAGATTATTAAAAAAATAACGATTATGAACATAATAACGTTATTTAGGCCTATGTTCAAGGACTCGAGCAAATGGATATGAAGTCATTTAATAAGTACTTAAAGGTATAGCACATAAGTAGCTGCTTACTCCTGCTACATATTGTCGTGATATTAATCATAATGTCTAAAATAACATCGATTGCAGGAATTCTGTATGACACTTCGGACGAGGTTGCAGGACATACGGTAATCCCGTGAGACAAAATTACCTGCATGCCGTATAAACTATGCATATGCATGGCCACTATGAAAACCCGCGTAATTACGAGAAATATTTTAATTTTACCTCATCTTGAGTGATTTCTATCGAAAGCTTATTTTTAAAACGAACAATTACAATATCGAGCTGTGACTTATTTTTCTGTATGTAATACAGTGCTATATAATCAGATACAAACTGATTAATGGATCATACTCTGCTCTGTGGAAACGTGACAAATTGACTATTATATGGTATATTTGTTTACTGATTGATCAATTATAATAAAAATTGAAGTGTTTAAATTTTCATGAAAGCACCTAATGTACATGTACAAAGTTAAGCATTTGAACGGTTTACGTGCTATATGATATAGTGTACTTTATATTATAGTAAGGTAATGTCAGCGTTTTATGCTCTTGAACTATGGATGTTTAGTTTATATTCCAGAATTTAAAATGTATAGTGCTCTTTATTTTATGTCGGCGAAAGTGAAATTGATTGTTCGAGTAGGGTATGTAATGAATTGCATCGATTATTATAGTGAAATGCTTCAATTGTACAAAATACATACGCAGTACATCTTTTTTCATGCTGTTACTATTAATATATAAAGTTTCAATGAGAGCATTATATATATACATATAGCTGAAAGAATACACGTTTAAGTTAAATTAGAACTAGATGATGATTTGAGAACAATATCATATCTAAATAACCGCGTAAAACTTTATTGAAGTGCGGATCTGTATTTATTTCAATTAAGTATAGCATGATCAATTAATCTTTGAACTGATTTGATAGTTAATGTTATACTCAACATGTGTAAATAAAAAGATTTATTTCTAAAAATATACACTACTTATTTGTAATGGCAGCGCCTTATTCACCATGAACTTATTAATCAAAGGTGTCATCTCTTGATCATTAGAACATATTGTGTATTTGTGCTAGTACTGTAGGTACCTTACAGTAAGATACTGATTTCTTTCTTCCGTCATTGCAGCATGCACACTACTACCTATTGGATTCCAACTAAATTGGTGAAAATTAATAAAAGGAAATTAAGTTACTCAGTTAGAAAACTTCACTGGTGGTGAAATGGTTTCTGCAGGTCTGAAAGCAATAGTAGTATTACTATATATTATCGCACTGTATGAATTCTTAGAAAAAGACATGATGGATCGACTACATTAAAAATTTGCCCATCGTTTAGTAATTTACAACAATTTAGTCGAATACAAGCTACTGTACGAAATTTACAATGATCATAGGCTGCTAAAGAGATTCCTCACTTTCTAATTATTCGCTTGCGATATTGTAAATACAGTACAGGTAAATACGTCTAAAGCTATATAAATTGTTACGTAAATTGGTGGATTCTGACAGATCTGTTACACCATCGTTGCTAGCATGTCATCCTCAATTCCGAAATTTGAACATTTTGTTTTCAATGCCGTTAACGAACGTTTAAATAGTCTTTATTTAAAGTTTTTAAAAAAGTTACCTAAAATACTACCATCATTACCGCATGCCTAGCTATGTTGTAGGATGAATTATTTATGATAAAGACCTAAACTAGAAATAACCTATCCTTTGGAATAAAGAAATTAAGCTTGTGTCAAATACGGGGGGCATTTTCTGATCATTGTCGGTAACAACGAAAATTTAGATTGTATTTTTATAGTAGCCTCACAGCATACGGGCACTGTAATATAGTCAAGTTATTAAAGTCTTGCTAAAGCTTAGTGTTTCTTTCCGTAACGAATTGCGCAGATTGCTTAATGTTGTAGAAATAATAGCACGATGCTTGAATCTATTGTAAAAAGTCACGCATGTGTTTATTAGTCTCTTCGGGGAATTGCTCGCTGATCCAATGAGTGCCTTCAGCCATATACCTGAAGTATGAATGAATTCATTAGCTGAATCATAATTCAAACTAATTGAAGTGGCATTGTTAGAGATAGTTACTATTTAATACAATGTCTTCCAATTGATTAAATTTATTTATCACTACGTATATTTATTATTATAATTAGTTTATATAATAAACTTACTTTAAGATAACACTATCGACGTATTTAGCAATACCATTATTTAATTCTTTGTTAAGTGCATCATCTTTTTCACCCTAAATAGTAAATCATGTTATTCATAAGTCAAAACTGAAAAATTTTAAAATATTGGTTATAAAAGTTTAGGAGTTGATAATTTGAACTTACCCAGATGATTAAAGTTGGAGCTGTAATTTTGTCATACTTAAATGGTAAAGGTGGGATAAATACATTCTGACGATAATAATTAATTGCGCTTGTTAAGCAACTCGGTCGGCTAAGGTTGTACTTGTAACATTCTTCATCATCTTTAGTAAATATATCCTTAGTTTTAGGGTCCTTTTAAATTATATAAAAGAGTAAGAGTTAGGCTAAAATAGTAAGTTTTACAGTAAAATTTCAACTAGAATAACTATGGGAATTTAATCATAAAGTGTACAACAATCAAAGATAGCTATAACTAGTATTGTCTTACCGAATGAATGACGGAAGTCATAATAATGTCAATCAATTCATAATCAGATGACGATTCCACAAATTCTGGAAGATAGGGGATTTGATAGAAGAAGATGTACTTTAACAGATACGAGTGTAATTCAATTAAAATGATCAAATTACATATAGATGAATATAGATATCCTACAATAGGTTAACGCAGCAATGATACAGTTTAAAGTCGGTTGTGTGCTATTTAGAATTAAAAACATTAGGTATTAAAATGCAGGGTGAGCAGGATGTCGACTCGAATGTAAACTTAATTTAGATTCAATAATGAATGGCACGATTATCGACAAATTCAGTATACGGGATTGACATCACTACTTCTATCCTCATTGAAAACATCTATGAGTAGCTTGTTTCCTCAATGTTATATTTTAAAAGATCAAATCGCGCTACTATCTTACCCAAGATTTTAGCGCTTGAGTTATATGAGTCTCCATGTATTGCTTGAATATCCTAACAAGGTAAATAATACAGTTTTTCAAGAAAATATCATCAGTTAGTCTGGCAGGGGCTGCAAACTCATACAGCATTAACATAATAACACATGGTCGGACAGGTCTAATAATTTTTATATCATTACTATCATATATAGAGAGCGAGATAAAAAACAATCTTTCACTTTGATACGACCAGATGACAAAATTTCAATTTAAGATTTATGGGAAAATCAACGACATTGACTTGCTTGATAGTTATTACATGATGTACGGTTTTCTAATTCATATTATTGTAACATAACTTTAATACAAGGTCGTCACCCAATCTATAACGTAATGTAGTATGTTATTTACTGTGATTCTTCACTTGATATACCGTTAACCGAATTCTAATTGAAGATCATTGATACAATCTATAGAGCCAAATAGCTTCATTTTTACTAAATACAGTTAAACAAATCATTCAGTTTACATTAAAGAATAGTTACATTGTGTAGCAAATAAGTATACCTAGGATGCGGAGCATTCATAATGATTAATTTTTCAAGATATTCGGGATGGAAATGAGCAAAGTGCCTACATTGGATCAAGGTAATTATATATATCAATTAGATAAACTATTTTCCTAATATGCAATAAGAAATGCCTTTAATAATTATAATTAATCAGTGTAACGTTGTACCATGCAATGAATCCGCCCCAGTCGTGAGCAACTAATGTGCATTTTTCATAGCCAAGGCCTACAATCTAATGCGAAAGAAACAAAAAAGAATACGCTTGCAGTTTACCGTCATTGAGAATGATCATGAGGGAAGAATTTTATGCTTATTACGGATTTACTATTTCTTAAAAGTTCTGACATGAAATGCTTGAATTATTAAGTACATTTTCAACAAATCATGACTAGTTGTACTTTGAATCAATTATCCTGTTCCATTATTGTGTATGATTTAGGTAGTTAAATTGCGTCTCGGTTCTGACAGTAAATGAATAACTTACAATGTCTTTAACGTCTTCAATTAACTCCTTGATATCATAATCCTCCATGTGAGTTGGACGTCCAGTGTCACCATATCCGCTGATATAAAACAAAATTTATTATCAACATAAGAGACGTATTTAATGTGCTCAGTAAGGGTAATATAGACTGTAAAATTGACTGCTATCCTTTCTAAATCATCGTTGAAATACGACTACATAGTCGATAATCATTCATAAGGTAGGCGTAGGACATGGTTTAGACTACGATCGTCAATTTATTTTAGTTCAATGTGGGTGTCTATCCAACTCTCACCGATTATCCACTGCAACTGCATAATAATCTTTACCGAATTCCTTTAACTGATGCCTCCAGCAATACCAAAACTATATCCAATAACAAATATTTATGTTGAATTAGTCTCCATTTACAACTCGGTTCCAATTTTTATTCTAGTTACTTTGAATCTCTACATTTACACACGAAGCCATTATAGATTGTTATGCACCCTTAGTACTATCGTGAAAGTGATACAATTATTGATTGGAGAGATTATCCTATTTTGTAAGCGGTATATACGTATGTATGCATATTACAGGGTACAGAAAGTTGGATCAATTTATCAATAAGGATAAAATAATGACAAGTTCAATATTTTTATATGAGTGTGTTGATTCAAAGGAATAGCCGACCTGAGGATATCCATGAATGAAAAGCATTAAGGGTTTTCCTTTTTCTCCATTGGCAACATAGTGAATCCGCAAACGACGGCCATAATAGAATCCATGCTGGCCACAATCAGGTGTAGCAAGTGCAGTAGGTACTAAAATTAGGGTATAATAAATGAGGATAGCCATGATTAGTTACCTGTAGGCAAAACAATCTCTAAAATTAGAATTCATTTTTTGAGCTTGAATAGGGCAAGTATTACTTTATTCTCAAAGTCGATACTAGTATATTTCTTATTACTCATGATCATTTTTATATCATCATGAAAATATAAAGATATCCATGACTACGAGTTGTGTAGAACTAGTCGAGTGTTGATGATGTATGCTAGATAGTATTCATTTTCCAATCAGGTACACCGGTAACAGCATTACAATATTCCATTAGTCTATTTTTAAATCATAGTCCATGCAACTTATTTCATCTATGATTGCACGTTGATTAGCTATACCAATACTGTTCCTATTCCAATGTCCTATGATGTACTGTAGGTTTTCTAAGTGGGTTTATTTGCTACTATGGCGTTATCATCCATATTGTCCATGATGGCCTGTGCAATGAAATAAACACACGACAAGAAGTTGACTAGGACTACAATTAATTAAAATAATACAAGTATCCATGATATTTACAGAATAGTATTTCTGCTTGTCATTTCAATGAGCTTCTAATGTATTGGTATCCTGATGTTCCTATCATGATCATTTTTTACACAGGCTTATTACTACGATTCCAAATTGGATTAGCTGCAAAACTACTCGTATAGACTACAGTATGCCAGTGTCGATAACATCTGTTAGAAAAGTAGAGAGATCCAGTCCTATAAAATACTAGAGTTTATTACTGTAATGGGCTACTATCGTCCTTCTTGTTCTGTATCTATTGGATTGACGATTGCAAATCGACTTTCTACAATTATAATTATCATTGCCCACGACAACGTTCCTACGTGACCCAATGCATTGTATTGATAGTGTTCAAATTTGCAAAATGTTTGTTGGGAAGTGGAGATATCCAATGCTATAAAGCTTATTACTGTAATAAGCAACGATTGTCCTTCTAGTATTTTCTATCTACTTCATATATGATTGCAAATCGATTGTCGATCACTATCCCTGTCCATCATAACGTGCCTACCCAAGCTGCACGTACGAATGTATAGGATCGCGTTTCAATTTACACATTGCAATTGGAAACAGCTTTTCATCCTATCCTCAATCTACAGTATAGTCGTGGATAATTTCAACATAGTAGTTCTTATGTTAGATGACGATAAGAATCGATTCATGCATGGATTCTTCTCGTTGTCATTAAAAGAATGAATTGTATCAAGATGGAAATAATCATCAACAGCATTATCAGCAAATACACGTACTCTCTCTTCTCTTGCGTTGCCAAAACAACTTTGGATTCTTGACAAAAGCAATGACTTGCGTTACAAGAATGAAAGCAACGACGAAAAAAGTATAAACCATGCGAAAGATCAAGGCAAGCAGCTGTTCTGCCATAGTTGATTACTTATGATGATAGTTGGGCGAGTTAAAATGGTGATTTCCAAGTCGATGAGCAGCTAACCAACCAGGAAAGAAGCAATAGATCTCCGCCCCACTCCTGTTCAATTATTATTATTATTATACTAGCAATCGTCGTTGGTGGTCTACTTACCTACGGTAAGACAGACAACTGTTGGTACACTGCCTGCAGTAAAATATACCAATGTTGATGATATACCTCTCACTAGTGTTGAAACTATGGAGGTAGCAGAGAACAGCCTAGGACATAGGACTTAAGCTTAGTAAATAGTAGAATAACATCGAAATAGCAGCCTACGGTAAGATATGCATAACTGTTGTATATAAATAAATAATAGCTGTCATGTATGAGCACAAGTGATGATCCAAAGTAGTAATAGATGTAGTATAGTAAGTAGCTAGCAGTGGAGTAAGTGGCATGGTGAATCAGGATTTTCTCCCATTTTAAATAGCCCTTGGTTAAATCAGGACTATTAAACTGTTGATATGTTTCTTTTTGTTAAGGAAGAGCAAATTTCTTTCTGGAGAAAGGGAAAATTTTCTCTTGAGTAGCCCCTGGCTCAATACATATACTGGATACGTTCTGTGGAAGCATATGCGTATATTCATGCAAAATGCAGCATGTGGCTGCAACTTAATATCTTGGTAATGGCAGAACGTTGAATTCTTCATTTTAATCGACTGATAGACTATCCTTGTACTTTTTACTTGACATTCTGTTCAAAGCAACTCGTTTACACTGCATATCAAATAATGATATAATATAAATGGTCGTGGAAAAAAATCCATCAAGCTACGCATGAAACAGTCTAGCTGTTGAAGAAGAAGCAAGTTGCAAAACACTGCTGATCCACGGCTAATAATCATCCGCTTGCTTGCAGCGATCGATTCGATGATTAATTGATAGAACTAGTAATAAATCCCGGTTATAATAACAAACGATCTGGTTCATCGTAATCGGATTGCAGGCTGCACTTCTACTAGGCCTATCGCACAATTACCTGAGCTTACTATCGACTCACTCAGTCGTTCTGAGTCTACTGTCGTAGAACTGTAGAGTATGTCATAACTGATGGAAGTACTTCTGATTTTGCCGTAATTGCAACTCACAGTCTAGCATACTGCACCATGGACTACTAAATGCATTCCGGATGGATTTAGTAGTCCATGAATGAACACATACCATTGGAGGCATCACTGCGTTACCCTTGCATAATAAAGCTTAGAAATCAAGCTACTATGTAACACTTATTTGAATGCAGTGGAAATAAACTTAACTTAAATTAATTTAATAATATACATATAGAATATAAATAAGGGTTGGCCTGGGATCTCTGCTTACGAATACAGTATATGCTATTCATCGAGTATACTGCATATCAGTCTGTCTTTGGCTCCTCAAATCTGGAGCAGCAAGTCAGAAGTAGAGTAAAAACCAAAGACTGCTACACCGTAGTTGCTGTTAATACCTACGAATGAGTGCTATAAACCGTATATCAGTCTGCCTTGAGCTCCTCCTGAAATCTAGAGCAGCAACGCAGAAGTACAGTGGAGTAAAAACTAAAGACTATCTGTTACACAATATTTGCTGTTAGAAGAGTAGTGAGGCGTGATATATAACGAATATTACTATATATATATATATATAGTATCAGTGACAGTAGTAGACCAAACCTGGACCTTTCTGCTTGCAAATGGATACTGTTAATCATTCTTAATAATATACTCCTAATTATATGCTGTATATGTCTATCAGTCTGTCTTCAATCGACGAAACCTGGCACTTTTCTGCTTGCAAATGGATGCTGTTAATCATTCTTAATCATATACTCCTAATTATATGCTGTATATGTCTATCAGTCTGTCTTCAATCGACGAAACCTGGACTTTTCTGCTTGCAAATGGATGCTGTTAATAATATACTCATAATTCTATGCTGTATATGTCTATCAGTCTGCCTTCAATCGACGAAACCTGGCACTTTTCTGCTTGCAAATGGATGCTATTAATCATTCTTAATCATATACTCATAATTCTATGCTGTGTATGTCTATCAGTCTGCCTTCAATCGACCAAACCTGGCACTTTTCTGCTTGCAAATGGATGCTATTCATCATTCTTAATCATAATATACTCCTAATTATAGGCTGTATAATGTATATGTCTATTAGTCTGCCTTTTAAGGCTCCTTCTCCAATTTGGAGAAATAATTTCTAGGTTTGCCCACAACAATTGAAAGCTGACCAAATGACTACAGTGCATGGCACTGTAGACTACAGTATAATGTATTGGCGGATTGCTGATGGTTACCGGACATCATCTCGGGATTGCCATCGCCATTAGCATCGTTGATGATGATTGTTGCCATCGGAAGTGAAGAATATTAATGTGGATTGGGCCAGATGTCGACAAATAGTCATCAGCAAGAGGGAAATTATCCATCTCTTCCTCCTGCTTTGCTAGCAAAGTTGCAAAAACGAGGGATCATCAACCAAAGTAAGCAAGAGAGTACATCCACTGAACTTTCACTTCTCCTCCGTGCAGAATGGAGTACGATCCAGTATCGTAGACTCTCTTGCCATTATTTCTTTAGGAGAATTTGGAATTTTGTAGTCTTTTTTAAATCATCATATTACCTATTCGTTGCATTGAACAATCACTAGCTATGATGTGTAAATGACAGTAGATAGAGGTTAAAATTGATCAGATATGGATGCATTCTTGATTGATCTTATATGGTTAATGTATGCTTTAGAAAAAGAAGAAGAAGAGAATACTTCACAACAGCCACAACAACATCATCAGCATCCTCAACGACAGGAGCAATTTCAGACCACCAATGTAAGAGAATTCTACGTATAATCGATCAATTGACTGCAATAGTGTTATTGATACCAATGAAATAGCGTATTTCTTGCTATCTCACACACAGCCAAATTTACATCATCTACCTCCACCGTGGCAAATGCTCCATGATGCCAATTCGTAAGTTTTTGAATAGCTACAATAACTCATTTGGATGATACCTAGCAACGTATCTTCGTCATAATTGCCTTGATCAAGCCATGCATGTATATTCAATGGTTGTATTCAACTAAATTTCATTATCCATGGCTTTTCAATATTGATACAGTGGCTGTCCCTATTATTGGAATACTGCTACCAACGAAGTCTCCTGGACTTTACCAAAAGGTTTGCTGCAAAATATGAGCGAGTATTTAAAATCATTTTGCCATAGTATTAAACTGTATAGACTTTACTATCTTAAAAGCGAATCAAGAAATAGCATAACTGCTTTCGATCTATCACGTCCATATTATAGAATTGGACTCAAGTCTACTACCATCAACTCCACCTCAGCCAACTCTAGCCACGCCAATTCCAACTCATGAAGCACTTGGTCATGATCCTAACTACACTTTCAAGATGCCGGTAAAATGAAACTTTTCTCTCTTGCATATCATATAGTTCATGAAGAGCAAATGATTAATACATGCAATGTAGATCTAAACTACAGTCAATAATTAATGCCATACACATTTCTTATCCACCACACCAAAATACCATTGGTATCGAATGTTGGCCTAATCGTGCCTCTATTTTAATCTTGCTTGCTAAATAAGGAAAAGCCTGATATAAATAGGCGTCAGCAGGCCAAAGATAGACCCAAACCGTATACTAAGCAAAATCCTCGAAGGAGAGGTATATCTGTGAATATTCTTTCTCGACTTGGTCGTCGAACGACATCAATTTTAAACATTTTAACCCGCTTCCCGTCTACTTCCTAGATCATCAATACAAACCGAGATCCTCAGATGAACTAGATCCGTTAGATCCATCGAGCTACTCCGATGCTCCTAGGTAGGTTATAGCCTTATATATCAAACAATCAATTTTACTTTTCAAACAACACCGACTTATACCGACCCCTAACGCTAACTTGTATAATATACAAGTATATGGTTACAACAATCTAATGGCAAAAATAGCAAAGAATAGTAAGAAAAATGTTAAATTTTATCTTCAGGGGAAATTGGTCAAGTGGAATAAAAGCGGAAGGCAAAGCAAAAACTGGCGTTGATGAAACTGCCAATGGACCACTTTTTCAACAAAGACCATATCCATCGCCTGGACAAATTTTAAAAATGAAAAAGAAGTAATTGACAACGGAACCTGGTATTCATTTTATCATGGTCAGCTTTTGCGCTACGTACAAATAATGAATAATTCCGTATATGAAGTAACCGTGTTCCCTAGCACATAATATTATTTGCATGCCTATACTGCCTTTACCAATTATATTTGGTTAGCCCAAGCTAATTATAGATGACAATTCTGAATGATTCTATAAGTTTTTTTTTGCAATCCTTAACTTATACAGTACAACTATTACAATCCTGACATTATTTACTTCTTCTTGACTTGAATATAGACCTTGTTCGATAACTTGAACATGGAATATGGAATTAAGGCAATATATTGTAATCTGCTATAGAAATAATAAAATTCTACCCTTGCTCCTGTGATATCAGCAGAAGCAAATGTTATTTTGTACATACCACGTAATGAATAGGATTACATCATATTATGTCACAAAATGTTTTATATGCGGTATCAAAGTGTGTTTATATTTGAATATTATTTTATAACCATACACGGCATCTTTTAAACATCTTGTAATATACAAGTTATACAACAGACCAGTCTGTTCTATTCTTTGTGCTATTGAATTACAATAACATTTGCACTTCAAGATAAAGTATTTTTTAACTCTTATTGCTAATTTTAAATAAAGGAACTTGCCCACGTTTGAAAATTGACGTTTACATGCATAATATCTGTAATAATATATATATATAATAGAAGCCATTTTTTTCTCCTTAATGTGCTATAGCTATCGTTTTGCAGATTATTTATTCTTTATCTATCCAATCTCGACTGTCGTAAAAGATATTCTTCGTCGTAAATAGTCATACGTGATAAAAATTAGGGAGTTTCTAATACTGTTCCGCTGCGATGATGAAGAAATCTATGACGACAAAGAGCTATTGCATGGGTTAACGATATTATGAGAGTATTGGCCAAGGCTTGAGAGAATAAATGACAATATATATATAGAGGAAATAGATACCAATATATATATATATATCTTGCTGTTTATTACAAGTACAGTTGCGCATCAAATACAAAGCTCGATTATGTCAAAATTTACTACAATAACTCAGAAATTTCTACCATTATAAAGATGTAAATAAGATATAGATATACTATATGTACATAAACATATGCTTGCCTAATCATTTTTTAAAATGAACTGAGACATAATATTAAATTTGCTAAAGTCTGATTTCGCTTTTGAAAATTATGACTAATCAAAAATTGTCGTATTGTATCATAGTAAACGAAATTATCGTTTAATTTAGTTACACATTTATATGTTATTCTTTCAAACCTAGATTTGAAGATAAAATAATAGTCAGCTACGCACTGATAGACAATAATTTGCACGTTATAGAAATGATCAAAAATAAATCCATCCATTCAATTATCCTATCATATTGTATATAATTTAAAAAGCTTACTAACTGTAAATAACGTTCATCAGCAGTCAGCTAGACTGCATCAACATTTCTAGTAGATGTGTGCATACAATATTAGGACTATTAAAAAAATAAGCCATCAATTAAATTGATTTTAAGGCTTCGATGATAGTCTTGATATTGAATATCTGATTTCAGTCGTAGTATACAGTACTGTATTAGTCAATGTTATGGAAAAAAAACTTTTATACTATCATAATTTACGGATTTAGTCAAGAATAGAGCTCAATTACAAAATGAAATAAATTTTTACATGATATTATTTAAACGAAAAGCGATGAAAAAATAATGTTGATATATTTCTATAATGGAATTATACCGATTAGTAGACAAGAAGAATAAAGATTAAGGTCTATTTTGTGCTCAAAGTCTACGGCATCGGCAAATTTATTTAATAATCATGTACGAATTTTAGCTGCATTAAGGCTATGGATCGACTTTCTTGCTGTTGAAAGCTGCGTTTCTGGACGTTCTTTCTGGTTTTTATCAGGTTTAGAAGAAACTTCACGTAGAGGAGATTGGCGACTTGTTTGAAATTCTGATTGTGCCATTTTCTTCCGCAAATGTGCTAAAATTTCATCATCATAAGATAGACTGACGGTAATAAATTTGGTGGCCGATATAGTTGTGCTATAAATTCCCAGAAAAAAATAATTTCAGTTTAGTACGCTGGTTGTAAATTTCATTCAGGCATCATCACAATTTTAAAAATCTATATTACTAGTATCGTTGAGATTAGTTTATTATTTACCCTCATGTCTGTATGTATACAGTTAAATCTACGTCATTGCTATTTGTAAATCTCAAGTATTGCTAGTTAATTATCATGCTATTCATAATTTTTCCTTACCCTTTGCCTTGTGGAATTGTAACAGTATCACTATCGGTAGATGATAATGCTGATGGTATACGGGGTAGATGTGAGAAACTTCCTTTGACTGATTTTGGCTTAAAAATGTTATTCCAGTGGGCAAAATTTTCAGTGCCCATATCTCCACCCCATGGCGCTCGAGTTCCTTTCTTACCTCGTTCCAAGGCAAATTTAAAATCTTGCGGTAAGTAGCGTTTTTCAAGAGCTAACTTTCGACAAATGATAACCTATAGAAGAGTGGAGAGAATGCAACAGTAATACTTAATTATAATGTTTAGCTCAACTTGGTACATGAAACTAGTGCAAAAGGACACAAATAGGTTACCTGTTTCATGAAATCTTTCTTTTCGCTACTGTAGCCATTTAAGATATGATCAGCGAATATTAGTCTGCCATGATTATACATCTATAAGTAGATTAGATGAAATGTAACCAGATTGCTCTTTAATTAACCTGTCTGTAAATGACTACTAATACTCTATTTATTGCTATTTTTCAGTATCATTGATAGAATTTTCTACGATTGACTTTAAGCATACCAAAAACATTCCTGGTATTACATGATGTCGCTTTAGTAGTATCGGAACAGAGTGATCGCAGCCCTTAGTAGCAGATACCATATCATATTTCAATAATCGGAAAATATCACGGCGTGCCTATAGTAAATAATAATCATTTTCGTTCACTTCTTTAAATTTAAAATGATACTATAATTATTTTCAAAATTGCACATATCAATCATTCGTATATTATATTTGAATAGGTGATACTCGAAAGTAAAATTTTGCAGAGAATTTGTAATAGTAGAAAGTGGTTATAAATCCAGTCAATGAAATACAAGTTGCCTTCAAATTAGAGATGAATAGTTTACCTGTTGGCATGGCATGGTTCTATTGCGATTCATGGAATAATAAATCCTCTCTAACATTTCTTTATCTTTATTTGCTACAGGAAACCTACAGGGATGAGAGGAAGTCATAAGTATTTAACAATATTGAAAGAATTGACCGAATTTCGTTGCATGAGTAAGTAGACTATTTACTCATAAAGCTATGCGATAGGGAAAAACGAATACATTAATGTGCCTGATATCGCATTATCTGTCTAAATTGTTATCTCAGATGATTTAAGTAAAAGTATTTTATAAAATGATAATAAAGCTTAGCTAAATCCTTTTTTAACAAGCAGTTGCCATTTTCTTAGATGTACTTACATCGATGAGACCACATTAATAATTAACAATTGCCCAGGGTAGGTTTGCTTATTAATAAATTCATCAAACTCCAAGTCTGAAACATAAGGAATTTTATGTGGGCTGCACCTATAAATACGTTCAATTAAGGGATGAGAAATGTTGATAATGTAAACGAAATTGTATCTAATGCGGCTTTCTAAAACAAAAAAAAAATAGTAATTTGCTTGGGCATGTCTATGAAATAATTATAGGCTAGATCAGAAAATTTGATAGGTCTACATAATAGTCCGAAGATACTATAACAATCTATAGTACTAATAAGTAAATGAAAACCGTATTTGACTTTATCTAATAAAGAAATACAACTAAATAGTAAATTATAACATGGCAATATCTAGTACAGTAAATTTAAATTCTAATGTGTGTAATTAATAGCTTGAAAATACTACAATAATTTACGGTACTAATTGAAAATTCCACTAGATTTCATCTATAAATGGTTACAACCAAACGATAAAATTTAGTATGGTAATGTTTAGTATAGTAAATTTAAATTTTAATACATCGAATTAATAGCTTGAAAATACTGCAATAATCTACGGTATTAAATGAAAATTCTATTAGACTTTATCTATAAAATGATTACAACCAGACGATAATTATAACGTAGTAATGTTTACTGTAGTAAATTTGAATACTTATCAGTAAAACACACGAATTTAAAGGAATACGCGGACTAAGATCTGAATCGCTGTCTAATTAAAATCAATCAAAGTCACTGTCATGGGATATTAGGTATTGAACGATAACTTCCTAAATTAAGCAATGGCGAAGTAGCAGTACATGCAATTATACTGATAAATTTTGTTCGAGAAATAACTACATTGTCCTACTTGATTAATCAAACCTAAAGATTAGGCAGAAAGCTATACCATAACGTTAACAAAATCGATATAAAATCGATATGGGCAGTAACCTGCATTGCTCTTGTGCTTGGCCAAGCAAAGACGATCGAATCATAATCGGACAAGCAATACTAGGAGTAATACTTCGCCGTGCCATAATTTCTGAATTAATAACGGAACCATCCTCCAAAATGGATGGCAAGCGAGGGCTAAATGAGGCAAGTGAATAATTCGTTATTAGAAAGAAATAGAATTAAAGTAATGTTTATCTAGTAATCATAGACTTGTTAGAAAATTACTAGGATACAATATTCATCAAATTTGTTATTTTTGTGGCAAAAAAATACCCACCGCACATCAAAGTAATTTTGCATTTAATAATCATCGAAATAGGTAGAATAGAATGTCTACTGAAGCATGATTCTCGATATTTAGTAAGAAGAAATGGATGAAAATAGTTTGTCTTGAATGATTATCAATCCATTAATGGGGATTAATTAGTATGTCTGTTGATATTACTATCTTTATATTCAGATTATATGTCAAATACAACTACCGACTGGGAATTTAAAATAACATACTCTAGATTAATTGGGCTATTCAGGCGATTCCTAGGTTGGAGATTTGCCGATAACGGGGATGATGGTCGTGCTTCGATAATTTTGACACCATGATCACCTTCTAAACGAATTGTAACTGCTTCCGAATCTGCAGCATCAGTTTCATCTAGAATTAGCAAAGATTCATAATTATAGTTAATAAATTAAGAAATAAAATCTTTGATTTTATATAAGCTATGATGAAATCTAAAAATCCACTTTTAACATACTTTTAGCGGCATTATTTGTTTCTGCCAATTTTGTATCAGATTTACTTATTAATTTTTTCAATGGTGCACTTTTAGGACGAATAAGTGATTGCAAACGCTTAGGAATAGGGGGTGCAGAGCAAGATCGAGGTACTCGTAAGGCATCGGTATTGATATTGTCGAAAGAATTAGAGTTGGAGACAAATTTACTGAATTTACTCTTGGAAAATAAGTTTACAATCTTAGAGACTGTCGTAGCCACTCGAAATTTATGATGAGCCGATTTACTTCGAGGATGAGTAGAATTAATAGCAGGATTAGGGTTAAAATTCATAAATGGTGAGCTAATATCGGTTGCAAATCGATAGTATTCTAGCCAATCATCTACAATAGTCCTGTAGTATCATAGAGATCATTATCAGTAAAATATCGTTTAAATTTTGTCAATATTCATGAAATGATACTAGTACAAAATCTAAATCAATAGCCAGCTTAATTATCACTAATTCGATAGTATAGCAACCCTTATGTGTGTATTTCAGGCATTATACATTTAAGAATGATCAAGCTATATCTGATAGGAACGATGGTACATTTGATTTGATAGTTTTTAATGACTTTATATCATCTATAACTGAAAAATTTAGCATCTAATGATCACAGTATGCAGTCGTTGCAATTAAATAGTATCTTATGAATCAATGATATACATCTTGAAATCTGCTTTATGAAGACTAATCATGAAATATAATTGATATCATGTAGTCCAGAGTAAAAATTAAATTAGAAATCTTAAATGATGGCAACAGTATTATTTAATGATTAGTAGTTGGTACTTTCATCAGCTCTACTCTGTTGTGAATATTAATGATAATCTAGACGCAAATAATGGGTTGCACACAGTTGCTTACTTAATTACTCTTATTAAATACTAACTCTATTACTATAATATCTACGTCTTCATTAACTTGATAATTATATATATCTTCATATCATATAAATATTCCTTATTAGCAGTTTCATCGATAGCAAGATTCGTACCTAATCTTTCTTCGTAGTCGATACAACTCTCGATCTGCACGAGTTTCTACACCCATTCGTAGTAGCTCTGGAAATTTTTTGATTAAATCCTTATATTTTTCATCAAATATAGGTTCATCTTTTAAGAATTCTGATCCCATGCGCGTTAACTATATCAGATCCGAGACAGGCAAGTTAGTCATGAAAATAGATCTAATCATTAACCTTGATTTTCAGTAAAATAATCCTTGAATCTGTTAGACTCTGTTCCTATAAGTCTGTTTCTGCTTACTGTTTTCTTTCTCGTTAGAGATCTAGTAGGTTCTATGCTGTCGTTACTGCTGCCTCTATTTTTCGACTTTTTCTTTCCTGAAGTAGGCGATGTTGGGGGTGATATTGTATTCGTTCCGCCAGTTTGATTCAGTTGAGGTTTTCGAGACTAAGTCAAAACATGAACAAGCAAGGAAATGCTAAATTTAGCTTAACAATTATTCTGATTCATTTTATTTGGTAACAGGTCTTTGATATAGATATATCTTATTAAAAATGTAAACTTACTGCAGCTGCTGTATCAGATGAAAATTGTAAATTAGTTTTTAAATAGCCTAAATCCGACTAAAAAATAAGAATAAAAAATCAGTTAGAATCAAACTCATCAACTAAAAGCTTAGTAAAACTACAATATATCAAGAAGATTCTAAATGATCTGTTTCAGTATTAAATTTACCAAATGTTCTGGCGGTTTTCTTGCACTTGTAACAAGGCCCAGATTAAATTTGATCACTTCGTGTTCATTACTATATTGTAGTGTTATATGAGTGCTGGAATGGCAGCGCAGAACAAGATGCTCGTTGAGCTAGCATGAGAGAAAGTAGTAATTAAATGAATTGATTTTTCTCTAAATTTACATTAAATATAGCATTTAAATGTCATTATGGCTTTCATTTACATTTATGATGACAGTATGTTGCAATTTCTTAGTAATTGCTGGCCACTTATTTTTATGAGATGTCAAGCCGTCCTATTGATGAAAGATAGTAAATAGGAAACGTTCCATTATACGCTTAATCAATTTTAAGAATCACAATCGAAGTCATTGGCATTACTTATAGTAGATAAAAATGCAGGAAATATCTTGATGTTTAGGCAATTGCCTTTGAAAACTTACATCATCAAATAGAGTATAATTTTGATCATTCCAAATAAATTTAAATTCTTTGTTACTCTTGTAGCAACAGCCTTTGCCCGATGGGACGGAATACCCAATTAAGGAATGTTCTTCATTATCGTCGTAGATAAAACTATAACACCCTTGCCCAGGTTTACCCAGGCCTGAATTGGCTTGAAGAACAGCAATTTTACCAGTAGGATAACTGTTTAATTTGGAATTAAGGTCAAATCACAATTTATAGATAATTCTTACACCTAAAATCATTGTGTAACCTATTCTATTCTAGTATTCTAGTAGAAGCTTGTGTAGCACAATCCTACTTATTATTCCATATCATCATCTAAAAATTTTCCTATGAATGCAAATTATCGTTACGATACCATTGATTATAACAATAAATTACCTTAAATGTAAAATTAATATTCAAATATTTGATTTATAGCTTGGTAGTCTAGCATTAACAATTTACAGAAGTCTGTGTCTTTAAAATTGCTCGAGATGATAAATACTGTTTACTACAATAAAATAACTTTAGGAACTAAAAATTGCATTAGAGTTATTCTTCCATAAAGATAGTTAAAGTATAGAACTAGCATACTAGAGAACAGAATTATATGAAACAAATTTCTGAAAAATGTATCTATCATAAATACTTGTATACGGTCATACTATATAATGAAACCGGAAATGATATAAATTTAAAAAATTTGGTCACAGGCATACCTTGCTAATTAATTGATTTTTTATATTAAAATGATGAAATTCAATATACTATATTTCCAATAGATGTTATTAGAAGTAATAGTTTGGATACAATGCAGTTTGACATCCGTCTGGCAATCTTGTCCAAAATTTTTGACGTTTGTTTTCTTCAAGTATCTTTCGTTTAGTTGGCCTTCCTAATCGAAGCAAAGCTCGATCGCGAGCTTCGCCATAAAAGCGAATAGCGAATGGTCCATCTTCTCCACGAGCTTTTGCTCCATCCAACATTTGATTTCTTATATAGAATAAGTACAACCAGTCATACATAATAATTATTATAGCAATAACAGATATAACCGGCGATTATTTACTTAAAAGCATAACATTTAACTAAGTCGTCATACCTTTGATTTATCATGCGAGTTAAGCGAGCTTTCAGCCATTCTGCTACACTTTCTTGTTCTGGTTCTTTTCCTTTAATATTGGAATATTGAATCCATCCTATCGTGGGTAAATAAAATGAAAGCGAACTGTTTCAGAAAGCAATCTCATTACCATATATTACTCTGATTGCGTTCATAATATGATTAGTCTTGCTATTTCATTTTATATATTACCATTCTCATGGCACCATCTTGACTGCATTGAAAAGTAAATAACGTTATTGGTGGCTATTGTGATACTTCCGTGGCCCGCTAATTGAAAATATTTAGTATAAAGTAAAGCATAGCAATTTTTTTTTATTCATTAACTTGGTCGATTGCTTACTCATTAAAGCCAAAGTATCAAGAAGTACGATCAAAATTTGTTTACTACCTTCAGATTCTGCTTCTTCTCCAATCATTCTAGGCAATGGTCGACCACCACTAGTAGCAATTCTTCGATAGTCAGGCTTATTTCCAAACGCTTAATAGGAAATAACATGAACAAGCAATTAATTTTATTCAAGTAATAGTAAAAACATCATAAACTGTTATCTAAGTAGTTTTAATTTAACGATTGTCTTAATATTAGATAATATCTTTACAAAATGCATCATTATTAGCCTGTATCAATATACTAAGTATAGTAATTAGAAAAAGTGATCTACCCTAATTCTAATCGATGATAATACACTTAAATGCCCATAAATGAAAAGATTTTGTAAATGGTTACACGGTATAAAATATATTTTCACAATTGCAGTAATTTAAACAGAATGCTGTGAAAAAATACGATACTTACAATATTGTGTTCCAATGTAAATTTAACACTTTTTCAGCTAAACTAACTTTACGATATGTCAATCATTTTAACGGTATCTTGAAATAATGCTAGAGATTGTAATATGTATTTGAACTATTTCAATTTAACTAGCTATTAGTATATTAATTTTTCGGGAATATATTGAAAATAATTACAATTCTGATTTAAATTTAAGCAATTACAGTAGAATGCATTGGCCTAATAGTATATCGATCTTTGATAGCATTTTGAAAAATAATTATGCATTTCGATAACAGCAATATTTAATAAAGGAATTCATCATTCAATGCAAAGGGTTAATTCACTTTTAATGGAAATTAAATATAGTCTAAATTTTTCAATCAATTGTAATCTGGCTAGATAAGGGATACGTAAGGAAATAGATCGACAAATTCGACTGTTGGAGTATAATATAATGTCAATACCAAAACAGATTAAAATCGACGATAAAGAGATAATAATGATATAGTTACAGAATGCAACTAGTTAGCAAACGAAAATTCTTAACAATCGTTACTTCAAGTATTTACGCTATGCATTGAACAAGTCGGAATAATACTCTTCACTTACATCGTGTTCTATCTCGAGTTGTAGATAATCTAGTGCCTCGATCCGAAATAGTGACCGTTTTGGGACTACCTTCATTATCTTTCATCGATTTGCGATTAATATTATTGTTATTAGTATTATTGGTCACAAGAGATGATTTTAGTACTTCTTTATTTTTGTCATCTTTAGTACTATCTTCAGAGTTGATTCGTGATTGGCGTGAATATTTAGCTTTAGACCGCTTTTTACCATGGGATTCTGCTTCTTTAGCATTTTCGGCTTCTTCTTTCTGTCCAAGAGCTAGATCTCGATAGATTGCCGTTTGCCATTCCCTCTTACTATAAACTGCATCTTTAGATAACTGATTAAATGTATAGAAGAGTTGCTTTCTTAAATCATCAGGAATCTGAATAATGATATTCTGATCATGGAAAAGATTTAATAATTTACTAATTTGGACTAAGACACCGGGAAAAGCAAATTTAGCTTCTTCTAATAGAAATCGTTGAGTATCTTCTTCTTCAATATTTCTAAGATCGTACTTTTCATTTTTATTAGCAAGGCCAACCTGAACGTATTGCTCAGTGGGTATAACTGGTAATTCTGCAAATTTAAGACCATTCTCGCCAGTAAAGTAACCCTTAGAGGTTCGCCAATCGTTGCCCTTGACTTCGTTTGTAGGTTTACTCGTGTCTTCAGTCGGCGCTTTATTAATTTCTTTACTTGGACTACTTTGATTATTATTATCACCACTAGAATGCACACTAGCCTGATTAATTTGGGCTCTTTTAATTAATTCTGCTGCTCTAGCATAGCCTTGTCGTAATGATGGAGGCAAATCGACTGTAGATTTCCGTTGGCGAATTCTATCCTTTCTTGGATCGATCTGATCGAAAAAATAAATTGTTTTATCGCCCATTTTAATCGATCTCTACCACAGTATAAGTGAAAGCCTTTAGAAAATTCCAAAAGTAGCTGTTTCTATGATGATTATCTTGAGATATGATTATTATTATTGATAGGTCCGATCTTGTACAGACGTCATGGGATAAATACCAGCAGACAAGATCCTACTGATAAACTTGTTCACGGTGGCAGCTTGTATCTACCGGTACAATCATCACGATTACAAATTCGTTCAACGATGACTCTCTTCTATTTCTCTTAACAATTATTAATGGAATCAACTTTTAAGATCATCGATTATGTCAGTAGATCTTGATGACTATTACATGGGAGATTAAGGATGGTTTTGATTTACACAGGCGTCATTTGTTGTTAGGAGATGTGGTAACAATGGCAACAGCACAATGGGCTCGTACAGTGGGTCGTATACAATTGTTACTTAGTTACACCGGCTTCGTCTAGTGTTCAGTCCGTCCGATCGCTATCCTGCTGGATTGGATGAGCTCCCTTCTTTTTTAGCCTGTAAAAGAGATCCTACAGCCATGGACGACTAAGTGCATTGGCAGTAGTAGGCTATGATTCAAAGGGAAAAATTTCCTTTTATCTCGATGTGCTTAATCGCAGTAAGCTTTCTCTATATATCCACAGTAAAAGGACTGAAAGTTGTAATAATTGCGTGGATAATAACTCATAGTAGACGGTGGTGAAGGCAGCTCCACGCGCAAACCAAGTAAACCGCCTACAGCCATTGACTACTAGGTGCATCTGAAGTAGTAGTCCATGCATTGATACAACATACGTACTTTACCCTAGAAATGAAGTGAAAAATTCTCTTTTACCTCGATGTGCTTAATCGTAGTAAAGCTTTCTCCATATGTCTACAGTAAAAGAAGTGAAAGCTGCAATGATTGCGTGGATAATAACTCACTGCAGGCGGTGCGAAGGCAGCTCTATGAATGAACCAAGCAGAGCTCCTACAGCCATGGACTACTAAGTGCATCTAAAGCAGAAGTCCATGATACAGCATACCCAACCCTAGAAGTGAAATGAAAAATTTCCTTTTACCTCGATGAGTAAAAGGACTGAAAAGTTGCAATGACTGACTGAATAATAAGTCATTGGATGCAGCGCTGAAGACAGCTCAATGAATAAACTAAGCAAAGAGCTCCTACAGACATACGGGTACTAGGTGCATCTAAACTAGTAGTCCAAGATACAGCGTACCCAACCCTGGAAGTAAAGGGAAATTTCCTTTTATCTCAATGTACGAACAAATGCTCAGTAAGCAAGAGTGAGCACTAAGCACCCTCGCGTACAAAGCCCTTGCTATTATAACTCACGACGGTAGCAGCCGTTTGCAACTATACAACATAGATTGACTACCGATAAGTTATTGCGCTATATACGTAAATGCTGGTTATTAATAAGTACTACAAATCCGGGAAAACTTCGTATTATGAGCTTGCACATAGTTTATCCTCTAACCTGTTGCTGGATTAGAATATACCTCAGTAGTCTATCTTTGCGCTTAGATCTTGATCTTACACTGATTTGTGTCAATTAAGACCACTACCCTTTGTGAAAGTATAGTATAATAAACGTTGAATCTTATTATGGTATCAATTGAATAAAATTACTTTACTTCCCCCATTTCTTGCATGAGTGGTCCTAATTGAACTACGAATTTCAGCTGGTCATAAATGGCAAAATTGATATCTCATACGCAGGATATTTTATACTAGGTATTTAAATTAACACCTGCTCCTCGTTACATGAAGTAGTACCTACAACTCATACAACAAACTAAGATATATGAGTAGCTGCACATGCATACCTCTATGCAATAAGCTTTTGTTTAGTACACTAAATGGATAAGGTGAAAATCTTTTTTCCTTCGCTATGAACCGAAACAGGGATCTTACACTTCATGAACTGTATTGCAAAGCTAACAATTTTCTCGGTGCAAGGCAGGATTAGAGATACTTAAAGGCTGCATACGCTATGATACGATCTTATTATTAATGATACACGCAGAGATTGAAAATTTCCACAATGAATTTGATAAGATTGAAAATAATGTATTTTTCTTGACATTAGAAGATAGATATATCTTGGCGTTGTTACAGTTTCTATTATTTGCAAGTAGAAAGTGTACTATTTCACGTACTCGGCCGTTTTTTTAACAAGGTTAAATTTCGATTCTGGAAACAAAGCAGCATATTGGTAATTTTCTAGCTTAAATAATAAGAATGGTACAATAATACAGTTTTAGAACTAACATTCAAATTGTAATTCTCCGACTTTGAATAAGCAAACAGTGATTCACTACTTGCGTACTATCATTTAACAGGATTATCTTGAATGATTCAGGATAATAAATAGATTTACGGTAGTTTTATAACAGGCTTAAGTGCTTTTGGATATGTGATGCAAGTACTGTATTAATCATATATAGAATTTATTGTTGACCCGTAAATTTCAATTTTTCAGCTTCCTCTTCTAATCGTTTACGCCGGTGCTAAATTTACAAAACGTAAATATATCGATTTAGCTATAAGATATTGCAAACTTATTTGCTATTCTGTCGTATAAAAATTTGCATTGGCTTACTAGATGCAGCAACCTTCTGTACAATCTCCTCTTATGTGGGCGAAAAAATTTTAAGGCTTTATTTTCTTGTTCTAGAGTTTTCCTTTGTTCTTTGGTTAATCGAACATGTTCCCTAAAGTTGTGAATATTTTCGCATAATAAACTTAAATCAACTTAAAATCAGTTCTATTGGATTTATAATTAATCCTATCGTTTAAGGTGATTCAATGACCTACCTGACCGCGGATGGTTTAATATTAAACAATCGGCCAAGCAATTTACTCCCCCAAATTCCCGGTTCATCAGCTTTAAGTCGCAGTGATTCCTGGATCTATAGCAAGCGTAGGGATATTAAAAAGCACTCATACGTTATCAGGTATTACAATGTGACGGATTCTAGTATACTAACAAATACTTTAGCAGAACATCAATGCAAGCATGTTCTAAACGTAGGCATTAAATCCTCTTCAAGTTACGAAACATACCTGAGCCTTCGTCATAGTATCGTTCATATTCTCCCATGGGTCGTTCAGTTTTTGAAGTGACTAATTTAAGGAACCAAAGTAATTCATTTATAGAAAATAATGTATCTGAAGAGATTAGTTCAACCAGATTATCAACCAGCTGGAGGCGTCCGTTTACCTTAGTATATTCAATAGGAAATTTCTTATCAGGATGATAGCAAACAAATATTCTACCATCGGAAGTTATAGCCTGATAGCTAAAAAAAAAAGATGACATAGAAATCAGTCGATTCTAAATAATTATTCATATTGATTGAAAGATAATAAAATTGGTTATTGTATGTCTAGCTACCGTTCATTTCTGTTGGCTTTGATCAACTTTGGCTCTGCTTTAAAACGTTGCACAAGTCTATTGGTAGCAGTCGTATATTTACCACGATACCATACTAAAGTAGTTGCATTGTAGAATAAGGAGATTAATAACATGCATCATTCTTATTAATAGCAGTACAATGCATTAATAAAACAGATTTGATTTCCATACTCTTTGTGAGAATATTTCTATCCAACCATAACCGCATCGCGTTAAGTGATGAGGACGCAGCCATGCTAAGTTGCAACCGTTTCCTCTTCCTCCTGAAAGTGGTCAGGGAGGTGGATGGCCGGACTGCTGTACCCTCTTAAAAGACTATGAGTCCATGGCTACATCCTAAAATAGTATGAGTGTACGCAATCAGCCCATCAGGAACTACTAAAACACCCGTTAATTATTACCGAGAGAGAGACGTACTCTACAGGACACTTGTAGTCCGTGAGGCTGTACACACTGTAGACTTGTGAAAGAAATTCGCTACCGTCTGTACGTCTGTACGTCTATACGTGATTCCAGTTATGACAGTTCGTCATTGGTCCAATCCTGTCCATCTTGCTACCTCAATAACTATAACGGATCTGGCTCATCATATTAGGATTGCACTCTACATATGCAGTAGAATGTCTATAATGTCCTGTTTCATTGTGAGAAAAGGCTCGGATGCAGTCTGTTCTACTCAGGGTAAACATGAAGCAGTATAAATAACCATCAAGAGATGCTGAGTAAAGTTAAAATCTTAACAGTTGTCTATTCTCAGCAAGGACTGAACATGATAATGCATCGAGTATATCAGCAATGTTGACAACAGCAATCATAAGTCATAATCATAATACAGTAATGATTGCTACTTCAATTTTACTAGTTATGAAATGCTGGTATTCAGGGATTGCACTCTACATATAGCATGCCTATAATGTCCTATTTCATTGTAAGAGGAGGTTCGGATGCAGAAATGCATCTGTTCTACTCAGGGTAAACATGAAGAAGTATAGATAACCATCAAGAGATGCTGAATAAAGTTTAAATCTTAACAGTTGTCTATTCTCAGCAAGAACTGAACATGATAATGCATCGAGTACATCAGTAAAGTTGACAACAGCAATCATATGTAATTATCATCATACAGTAATCATTGCTACTTCAATTTTACTAGTTATGAAATGCTGCTGGTATTCTATTAAACGTAATATCAGTACTGTGTTGATTAACTGTCATATAATATAACAATATTAATCGAAAAGTATTTATACAGTAGTAACAGTCATAGATATGGAAAACCAACTCTCTGTATTAACAGTGATCTAATATATGACAAGTAAAAATGGCTGCTAATGTAGTCATTCTGCCTTACTAGCGATGAAATGTTGATATTTTAGGGAACATAATATCAGTTGTTTATTAACTCTTATACTGTACAGGGTACCCTGTATAGTATACCGTACTATACAGTACTGTACACTACGGACCCACTTGTACAATACAGTAGTGTACAGTATTCAAATACCGTAGTGAACGCTGTACCATACACATTAACTGTAGTAAAAAGTTGTTCCATACTTCAGTCTGGAAAATTTTTTTCCATTTTAAAAAATAGAGTATGGCCGGCCAAACCATTGCTCTTACAAAGTGGATAGATGAGAATGAATCCTCGTTTAAGCCTCCTGTCTGTAATAAATTGTTGTTCGGTGCCGGTCAACTCAAGATTATGTTTGTGGGTGGACCAAATAACCGAAAAGATTACCATCTTGAAGAAGGCGAAGAGCTATTCTACATGATTCGAGGTAGCAATGTCTGCACGCCATTTTATAGTTACTGTGTTAAAATTTGATTGACTTGCTTGATTACAATACTAAGAACTTGGTATGACTGTTACAAGTGCACAGAATGCAGTAGTATTTTGCGTTATTAAACTTAAACTTGATGCAGTACGTGATTGAATTGATCAGCTCTATGCTACTGTACACTTTGATTGCTATGTACTAATTTCCATCAATCATAGGTGTAGCTAGACAAATATTTTCCTACATCATACAGCAAAAGTTCATGTAGATAGGCTTAATCAAATTTGTGCAGAGCTTATAGAGTGCAAAGCTGATCAACTAAACCAAATCGTGTAATCTATTGTGCTTAAATGATAATGTACTGTATTGCTTTTATTATAAATATTGGTGAAAATCGCTCATACTGCACTTACATTTTACTTTAATTACTGCAGGAGACATGTGTTTGAACATTATAGAGAAAGGTAAGTTCAAATCTATTCCCATAAAGGAAGGTCAGATATTCTTACTACCTCGCAAGATTCCTCATTCACCACAACGACTTGAAAGTACTGTTGGCCTTGTTATTGAACGCGAACGACGTATGCATGAAATGGATTGTTTACGATATTACTGTGAGGATGGTAACTCGCATAACAATATTCTATACGAAAGATGGTTTCATTGTGAAGATCTTGGCTGTCAGTTAGCTCCAATAATTAAGGAATACTTTGCATCAGAAGAATACAAAACTGGAAAACCTGGAAAGAGTGTGTATTGATTTATTTTGTAAAGCAATCGTAAAATCTTGACCTACAACATTTTTCTGTAAACATCGAATGCATACTTTGCATGATAGGAATTTGTACCTTGATAGAGAGGTCGAAGGATCTTCTTTTAACCTCTATCTTATGTACTGTAGAAAGCAAAAATCTCTTGCGTACCATACCTGTAGGCATTGCTGCACACAAATTTTATACCAAATCTCCTGTAATAAATATCATCCAGATCAAGGATGGAGTAAGCATCTACTGTATTTTGTGGTGGCATTTGCATACTGTATAAGTTAGAGAATTAACTATGGTGTAGGGCTTATTACATAAGCTTAGGCCGTAGATTTAAGTATTAGAGCAGCACATTTCCGGTTAGTGATGGGTGCTTATAGTAAGAGAACTGCATCGCCTTAATACGAGTATTCTAATTTTTTTAATCCAATTTTGGTATCGATTCAATATCTTGAATGTTATGTTTATTATTACGGAACAATTACAAATATAGATTCGATAATACAGGATCCAGTTTTTCACCCAGATGAAGAAACTACAGTGAAGGAACCTTTTTCACTTAAAGAATGGATTGATAATAACCGCAATACTGTAAATAAGCAGAATGAGCTAATGTTGTTCAGTGAAACAGAATGCCAGTTGCGTATAGCTACAAATTGCACTGTCAAATGTGGTAGTAGTAGCGAAGAAATATGGATTTGGATTTACGAAGGTAACTGAACTACAGCGCTTTTAAGTTATTTATTTTAAAGTCCATGTCCTTGTAAAATGTACTGAAATAGCAATTTAAATGTTAAAGATTATAGTATTTACTTATGAAATTACTTTGACGATGATATCATTAATGGATACAGGATCACATGCTACCTTAACAACCGCAAATTTGACGATGGCAATGAAGGAAAATGATGTTCGTCTAATCGCTGCCGGACAAAGCTATACACTAGTCATAGGTAAAAATACCATCGCTTTGACTGTTATGTTAAAGCCTAAATGTTAATTTGCTATTGAGTAATGCTGTAAATAGATTACTAGTAACTTTAGATGATTTGTCAAACCCTAAACTCAGTTATTTTACTTTGTGATTATAAACTACTGTTAGCTTTATTCTGTTTGGCTTTATTGATCAATATATTAAGATCTGTTTTTGCAAGAGAGTCATCCATGTGATTGCTACTTAATAACTAATATGCTTATTGAGGCTTAGGTTAAATTTTTTAAATAAATTATGATTGGACAATGTATTTATTTTCAGTATTTGAGTTAATTGCGCTGAATTTGGACAGATTTGCTATAGTCGACGATTGTAGGATATTCGAACTTACTATATAGATAGGCGGATGTAAATGTTAAACAGACACCTGCTTGTAATTATTACTATTATATCAGATATAACCTTTGAAATAGAGATATGCATAGGTATTTATCATGTTTAAATGACCTGATATTGATAATCCCTACTAATGAAATACCTTTTTTCTAAAATTCAAATGAAAGTGGTCATAACAATTTTTGATGACCACAAGCCGAAAGTCAGTGACATATACCATTATTTAGAATAGAAATTTGAATTACGGTATGGCTTAGAGATTTCAGTAACATATATATATATATATATATATATATACGTATACGAGTATATACAGTACAAGAAGAAAGCAATATACTTATGTCGTAAAATTGCATAGTCTTGTAAGATTAACTTATTGTTTCTAATTATAATTTCTCAAAGTCAAACAAAATCAGATTGTCAAAACTGTTATAGTTTATAGGCTAGATATTTGGTTAATTTAAGCAATCATTTAAATGTAAAACTTTGATATTGTAGCATTTTTGTCATGTTTCACGAGACTTTTCAGAATTGATATCCCACTTTAATAAATTAGAGGTGTCTCTCCTGCAAAGTGACATTGCACTCTGTGGTCTTCTAGTTAATCGCCTTTTCTGAGGTTGAAATGAAGTTGTTGGTCTACTGATTGCATGATGATTTAATGCCATCGTTGATGGATCGCACGAATAATCCGACTGAGTTTGGGTTTGTGGTTTCAATTTTGCGGCCTTTTGAGATTTAATAAACTGCGTGCATACATCTAATGCTGGATTTTCGGTCCCGTTACGATATGCTGATCGATATGTTGACAGTAAAGAACCATCAGTGTTATTCCCATGCCAGCTGATTAGATTACGAGTTGAAGTAAACTGAGTCCCGGTAGTAGATTTCTTTTTACCTAATGCCTGAATAAAAGAAATTGCAAGATTAATATTAAAGTACTAAATGATTAAAACTTAGCTTCATACAATAACCAAAGATTGTACTGTTAGGGTTACTATGTATGGGTACTTATTTATGGCAATATTATTAAATAGTATTATACAGGTTTTAAGTTACATTACCGTTTCAAAATATGCTCCTTCCTTGGAAAATGTATGTCTGTTATCGTGTAACGAGAACCGATGTTGCCGCACCTCCTATTGTGGAATAGTGAAAGACTTAAATAAACTGTAAGCCAGTCTATATCAGTTTTATTATTTTACTATCTTACTTCAGATCGGAAGACATGCAAGTTATATTACGAAAGTGTGGTGTATTTACAACAAAAGCTTGTAATTTTATTGCATAGAAATTGGTGCACTTTGTTAGAACAGAAATATGGTTTATTTGGATCAAATTAAAATATCTTATTCGATCAAACGATAAAGAGGCATACATTGCCGGGGCCATAAATTATCTGTTGTTAGAATGTAAGCTAAGGTATCACTGTAATATTTATCTAGGGTCTATGGCTAGCTAGCTATTACAGTCGGAATGGATACTATTCTAGAGTGAAAGTATCATCACAAGTAAGCATACTTCAGAAGAACAAAGTACGTCGCTAAAACAGTTGATCAAAAATACATTACATTTTTCTATCAATGGTATAACAATTGTTGTTACCTCCGATCGCTGAGCAAATTTTACTGGTGGTGGGGGTTTTGCTATATGACGAAAGCGATCATTCCAATTATTAGCTGCGATTTTAGTAAAATGTCTGCGCGGGTGCTGTAAATGTAATAATATTAGATTAAAATAATATAATTAATGCATATCATATTTGATGGGTGTTTATTACATTATATTGATATTGAAAATTATAGTTTATATGAAAGGATAATTAATCTTTCTTACCCAATGGCCATGTAAGGTGTCTTTAGTAGTCATTGTGAGTTTATTGTAGTTATGTCAGATTTCAAAATTTATTTTGAAATCGCCAGGAAATCTCAATAGTTATCAATTTATATTAACTTAATTGCTCTTGATTGTTATCTATATCGGTAGACAGTAGCGCTAATCTTACTATGCACTATATAATAAATTAATATTCATTCAATGATATTGTAGTTCTACCATATCAATATCCTTGGAGAACGCGTAGTTACTCAAAAAATTGATAAATAATATTATTTCGATAGTTATCCTTAAAAGTTACTCATATCATACGAAAATTTAGTTTTACAGAATCAGTAGTAAACGATTTAAATAAACTTAACTAATTCTATTCTACTGTATGTCTTGAAAGGTATAACAGTACATACTGTGAGACACAAAATTAACAGATTTTTGAATTATTCGTACTCCATGTTGTTGGCAGTCACTTTCAGTTTAAAGTTTTCTAAGGCTGATAATGTGTTTACTGTATTCCTTACAATATTCAACTACAACAGTAAATCCCTTCAAGTTCTCTCTATTACGATAGTAATAAATCTACGCAACGCTGTAGTAGTTTCATTTGAAGATATTCCGAGCGATGTTACCGTTGCTAAGATACGACAGTGTAGAATTCTGGGTAATCTTTTCTATATTATTGTACACTATACTGACACTAGAGCTTACAGTAGCGTATTGTATAATCCTCGTTTCCATATAAGTTTCACGTTGACACTTTATTTGCACTGTATAATTCACCAGCTACTTATATGATGTGCCTAGAAGCCATCATCTATATAGTATGGTGATGATGTTGCCTGGACATGGGATCACGATAATATTTGTTGCTAATACTACGCTAGATTAAACGATTGTGTTAGTGTACAGCATAGAGTTGTTCTCCAGCATACAAGTACTATTACCGATGAGATGGATAACTGAGCGTTATAGACTTTGATCTTATGGATATAAAATGAAACTGAAAGATAGAGCTAATAAGGCATAGTTTAAAAATGATCCAATAAAATAGGCAATGTAATTTCAATTGAGGTATAAAATATATTCGTAATTTCGTACATATACTTTCAATAGGTAAACAGTAGAGCTAAAGATTATACTTGATTCATTGCAACCTTTTAAAGCCAAAGATTATGCCTGATTGATTGCAACCTTTTAATGCCATTATGGCTCGATTCTACTCTATTTATACCCTTCCAAAAACACCCTGGGCTCAATGAAATCGTACTGGTATCTTCATTAGCATCCTGTGTACTGTAGTCAGTCATCCCTAGACTACACCATTTAAAAAGTAATCAGTCTCTACTTCTGTTGTGCGATGATATGTAAAGGGGTCAAATTGCAAATATAAGTAAATCTTGTCACATTTTCCTTGTACGAGATACGCTCATAACTGTGATGTAATAATTTCTAAAGTAGAGATTACCTATTTCTAGCAATTATAACTAGAGTTGTTGGCTAGCTTTTTTGTGTGATCATCGCTAGACTACGCCATTTTAAAGTAATCAATCTCCCAATTTCCGCTGCATGACTCTATTTAGAAAAATTAATTTGCTAATATAAATCTCACTACTTTTTCCTTTTGCAAGATACTTCAGTGATGTAATAATTTCTAGGATAGAAAATTAATCACTTCAAGCAATTGTTACTACCATCTTGTGCAAAATGTGCAGTCATTAGTAGCAATCATGGCCAGGATTCTCTTCTAGCATCATATGCATTGTGCAGTCATCACTAGGCTACTCTATTTTAAGGTAATATTTTAAGGTAATCAATGCCTCCATTTTCATTACATGACGACATACTCGCATAGAATAGTTGACTTGCTAATATTAATCTCATCACATTTCCTTTTACAAGACAACAGTGATATAAATAATAATTTTCAGGAAGGAATTCGACCATTTCAAGCCATTGTAACTAAAATTCTTGACTAGAATCTTGTACAATCATCACTAGCAATTTCCTTGGAATTCTCGACTAGCCTCTGTATAGTCATCACTAGTAATCTGAACTAGAATTCCTGACTAGCATCTTGCGTAGCCATCACTAGATTACACTATAGAAAGGTAATCGATCTTGTGCTGTCATTACTAGCAATTATAACTGAAATTCTCGACTAGCATCTTATATAATCATCACCAGCAATTGAACTAAAATCCTTCTCTTGTCTAGCCATCACTAGGCTATGCCATTTAAAAGTAATTACTCTGTCTATTTCTGTGGTGTGATGCTATACCAAGTGGTTGACTTGCTACTCTGGGTCACCTTGTAATACGATCGTCCTCGATGAATGGCAGCAACATAACCCTACGCTATAACGAATTATATGAGATTTCACTGGTATTGGAGCAGAGCTCGGTGAAAAATTTCTCAAAGATCACTGAAAATTTCATTGGGACGAAATTTCTCTTTGAATTTATTTTGGGTAGCGACGAAATCTTACTAAAAGCCAGAATAACGTTATGGCTATGAACGAAATTTATAGAGCTAATATTAAGTAAGTGATTGGTGATTGCATTTTTGCTTTAATCTAACTTAAAATGAAGCCAGAAAAAGGGGTAAAGTCTTTAGAGAGTTGTAGCCAATTCATGTGTATTTTAGTATGGAATTTTGTCAATTTTGGCAATTGGACTATCCAATTAATTTGATAATTACTTAGAACTAATATTTTCCTTTACTTAGTCGGCATTTGCAACGTTCTCAAAATCAAACTGGCAAAGATCCAGTACGTAAAACGCCTTCTTATTCAAGCTATAAAAATAACAGCATACCGAATAGCCAATCAAGCAGCAATGAAAGTTCTCAACAAGGCTCGCTAGAATTATTTTCTCAATCAAAATTATCTCAATCCTATTCTTTACATAATTCTGAGGTAATTGGCGATTTCGTTCAATGATAAATGGATAACATTAAAAATACTGATAGTTTTAAGGTCTTTAGTATTCAGTAGAGAGTTATCAACCTAACTTAAAAAGCCAATCTCAACGCTCGAAAGATGTTTACGATAAGAAGAAAGACGGCGAATGGAGTGATAAAATCGATAAACTACCAATCGAATTATATCGAAAGAGAACGGATGAAATGAGAGATAGGTCGAGTAACCTTAAATTTATTATATCCTTAGTAAGACATTTAGGCTTCAATAATAGTTAAAATTCAATCTGCCCCTTTATACGACAGATTCTCTCTTGAAACTTTCCTTCAAGGTATCCAGCAACAAGTAGACAAGGTGATTTTAAGCACCTAGTCTTAGAAATACATATATTAATTCTGGTCGTACGTTACAATAGTTTCTATCATTTATAGCCATAATTTTGCTCTCAACTTAAAATATTTAATTGTTAGATTCAGGAGTGCGCTGATATCGATTGATAGTCAATAATCATTTGTACATGTCATAGTAGTAATCTTTATTTACAGATACAAAAGTTCGCCGATGTGCTCAAGGAACAGTTGAATTATAATTCTGAAAGTCATAAGGAATTTTGTCAAAGCATAGGAAATACAGGTAGTATTTTATTCATTAAAATTTAAAATTTTCTATTGCATAGCTCTAAAATCAGTGCTTATACAAATGACAGTAAATGAGAATTTAAAGCAATCCATGGAACAATGTTGTCTACAGATTCTGGAATCAAAAATCAGTACAGAAGATTTTCAAAATCTTAAAAGTTCTATTGCAGTGGTAATGTAGCACACATTTCAATTAATCCCACGTACATTAAGTTAATCCATCCAAATAATATGTTAGGCTATACCCATATACCCTCAATATATCACAAAGCTATTTGGTATTTTCTAGTTAACATGAATTTTTGTTAAAATTTTTCTAGTTACGAAGAGAAAATGAACTCCTTATTTCGCAACTAGATGAAATGCGGGAAAGGGAGCAAAGATATCTCCAGTTGTTAGATACAACGTACCAGAGTCGATCTCAAGTTAGTCAAATGCAAATTAATGATCGACATAAAGAAGACACTACAACTCAATCTAGCTTGGAATTTAGGAAAACTAATAGAATCCTTGATAGCGCCAGTGGTATTGATCGTGTATCATCTGTAATGCAGCGGTTGAGTAGCTTCTGTAAGCCCGAAGATAATTACAATCCGAGACAGCATTGTAATGAAAATTCGAATAACAGCGAGCTAAGACAGACAATTAACAGTATAAGCAGCTATTGCGAAGTTGATACACCAATAAGCGCAGATACAGGTTGTACTGAGGAAAAGAATAACCACCAAAAACAGACACAAATTTCTTTATCAGATGTCGCGTCCCAATTATTTTTTGAGTCGGATAGTGATGAAAGCATTTGTATGCACTTTCCAGATGACTCTAAGAAAAGCAGCTGTAATAATGACAGAAATGAAAATGCTAATTCTGAAAATGGTAATTTTTCTATAAAACATGAAACAGCAGGAACTATTACAATTAATAGTGCCTTAGGACATCCATTGACTTCAAGGTATAAGACTTCAAAATCAAAGAAAAGGCCATCATTACCTCTGAAACAGTCACCCAGTAAGCGCCAGCTACGGTACTCGCTCCGTAAAGTAAGGCAATGGTAATTGTGATATTAACAGCTATAACAAGGATTTTACGAGACAAAAAATAATTTTCTATGACTAAAAATGATTGTTATGGATTTGTGCAAAACTTCTGTAAGGATGCAACCGAAAACATAACCGGTGTATTAGCTTTGACATTCTTCACCATCAGATCGATTTAAGGATGGCCATTCTCGATTTGATCCATCATTGAATTCAGTATCAAATTGACGAAAAATGGACTAACTATGTTAGAATAGTGTAGTTAAAATTTTACGAATCTGCGTAAGTTAGATCTTACATTCTTAGATATACTACGATAAACGCATTTAATTATAATTGGATGCGGTAGCTTACTTTTTATACGGTTGTGTATAAATCAAATTGTAAACATTAAAAAATTGGTGCAGATATTACGCATTCACCTAGCTAATAAATTGTATGATAGACTCTAATGAGAATGTATCTCAGGTTATCACTATATTGTTGTAATTTTCACGTCCATATAAGTAAGAAGCACTTCGGTTATTTTATAAACTACTCGGTGTAAATACAAAGTGTTAGGGATTTATTTTTTTTTGGAATGAATAAGTTCATTCCAATCATCATTTCGTCTAAAGATAAATAGCTTTGCGTGACAAATTGTTCACCACTACGATTATGTTTACATAAGAATTAAACGCTATTCAGTTGGCACAAGCACTTCGATTTCTAGACTATGACTCAATTTACTTTGAGTATGTATGCAAGTTAACTTTACAGTGATTGTGATTGATTGATGGACTGTATAACAATCAAATTACTGCGATAAACTGTAAAGGCGACTTAATATCAATCGCACTATATATTCTATTTATTGATCGTAAGCTTGTCCAATCCTCTAATCTTATACGTGTTATACCTACAGTATGATTAAGAGGAAGCTTCTACTTATAGACTACAATTAAGTTCATGATCGCTTATACTCTTTTACAAGCAGAAGTACGTAGTAGTAGCAATCGTATTAATTGTATATTCATATGGCAATAAAGTCACTATTAAGACTCGTACATATTTGTTTTAACCCGATCAACTTTCTAATACAATATCAATGGTAAGGATATGTATGTACGCTTACTTTTATTCAGTTATACCAGTACAATATATGATCTGGTTACTGTAATCTTGCTAATATTAATAGCGTACATGTTACGTGAACATACTTAATCTCAATTGACTGTAATCTTAAACTCAAAATTCTAGGACAGTAGTATTAATAATTTCACATTTTCTAGGTACGCAAATCTATTTGAAGATAAATATAAGAATCCGGTTGTAATCAACTTGTATACATAATTTACAGTAAGTAAATTTATTTTATTTATTGTAAACCAAGTGCATAATTGGTGCTCGATTTACAACGGAATTAATCTAGGCAATCATGTTATCTATATCATATGATATTTTGACGATAAATACAAAGAATTCTTCACCATGAACTATCCAATTTCTGCAACCTTATAAAAGCCAATAAGACTACTATTATGCCAGAAATTTTGTTATGGCCTATGATATTACAATTGCTATCACCTCTATACCTAGGAATCATACAACATTATAATGATCATATTAGTGCAATGATATCAATTATGCCTATTGCACTACAATAACTATTACTTCTAAGACTAGCAGTTATATAATGATATAATGATAACTTAGTGCTATGAAATTAATTGCAGAACAATTAAATCGTAATTATAATTCGCAAATGATGAAATTGGTATTACCCATAGAATTGATATAACTGTTCTAATTTACACATGCGCAGTCTCGTTTGTGATGCTAACTTTATAGCCACATTTCTTCTTAAAATTCTAGTTGTATTTTAAGCTTCTCCTCTGATTTATTTTTTGATAGGATGAATTTACTAATCAATATTTTCAGGCTATGAAGAATCAGCTAAATTGATAAGTGAGTTATCGGAATTGTTAGATATACTGTATATTTATCGAGCAATATATGCTGGTTTAAATGTGGTTTATTACACTAATCTGTTATATAATATTGTAACGGCGTATACGTATTCACGTATACAGTAAATACTATCATCGAATGCAGTAGAGATTGTCGTAACAAGTACATTAAGTCATTACAGTTTAGTACAATAATTTTATATATGAAGAACTCGTAAACAATTATAACCCATAATAAATAAATAGTATTGAAATTAGAACTTTGTTATTGTCGTTGAATGACTGCGTCTGTCTATTGACTTTTAGATTTGGAATGTGTATCGTGACAAGTTGGGATTAAATTAACAAGCTTCATATTGTAAATAAATACTGTACAAGTACTGCTTATGTAATATCTGAATACTTAAAAATGTAAGTTGTTGGTAATATAAATAAATTTTCCAAGATTTTATACCAGTTATTTTATTACATATTGTCATATATTGTCATATCAGTATCTTAGCTTTCTAGTATACTCAGTAAGTTTACTATCTCCAATTAATTAACCTCTAATCTTAGATATTAAGCAAATTATAGATCGACGATGGTGCCATGTTGAAGTATTGAAGTGCATAGTATCTATGGCACTCTAAATTAAAAATGAACATCAACTAAGATTAGCATAAGGTCATTAAGCAAATTATAGATCGACGGCGGTGCCCTGTTGAAGTATTCAAGTGCATGATATCTACGGCACTCTAAATTAAAAATGAACATCAACTATGTTGTGTATTCGGTAAATTATTCCATTATGAGCAGCAGTTTGGGTACATTACAGTTGCACCACCACTCATGTATATTCTTGTAATTAAGCCAACAGCGTAGCTTTTTAACTTTGCAAGTAGCGCCTTTCACTGCAATAGGGCAGTGTTACTATGTGGAGCGTATTAGATTAAATGAGTAAGGCCTAAAAGCTGATACTGATATTATATTAGCATATATTGTAATATGTAACTCATGTACAAGCCCTTTCTACTTAATAATTTGCAATTCAGACTACTGTTTATCCGCATATGTCATAATCATCAATTGCAAAGTTTCTTCCAATCATAGATCACGGTTATACAAATCTCTTCAAAGATGAAGATTCATTATGCGATCTTTGCGAAAAGTCTTGTTCTCCTTTATTTATACAGTCCTCTAGCTCTATTTCTATTCGATAAGTTGATAAAGGAAGGGAATAGGAAATTAAGTTGTTACATAGACATGCGAATGAATGAAAATATCTTAGTTACGAACGAGCTCACGGACATCAGTAGGATCTTCTAAGTTATCATGCTATGCTTTAATCAGATACTGAAGAATATATATTTATAAATTTTAATTTCAATTTAGAAAACTGCTATCAGAAAATCTTGTCTCATTTTATGGTTGATAAACAAAATTTAATTTAAAATCTTTTACATTGTGTAAGAAAGAGAATTAGGGATTGCTAAATTTTTTATTTGATTAGGTATATCCACTGCGATCAAAAGAAATGCTATAATTAGCCTTGACTCAGGTCTATCTACTTTAACATACATTCTTGGCGATCGCAACATTAATCATGTCTGATAATTATTGGACGGTAAGCTATGGAGTAGCTTGTCGTACTGGATTCAGTTGTCGTGAATGCAAGAAAGTGATTAACAAAAATGAGCCTATTGCTGTGCGGGATGGACGTAAGATGCGTTTCTTTTATCATCGTCAGTGCTTTAGTGGTAGTGGTGATCCTAGAACACAGAGTGGAAGCACTTTTAACCAAGGTAGGCTACCTTCTAATTCCTTTCAAGGTAAAGCACCAGAGCGAAAGGGTCAAGGGAAATGGTCTGTTTCATCTTATGGCTATAACCCCAGTGGAACCACAGTTGTCGAGACTGTCAAGGCTAGCAAGGCTCCTACTAAGACTCATGGTACAACTAACGCTCAAGTAAAGCGAGAAGTTTCGAAAAATAACTTTTCTAGCACAAAATCGGGCCAAAAGTCATTCCAAACGAAGAGTGACAGGATAATAAAGTCAGAAACAAGCAAAAATACAAGAAATAATTTCACTACGATGAGATGACCTACAAGACCCTAGCATAGTCTGTGCTTACCCCAGCATCAGCGTAGATACATGACTGGTTATTACCGATATCATAAATATAATTTAATATAATCAAAGTCTTACAAACTTCTGTATGTTTTTAACTTTCGATAAGTTATTATACTATCCTATATGTAAGCAATATCAAATGATCTAGCTATAATAATGTTTAAAAATTGTTGGTTCGAATTACATTATAACTTTTAGATATACATGTTTCATATGTATGCACTAAGATACTTAACTTTATCAGTTTTTAGGTATAGAATTGCAATAAGTATTTGTATATCTCTGTAAGTACTTATTACTATCACTACAAGAAATGGCATCAATTAAGTGGATTAGCCAAGCAATTTTGTAGTTCACCTCGCTGCAATTCTAACTATCGATACCTGTTGTTAAGCTAGTTTGATGTCCTATTGAGATACTGTAGTATATCGATTTCTAGAAACTTAAAATTAATCAATCCTTCCGGAAAAAGAGATATCGCAAAATCTTCAAATAGAAAAATAGTACTGAAACTATGTTTACTGAAGATATTGATTACGATGTTATTGCGATTATATTATTTCGTTTAATATGTTTAATTCAGTTTGTAAATACTGGTGTAACCTTACCGGCTAGCATCTCGAGCACAAATTTATTTTTATCATATTAGCAATGGAATCGATTCTGTATACAAAGAACTGTTATAAATTTTATGTAGGATTTAGCACTTACTTAACGTATCGGAAATATGTTTGGACTGCCTGATGTAATGCTAATACGATACATTACTAGCAGGGATCTATATGACAATAAATTGTCTAGGTTAATACTCCGATGCTAGATCTACTACACTGCTCTGCTTTGGAGTGAAAAATAAAACTTGTTAATTAAAGAAGTGATCACAGAATTCTATTTTCTGAAACTTTTATCCTATCGTTCAATATCCTGATAAATCCTCTTACCAGGAAGGAAACGAATCAGTGCGATGATATAGTAAAGGAGCCGCTATAAAATTTCGACAGTACTGGTCTGCATCATCAACCCTTATTTTAATCGTGTACATGGAAGGCAAATTAAATCAGAGCTCTGGATGAAACGAATGTTTTACTTTAGTAATTATTGTACAGTAACCTACTCTAAATGAAATTAAGTAATACTGTATAATAGACAGCATGAGCCGTATCCAAGTTGCTAGCTGCAAATAGATGTCATCAGGAAATGAATTTATAAAATTAAGTTTGTTGAGCATTGAAGTCTGAGTTAGATATCTAGAGAGTATAGGCAACATATCATTTTAACAATCCATAGCTAGGTGTACGAGATCGATAATCTTTCTATACAAACTGAAATTATGTCACCGCGTTCATATTAATCGTCTTTAAAAATTAAACTCCCATATTTAGTTTCACCTGATTAGAAACTATGAGCCAGACCAATCACTGGTTTTAATGTTGGTTATACTGTAGAAGCACTTTCAAGTCTTGAATTTTTCGAAAAGAATAAAAATTTTGTGAAGTAATTCCTGCTATTGCTGTCGTACAAATGATAGAATTCTATATAAAGAATTCTGCTAAAGGTAGCTTGCTGTATATAACTATAAGAATGATTAATCTATTCAAATCGATACAATTTTACTCTAGTACTTAAGTTATTCATAGCGATTTTGTTTATTTATTTAATAGGAGAAATGGTACAACAACGAAAAGAATGGAAAAAATATGATAATTCCTTGTAGATTTATACGCTATATGTATATATTAAGAGAGAAAGAGAGAAGAGAATATACTGTAATGATTATTTTACAGTACCAAATTGGTTACAGGATTGGCAACAAACTATAAATAGAGTCAAGTTTCGAAGACAAAGGTAGCATATAAGTGAATTAAGCTTGGCACCCATTTTAACATTTGAGGTATGATTTTACTGCTGCCCTTCCAGTCAAATACTAGAATATAATTTTTTATTGCCATCGCCAAAGCTGTTGTATTTAGAGATTGGGGTATGTAAATGTTGCCTGTAGGTCATTAATTCAATACTAACAGCGATAGATGTATTCTATTGCTCCATTTTCCCTAAGTTTTCACGGAAAACTGTAACGATAGCTTATGCTTCGCTGCAGCAGTGATTGATTGCCATGGATTAAACCATGAATGAGACTTAGCGAAGTTTGGACGCAGGCTATTCTCTAAAGTGAAATTATACTCTATCGCAATTATAATTATCATTGGTAATATGGTACATTCGTATATTGAATTTAATGGAGACAGAAATCATAAATTATGGAGATTATAGTGTTAAAGGATTGCATTAGAAGTGATAAATGTGCTTTACTTGAGGAATATTGCTGTTGTTTTTCATTCGCAAACAGTAATCAGCTGCAGTGTTCTTTGTTATTACTGCACTATATCTTAAGTGCATATATCAATCTTGTACTTGATATGTTATAATCATTCGTCTATTATTTTACGTAAAACTGCAAGGCTGCTCCAAACTAAAAATCTGTTATCCATTACAACGGTCATTGTCATAGATCACTGTTGCAATGGAATAAGTTGCTGTCGTAAAGTTAAAAAACTTAGATTTAGCGTTAGAGAGATCTTTAGGTGATAGTCTCGAAAGTAATTAGATGTATGTGAGTTCTGTATTGAAGAATACCGGAGGATTTTTCGTTGATAAACGCTAAGCAATGATGCAGGTATCCTTAGATATTGCTATCATGTATTAGATGGAGGTTAATCCTTTGGCGTGGATTTTTATCCAGTACATCTTGAATTTAGCATACGGCAATCCAGTCGGCTTTTGATACATAAGGGCTCCATTACCAGTTTCACTGCGTTCGACTGTTAGAGCTTTTCTTCATTTTTGGGGGGACTAAAAACTGTCCAAATCCTCTATAGTAATATCCTAAATCCACTTAAATGATAATGTTAATAGACTACGGTTGTATTTTAGAGTCTGATTACTGAACTTAGTAGCTATAGATACATATCTGCTATAAAGTATAGTCCAGGCCCTCCTTATTGACGAATTCTTCGATATTTTGTACTAAGCGATCGGTGCTGAAATAATCTATACTTTACTATACGCCTATTTTTTTCCGTGCCTTTTTCTTATCCGTGGATATAGGGGTTGTTATCGATGGCAAGCACTTTTCGAATCCAATATAGCTTTTGACGATCATTAATAGACTTTCTTGTACGAATGATTTTGACCTATTTTGTAGTTGTAAACTACAAAGTAAGGCATTTTGAGTTGCCTAGTAATAAGGGCTACAATAGCGCGCCGTTAAATAATTATGCAGCCTATTGCCGTTCACAAATTAATGAAACATTAGTGATCTGTTCCAAAATGATAGACTGTCGAAATAGCCGTTTATTTAAAATGCAAGTGAATGCATTTTAAACGGTAATTGTCACTATTAGGACTGATTATCCAGTCCTTTTCTAGTTTCTAAATAAACGAAATTCTGTCATATAATAAATGTAAAAGGATCAAAATCCAAAGTAGTTATCAATAGCAAGGATAGACGAGTTTTTACTCTACACAGACGGCGAGATAAAACTAAATGGAAATTACATAATTTATTATCTTGAAGATATAGACTTGCAGGACATGGGACGAGAAGCGGATCTTATAAAAGCTGCGATAGCTGGCGATGTCTCAAAGTTAGAGGTAAATCATAGAGAATATAAAGGTAGAATTATCTAGACTGAATATAATGGCGAATAAAGTATACTTTGACTAGAATAATGTGTCAGATCTCATTTATGAATTTTGAATGTAATGAGAGGTAAAATGGCCAAGAGTAGCTTAGGTAGAGTATTGATTTGATCCAATTAAAAAATGTTTCATTATGTTTGGACCAGAAATTACTCAATCCAAATCGAAACTTTTTTAAGAAAATTATCCCTGGATCGTCTGCTACCAACGATCATGACGATGGCGAGGTTTCCAATCATGGAATGGAAAAAATTAAAGTTCATCACATCGATGTCAATTGTCGTGATGAGAATGGTTATACACCATTAATTCTGGCTGTACTACATGGTTAATTAACAACTTTAAATTCTTAGATTGTTTCAGTGGTGATGGATTTTGATTGGATCGAATTTTTCTGTATTTAAATTAGGCAATCATGATGCTGTAGAATGTCTTCTAAAATATTCTGCTGGAGTAAACGAAAAAGATCCCCGAGGGTAATAGCAACGGCCTTAATTAATAATATCGATTTTCTTGAAGAATGATTTGAAGAACTACTTAATCTAGTCATAGTGCGATAAAGTTTAAACTTTATTCCGACCAATTTTCTTCACGAACTACTTGAAAGCTAATTGATACCTAAAATAAGATAGCTTTTAAACACTTTTCAGTGCAGTATTTCCCTCTCAAGTAAATCACAAAGTTACTGCAATAGATCTAATAACTAAGGCGATATAGCTACAAATATTTCTTAGGACAATCTTGGCTAATAAGTGATTGAAAGAATTGATTGATCTACTGTGTGAACGAGATTGATTTAGGCATCTACACCAAAAATTGCTTCAATTAACCTGTTGAATGATATATTATCGTCTTAAATTTTCATCGTAATAATTTTTGTCGGAGGATGATTTATAGTGTTGATCGCTAATCGTTTTATTTAGTTTCAAGCTTGATTAAGTGGTTGCATTGATAAACAATTTCAGTAACTTACGAATTTATTGGATTTTATACCTTAGCAATGGGGCTCTCCATATTGCTGCATGGAAGAGTAAAAGCGATATCGTGGATGTACTCTTGCAAAATGGCGCTGGAGTAAGTTGAAAGAATAACGTTAAGTTGCATTGCAAAAGTAGAAGGACAACCTAATGATACCTTGAATGGCTTAAAGAGCATGTTCATGCAGTTAATAACACTTAATAATCATCCATTGCTGATGTCGATGAAATATTAGGTCAATGATTCCAATAATAACGGCAATTCTCCTCTCCATTTTGCATGCCAATATAACA